GGCCCGAGGACAGGAGAGCCATGGAGGGGAAGCGAGGGCCTGGATCAAGCGATCCGGTGAGGGAGCGACGGTTCGTGGCAGCGAGAAGCCATTCGGCTCAGCCTCACGGCCAACAGAAGGGGAGAAGAAGGGACGGGACAAGACACTCACCCCCGGTGAAATCGGATTCAAGGAGCTGGGACACACGGCCGTGCTTGAGGGTCGGCTAGGGATTCGTCGGGGCGGCGGCAAGGCGAGAGTCGACAGAACAGAGGGAGAGCAAAAAGAAAGGAAAAAAAGAAAAGCCGCGGCGCGACGAAAAAAAGCAGAGGCGTCAAATCGTCAAGCAAGCAGGTAAAGGGGTCTCGGGAGAAATGAGGACGAAGCGGGGCCGGGCCAAATCAAATCAGCTGCGGCGGGAAGCGGCTTAGCGCGCAGATGTCGAGAGAAGCGGGAGTCTCTGCTTTGGTCGTGGACAAGAGAGAGAAGAGACAAGAAGAGCAGAAAGGGAAAAGGGAGAGCGGCGCTACACAAGGAGGCCAGGCGGAACGATGGAGAGAAGAATCTGCAGAAGGTTCTCGGGATGGAGGAGCAGAGAATTCCGAGTGGGGGGGGGGGGGGGGGAGGGGAAAAAACTTGAAGTGGAAGCGGCCAGAGGATTGGACGCAGCACAGGCAGGTGCCATGCAGGCAGTCAGTGGTCAGCACTGCTGGTACTGGTACAGTTACAAGTGCAGGTGTACGTACAGTACCTTACAAGAGGTTGCATCGCTGCAGTGACTGCGGGCTGCAGTTCTTGCAGTGCTGGTTGAAGTCTCAAAAGATTATCAGTGGTTCAAGAAGAGAGATTTGGAATTCTATCTAGGTATCTACAACTTGAGACTCAGAACTACGTTACAAGCTTCTGCACGGTTTCTGGGTTTCTTTGCTGGAGTTGATGGTCGTGGGGCTCCTGGGCCATTCGGACTTCGTGGACTACCGTACTAAGGTTGGTACACATTCTCAACTGCGCCACGGCTTGGAGCATTTGGTGCTGATTCAACCCGACACGACTTGACACTTGCATGTGAGTTCTTGACATTTACAGGTACTCATTATAATGTAGGAGGCAGTCACGTCTACGAGTATAACCTCGTAGACATTCTGGTTCTCGGAGAGATACAAGACAGACATGCTGTCCCAGATGGGACTCACCACCACGCATCGTATCCGAGTACCTGGACGGTATCGGCCCTTGTACCGCTACCAGCTCCGCAACAGCAGCTCCACCGCCGATGGCTGGATCTTGGCACATGCAGTGGGCGGAGGAAGCAGGAGGACGAGAGAAGGAACCCGGACGTCAAGCGTCAAGTACATACTATAAGTAAGTAGGTACGCATCAGGTACGACCTGGAAGGGCGAAACGAAACATTATCAGCTTCGTTGGAGCTGAACAAGAGTCAGTGTCAGAGCCCTGTGATCCTCTGGCCGCGCATGTGTAGCATGTACATACATGCACCCACGGACAGCCAACTGCCAGCTGGGCACTGGGCTTGGGGGGCGTCTCTGGTGCGGTGTCATGCGCCGGGAGTGGGCGGGACAGTGGATGCACACGGTGCAGAGGCGGTGCATCCCGGGGCCCTACTGTACTACAGCAGCCGTCCGCTGAAGCAGCAGGGCGAGGATGCTGGAACTGGCCGAGCTGAGGCAGCCCAGCACTGTCAGTTCAATTGATGACAGCTCCGCTGGAGAAAATCGGCGGCATGCAGCGTGCAGTGAGGGCGAGGGCGAGGGCGAGTGTTTGATGGGAGCATGGGTCAGCCTTGCCAGGCTCGAGGCTTGATAGGCAAAAGTACAGGTACTCCGCAGCCCGTGTTGGAACCCGTACCGCTCAAGTCCAGCATCGAGTCCCTTATTAGCCCACCCGCCTGCCCATCTGGGGCTTTATAGGGATGGAATACCTGACGGAGCAGCCCGTCTTTTGCCTTGTCGCTAACAGGACCAGCAGGATTCAATGCCCTCCCAACACCTTGAGCGTTCTGCACAGTAAAGGTCCGCCAGCACCCGTTATCGCTCCTTTCATACGTACTGCATTTCCATTGCATGTGCTGCAGATTATTCTGCCGGAGCGCTTTGCCTAATGTGTGCACTCGTCGTGCGATAAGACGTCATGACTCCAGCCCGCCTCTGGCTCCTGCGCAGCGCCTGCATGAGGCCCCAACAAGGGCTGCTGGCGATGTGTCACCATCACCATCGCCAGCCGGAGCACTTCTCTGTCCTCAGGTTTCTCCTCCTTATGTCTTCTCTCCTTTTCTCTCCTCCTCCCAATGGCATGAATCTGCACATGTTGATGCTCCTCATGTTCTCACTCATCGTCTCTTGCAAACCCATGCGCCATGCCATCTTGTCCCCTTGTTCCCCGTTTGTGGGGTTGTGGTGAGGAGCCCAATCTGCTGCCACCTCCACACACCTCCGAAGCCTCGCACAGCACAAGCACAGTATCTACTTGGTACAGTTCCGTCGAATCGAGCCCTTTGCCAAAGCCACCAACGGATATTTGTCTCCATTCGTCAACGATGCGCGTCGCCCGAGTCCGACTTATACCCCGCCTATCTTCTTGCAATTCGTGAATACGAACCACCTGGCTGATTGTAATTACAGGCGGCTGTGCATATTTACAGGGCATGCATGTGCTTTCCTTTTCATACGGGCTGAGATGCAAAAGAGACTGGTGGACAGAAGTGTAGAAACAAAGGTTACAAGTCCTTACCGGTAGGTATGCTGTGGCTGGGCTTCCCGCGGCGGCCCGTTAAAAGGGGCGTCCTTTGCGCCTGGCCGTCGAACCGTTTGAACCGCTTCCGTCATACCAGAAGAACTGTACTAGTATCGCCATCAAGGACTGGTGAAAGGTACGTGAATCTTGACTGATTCCACAACAGCATCGCTTGGTTGCTATCAAGCGCCCTCAAGGGGTAAGCTTCGAGATAATACCGGGCCGCCATCAGACGAAGCAACAAGGAAGGCAGTCGTCTGCTGCAGTGCATAGCTTGTGTTCGTCTGAGCCGGGATACCGACGGTACGGACGAGAGCCAGACATACCAGACAGACCAGGCGAGGCCATCTGACGGCACCTCATTCGGCAAGACTCGCACTCGCGCTCACACACACATTTCACTTGGTTCCAAGCCGGGAATTCCATCCCTCCTCCCCGCCCTATTTGCCCTCTCCCCGTGGCTCACGCGATAATCGGCCAGGCTGCGTGATGGGCCTACAAGCTCTTGGTAGAACGCCTCTACTCTACTCTGTACTAGCCCTTCGGTCCCAGCCGCTCAGCGCTCCACTCGCCCGCTTCATGCACCCAGCTTGCATGAATCACCCTTCAGCCCGGCATCACCCCGAAGCCTCTTCTCTCACTGGTTTTTGCTCGGGTTTTAGCCTTGATTACATGCGAACTAACGCTTGCTTGTGAGTGTAAAGCAGCAGTTGGGTGACTGACTGAGCATCACATGAGTTCGGACACTGCACTGTGATGACGCAGAGTGGTCCATGGTGCGGTTACCTGCACAGGAGGCAGGCAGTCTCGCAGCTGCACTCCATCTGCTTGGTCATGTATCCTGGGAGCCGTACATTGTTGTTCCGCCTCGCCCATGGCTGGGCTGGTGAACACAAGCCCGTCAAGCCCGCCGTCTCCAAAAGCTGCCGGCTACTTGTTGGTCCCATCATGAGTAGTCGGTATTACTATGGCCGGACACCAAGTGCTGGTTTCAAGTGCGGGGGATGCCGGCCTCGTCCAAGCTCTCCCAGCTTTTCACCCTCCTTTACATGATCGCAAACCTCTCATTCGATGATGCTCGTGCAGCCGTTTGCATGCTGCATGTTACAAACACCAGTACGTAGTGGCAGCCCGGTAGGAAAATCTGCCGAACATCTTCATACAGTGTAAGATGCTTGATTTACAGCCAAATAAGTAAGCACGAAGTACATATAGTATCGAGGGTTCCGACTTACCCGCCAGTCTCGGCATCTGGTATATTCCTCACCACATCATTGGACTCGAGTCCAAATGATCATATTTCAAAGTCAACAAGGCAGCCCATCTTCAGCAAATCACAAGCCGTAGTCCCTCACGGTAGGAGTTCCCGGCTTCGAACGAGAACCATACATACTTGTATGTACTGTAGCTGCATAGGTAGCGGGACGCCAACGTGACGGACGCAGCGTCTTGGCCAATTCGCCGATGCCGAATGATGCATTGCAGGAGGCACTTGGAGCTGCCTGCGTCGTATCGACATGCTGAGTGCTTCCGGTGTGGCGCTTGCAGTCAGACGGGCCGCAGTCTAAACTTCTATCAGAAGAGATACCTACTAGTATTCAGTCGCGTGAATAATATCGATAAACTGGAGTGATGCTTTCCGACTAGGTAGCAAATATGCTTTTCTGTAAAAGCCATCGATATTAGACCAAAATGGATGATGGACCCCTGATTTGCTTTTGCATCCGAAAGGTAGAGGTTACGAGTGTTACGGCATAGTGTTTGCTCACCTATACACGGCCTACCCTACAAAATCCAGGCACAAACTTGCACCACCATGCCGTAACACCTCCATATCAGTAATAGATCAGATGCGTTCTACAAGGCGTCTTCAGCTTCATCCACCGCCTCTCAGCTGAGATCCATCGGTGGCGCTCCAGAATATCCTCGCATGTTGCAGTTCTCGATGCTCATTGCGCGGGCTGAACGACGTCGAGTACTATCATGGTGACGGAGCTGCCGCAGAGACCCTTCGATGACGCGCAGACCAGAGACCCACGGGGTACCTGAGACTGGCGTTGGATCAGCCGCAGACGCATGTACCTGTTCATCCAGCGCATGGAGGATCCGACGACGACGTCATCGCAGGTCCTCCTGCTTATACTTGCACTATCACCACTAACATATACTCGTAGCGTCCCAGCTGGCATTCTCATACAACGCCTCGTATCACATATCACAGCTCCTCTAACCTCGGACATCTCCAATGCAGCCATAACACCGCGTCAACCATGTCTCCGGCCACCCCCAAGTCCAAGCTGCGCCCCATCATCTCCTCCCGCCCCGTCCCCTCCGCCGCCGACGACGACGGCGACGCCTCCGAGCTCGAGCTCGACTCCGTCCAGGACCTCTCCGCCGAGCCCGAGCCCGGATCCGCCTCCCTCCTCCCCGACTCGCCGCTGCTTACTCCCACCGACACCCAGCCGCGCTGGCTCCTCTCCCAGGCGCAGCCGAAATGGGCCCGCCTCGACCGGAACGCCCGGTGCTTCACCCGCTGGTGGCGCCGCTCCGTCGCCCGTCTCGTTGACCTGCTGCGGCCCCGGCGCACATGGCGGTACCTGGCCTGCGTCGTGCTCATGGCCTACGTGCTGCTGTGCCTCGTCCGCGGCGTCCCGCTGCTGGCGCACCCGCTGCCGGCGTACACGGGCCGCTTCGACGTCGGCGCCGTCGACATTGAGGTCCCGCTCGACAAGCCGCGGCTCGTCGTCGACGAGACCGTCTTCAAGGACACGGGCGAGCCGGCGTTTGAGCACAAGACGACGCTCTTCACCGTCTACTACCCCGTCGACAAGGGCGCCCGGGAGCACAAGCGCAGGCACGACTGGATCGCGCGGCCCATCAGCCTGACGGCCGAGGGGTACGCAAAGTTCGCGGGCGTAAACAACTTCATCGTGCGGCCCATCTTTACGTTTGCGCTGTGGCTCATCGCGGGCGGCATCACCATCCCGGCCAAGGTCGACGTGCCGCTGCTCGCGGCGTCCGAGGACGTCCCGGAGCCGTTCCCCGTCATGGTCTTCTCCCACGGCGACGCCAGCTCCAGGACCGACTACACCAACTTCGTCGGCGAGATGGCCAGCAGGGGCTACGTCGTCGCCGCCGTGGAGCACCGCGACGGGAGCGGGCCCGGGTCGCTGATGCGCATCAAGGGCGAGCCCGACAGGCAGATCCTGCACTTCAAGGAGACGGAGCTGGAGTCGGTCCCGCCCATGGACAGGGCCAAGTACAAGTACGACCAGCTCGCCTTCCGGGACGCCGAGATCCTGCACACGGTCGAAATCCTGCGCGCCATCAACGACGGCAAGGGAGAGGACGTCTACCACCGCAACTCCCGCCTCGAGGGCGCCGACCTGCACGCCTGGGCGGGCCGCCTCGACCTCGGCAACCTCACCATCGGCGGGCACTCGTTCGGCGCGACGGGCGCCCTGCAGGCCCTCAAGCACGCGCCTTCGGCCGTCAACCCGGCCGTCGGCGGCATCATCTTCGATCCGGGCAAGGAGAGCGGCCCGCTCAACGCCGTCATCGACGTGCCCCTCCTCATCGTCCACTCCAACTCCTGGTCCAAGCACAAGAGCGCCTTCTACGGCCGCCCGCACTTTGACACCGTCAAGGAGCTCGCCCTCGGCGTCCTCAAGCGCATCCCCAGCCACGCCTCCTGGTTCCTCACCAGCATCGGCACCTCCCACCCCAGCGTCTCCGACGCGCCCCTCCTGGAGCCCCTGCTGCTCAGCTGGACGACGGGCTCCTCGCTCAACACAAAGGAGGCGATGAAGGAGTACGTTCGCGTGGCGGATGACTTTTGGCACTTCCTGCGCACGAGCCGGGACGTCAACTCTTCGTCTTCGTCTTCCTCGTCGGCTTCGGGAACCGGTGGTGCTGGTGTGTTGGAGGGACAGATTGTCCAGAGGGGCGAGATGAGGGGCGTGTTGGCGGAAAAGGTCACGCATGAGCAGTACGGGGAGTGGGTGAGCAAGGAGAGGAGAGACGAGTTTCCAAAGGCCATGGCCAAGTTGTGGGAGGTTCATGTGAGTCCCGTGATGTCTGACGAGGATGGGGGCTATGGCGATGATGGGGATGAGAAGGATTCGATTGCTTATAGAGATTACCTCTGAGTATACATTCACTCCGCTCCCTATGATTAGCAGCTTGTATATAACACGACAATTGAATAAGTACCTGAATAGATATGTACCTAGTGTATAATAATTACCCCTCAACACATTACTGCGGAGAGCTTTTTGGGATGCTTCAACGATTGACTGTAACCGGTAACAGTGAATAAAGGTAGACACAAAGTCAAAACGAAACTGCAGATTCTATCTAGTGACTGCTAGAACAATGTCTCCGTGCCCATCACCCAGCGACAATAACCTAAGTAATAAACTCAGCAATATCAACCCTCGTCAGCTCAAGCCTCCATCTAAATCCTGCAGCATCCAGAAATAAGCGATACTCTAGCCGTTGACCGCCTCGCCCAAGCTTAGATAAAAGCACCCGGCATGCTATCGCTGCTCTGCCGCATCTGGCTACTCGGGCTTCTCTTCCGTCGACTGCTCAGGAACAGGTCCACCATCCTCCGGCTACCCATCGCCTGCGCCGCAAGCTCCCGCCGTCCCAGTTCGTCCACGCCAGGATCTGCTTCTGAACTGAGGGCGCTATCAGCTTCGTACGACGGCCCCGAGGACTTCCAAACCCCCGGTGAGCCCATCTTGCTCACACCAAATTGCCTCTCAAGAGCGGTTGTGAAGCCGGGACTGGACTTGGCCGAGCTGTCGTTTGGCCCGAGGCGTGCCCGCGACTGTCGCTTGAGGCGGGTCTCTTCCCGCAAAGGGGCCACTGACTTGGCATGCCCAATGGTTGAGAATAGGGGTGGCACTTCCAGCGAAGATTCAAGATTGGCCGAGGCGTATGTATTGACGTTGGGCATGGACGGAATGGTTCGCAGATTGCCTTTCAGAGCCACTGGTGAGCTGTCCATGCTGCATACTGTCTTGGGTCGGATTCCCGACGTTGGCGGCGAGTTTTCGTTGGTAGCTGTAGTTTGAGATTGCCAGGGACTCGTGAGATTGAACTTTGCTCTCGCCATTGCGGTAAAGGTGGCTGGCTGATAGACCTCTTCACTGGAGGCAATTCTCGGCGACAACTCAGCATCGGGGATACCCTGAGGAGATTGATTCCCATCAGACCCAATTTCCGTCTTTTCTCTGACGTGTCCATAGGCCTGAGAGACACTCGAAGGCTCATGCGGGAACTCCGGGTTCAGTGTGGTTGGAGGTGTCTCCAGCTTGGACACGTTGGCGCTGAGCCACGTCTTCCATTCGACGGAGCTGGTAGAGGAGCTATCTCGCGCGTGATGACCCGACGCTCCTGGTCGTCGTCTTTCGCTTTCAAGGAAGATGGTAGCATCGCCGTGACCTTTGAACTCTGCCTCTCTGTCTGTGACTTTTGAAGGAGATCGGGGGTAACCATTGTTAAGCGCATGCTGGTCACTATTGTCAGAGTACACGCTCTCTGCGTATGCTCCTCGTGCGTCATCGTGCGATCCCTCTGTGCTTGGGCGGCGCGTAGGGAGGCTGAGTGCAGAGAGGGACCTGAGATACTTGCTATCCGGCGTTTGAGGTTTGCTGCCACCGTGAGCAGCCTTCATGCTTTCTCGCAATGCGCGACGATACGGACTTGTCGTGCGGAATAGGTGGCACGTAGGGCTAGCAAAGAAGGCTGAGCTCCGGCTGGACAGCGGCCGCTTCTGCGATTCGGCAGATGCGGGTGGCTTCATGGTGCTTCTACTGGGAGAAACCCCGGATTCTCCCTCGGTGTCCAGGCTGGGGCAAGCTTCCCGGCCGGAGTTCCGCATGGAGTCGGAGGATGGGCGTGGCTGGACGACGCTTTGGGTAGATCCTGAAGAACAGCACGATACAGGTCTCCTTTCAGTGCGATCTTGGAAGACGTCATCGTCATACGGAACATGGCGAATTGTGTGCGTAGAGCCTTCATACATTATGTGGCGGGTTTGCCGTCTGATTGTCGATGTGCTCCGGGTGGTGTCTGCTTCAAGGGGATCCGGGGCCACGTCATCTTGGACCGTCGAAGGATGTTCACTGCGCTTTTCTTGCAGTCTCTTCATGAGCGCCGAGTACACGCGCTGGCTATTGACAATGGGACCAGCAGGTGGCGGACCATCCTGATGCACTGCCACCTGGTCGTGTGATGAAGGCAAGGCGTCAATGCCATCTTGTCCAAAGCCGGACGAGTACTGACGACTCCAGTTGGCCGACAATGGCCGATTAGCAATGGTGGCCGTAGTAGAGTTGGTCCAGCTAGTGACTCGCGATTTATCATCGTCCAGCGTACCCTCTTCGACCCCGATCGTTCCCAAGCTGCCCTGTCGAGACCTGAGCTGTTGGCTCTGTGGCACCGAATGGAAAGAGGGCACATGAGATACCACACGGTAGACGGACGCCTCTTGTGGTGCCCCTGTTGGCGTCTGGTCACGATAACTGCTGCCGCCATTCGACTCAAGCTCATGGGGATGTTCTTCCGCTTGGTCCGCGGTGCCATCTCTACTCTTGGGACGACTGAACAGCCCCTTGATCCTGCTCTTGAGCGACTTTGAGATTTTACGAGCTGTAGTCCGCAGCTTGGGCTGCTTCAAAGGGACATTGGAAATCCTAGTTCCGTAAGCATGCGCCGAAGAGAGAAGCGTCGTGTTGGTGCTGCTAGTTCGGAGAGATTTGGGAAAGCTCGTTGGGTTCGGAGTGTACTTGTAGCTTGAGCGAAAGAAACTCGATGGCCGACTCTGTAGGCGAGTGGAGTGGTCTGGCGCCTCGTAGAAGCTACCTTGTGCATGCTGGTCGGATACACGACTGCTGGTAATGCTCGTTCGACACGTGGATCTGTCATGGTTGCTTGAGAGGAAGCCCATGGATCTAGGCGTCCTGAGTGCTGGCCCATCTGAGCCACGGAAGGGCTCGTTTTCCTTCTTGGCCAGCGACGAGAGCCGTGGCATTGCTCCCCATGCGTCGAACACATCGGAATGGTCGCCGTTGTCCGTCGAGTAGTTTGGTGCTTTGCTCATCGAAGAAGAATACATGGATCTCGATTTACGTAGCCTCGCGTACGATAACGATGCAGCGTCGTCCCCTGGTTCGAAAGATGATTGAGAGAGCTGCTGAGAGCCAGCGAGACGCCGTGGCATATTGCTACCGCCCACCGCGGCCATGCTTGCCCGCGTAGCGAGTTTCCTTTGAGGCTGGGCGTTGGGGCCGGCAAACCTCACGCTGTGCTGGCGATGCAGACGAGGAGACTTTGCCGCGCCATTCCCCTGAGGAGGCTGCGTCTTGCTGTACGAGATGGTTGCGGCAAGGCATGCGTCTCGTTCGGCTGCCAAAGGCTCGATGCCCGTAAGCTCATGGACAGGATTTCTCACCACCGAGACGGATGACCGGCTCCTGCTCAGGGGGCGGTGATTCGGGCCTTTGCAGCTGTTCCGGCGAAGCATCGTTGTGAGGATGAAGCTCGAGGCTGCACAGAGGCGTTACGTGTCCTGAGGATCTAAAGGGCTGCCTGCCGATAGCAAAGCAGGAAGAAACGATACCGCGCGAGGTGCGTTGCTGGCGGTTGATGACGATGATGGGTGTTCCGATAATGAGATAGACGTTGCTGCTGGCGAAGCATAGAGGAAGGATGTGTCTTTCCGAGAAGCAAAAGGGGGAGTTGAGGCTTGGATTTTGTTTCGTGCTCTGCTTCTTTTCTGCGTTGTTTGATTTTGGCCTCTGGCTTTGGCGAGGAAGGAGGTGACTGTGACGTCTCACGCAATTGCCGGAAGACGCCATTGTTGCCAGCTGGACGGAAAGAGCCAGTTTGACACCTCGTGGCTCCTGCTGTCGGAGCGGTTTGGAGTCTGGCAGCTGGCAGGTTTCGAAGCTTTGGGGCACCTGACTGGCGAGGCTCTTGTGTCCAAAGGCAGACAAGGTGAGCATCTTGAATACGTAAAAGGAGGTAGCAAGAGGAGTGAATTGACTTGCTTGACATTGTACTCTCCTTGCCCATTGCTATTCATTATTGTTCCTCGAATACTAAACATAGATCAAACATCTGACTGACCAACTGACAGCTCCATATAGCCTCCCCTTAGTGAATGGTCCAACGTCAAAACATGGTCACGAGAATACGGAAAGTCGTTGAGCAATCTGATCGCATTGACAATGCGAGTTTGTCTTATTATCATAGCCTGTATAAGCTCATCTTGAGAGCGTAGCACCATGCAGTGTAGAGTACAACCTAAGGGCGAAGAGCCCATTGAATAACATATCCGTGCCAAATACCCAAAAAGCAAAAACAAGTCTCTCCTGATCCCATCCTATGACCCTCGTACTCAATCATCTCGTCGAGCGCATCATGGCCATTACACAAAGGAAAATAGTCTACTCCAAGAGCGACGCCTTACTCGGAGAGCTCGGAGATGAACTCCTCAATCTCCTCCTCGACAAGGTCGTGGATCTTCTTGGCAAACTTCTCGGCCTTGGAGCCAAAGGTCTTGGCACCCTTGACGATCTCGCCAGAGACGACCTCAAAGTCACCCTCGATGGCCTCCTCGAGCTCCTCAATGGTGCTGGGGAGCTTAGCCTGCTTGCTGCTCTTGGGCTTGACAGTGTAGCTGCCGGCCTCGACGATCTGGGAGAAGTTGCTGCAGCCACCGCCGTTCCAGGCGAGCAGGTTGGGGGTGTCAGAGTCGGGCAGGTCGGAGAGGGCACCCTTGGTGGCAATGGAGATGACGCTCTCCTTGAGCTTCTTGGGGGTGATGGGGGCAACAGCGAACTCAGAGTCGCCAGCGGGCTGGAGAGACAGGTAGTAGGCCAGAAGACCGCAGATGTGGGGAGAGGCCATGGAGGTACCAGAGATGGTGTTGACGGCGTACTTGGAGCCGATCCAGGTGGACTGGATGCTCAGGCCGGGGGCAAAGATGTCAGTGCACTTGCCGTAGTTGGAGAAGTAAGCACGGCTGTCATCGAGAGCAGAAGCACCGACGGTCAGGGGCTCAGAGGCAGCAGCGGGGGAGTAGTTGCAAGCATCGGCGTTGTCGTTACCGGCAGCAACGGCGAAGTGGACACCGGCGCGGACGGCGGCGTTGACGGCAGCGTCAAGAGCCTGGGTCTTGCCACCACCCAGGGACATGTTGGCGACGGAGCCCTTGAAGCCCTTTCGCTTGCCATCCTTGGCCTTCTTCACCTCCTCAATGTGGGCGAGAGCAGCATACTCGACACCCTTGACAACGTCGGACATGGTGCCGGATCCGTTGGATCGGAGCACCTTGACGGCGTAGACGTGGGCCTTCTTGGCAACACCGTACTTCTTACCAGCAACGGTACCAGAGCAGTGAGTGCCGTGGCCGTTGCCGTCCTCGTCCTCATCGCCGGCAGGGATGGTCTTGCCCCACTTGGCACGACCCTCGAAGTCGACGTGCTCAATGTTGGTGCCGGTGTCGATGACATAGGCATCAACACCCTCACCACCCTCAGCGGTGTAGAGGTACTTGTTGAAGGAGCCAAAGTTGAGCGTCTCTCGGTGAGAGATACGGGCAAGACCCCAGGGAGCCTGCTTCTCCGTCTCGCCGTTGCACGAGTCCTCAACAATGATGCTGTCCTTGGACTCGAGGGGAAGCATAGTGTGGACAATGCTGTCGCGCTCAATGTACTCGACCTGGAAGGGGTTAGCTTTGTGAAGAGCGCCAAGGAGAACGGCTGTGCAAAACTTACGTCAGGGTGGTTTCGGACCTGCTCAATGACAGACTCGTGGAAGTGACCTGCGTAGCCCTTGAAGCCATCGCCAATCTTGAAGGTGTGCTTCAGACCGTCAAAGACGTCGTCGGCGCCGAAGATGTTGCTTCGCTTGCGGAGCTCAAGGCGCTCCTGCTCGACGTTGGTGTGGATGCTCTGGATCCAGTCGTGGTGCTTGGAGGCATCAGACTCATCGACGTGGTCCTTGAACTTGATGATGTAGGCATCGGGGATGGCGTTGGCCTCGACGGTGCTCAGCACGGGGGCCGAGTTCTCGTGGATGGTGCCAATCTGGAATGTGCTGGCCTGGGCAACGGCCGCCATGGAGAGGGCGACAACGGACCGCATGGTGGCGGATGTGATGGGCTGGCGAGGGAAGGACGGAAGTTGGTCAACCTGCGACAACAACACCAGGAGAGACTGAAAAAACGCAGCGAAACAGAGAAACTCCGGCTTCGACCTGCGTGATGAAAACCACTGGGGGAGATGATGGGAGATGGATGGGAGGGAGAGGCGGATGATGAAGGAAGAGGAAGAGAGGAGGAGGATGGAGGACGAGCGACGGCGCGGTAGATAAGGGCGGCACGAGGCTCCAGTGCTGCCTCAGCGGGCGAGCGTGAGCCGCGGTGACGCATCGCTGAGGGCGGCTAGGCCCAGTCGGGGAAGCGTGCGACTCGGCCCAGTCGGGCTTAGCGGCCTCTCCCGCGTCCAATCCGCGGCCGGGGGCGATGCGATAACGCAACAGCGCGGCCACCTGGCGCCAGGTCACTCAGCCTTGTACCTGCGCCGCGCTGTGTAGCGGGTGCGGTACCTCGCGCCCTTGGCCGAGGGAGAAGGGGTACTCGCGCCTACAGTGCGGACGGGCACCCTTGTCGCGACCCGCTCGTCTCTGGCGGGCATCAGCTGGTGCTTCTCCGTGCGTTCCACGCTTCAGGGTGCAAACGTTCCAAGGTTCACTTCCAAGGTTCGCAGGCCAACCGCGAGAGACACCGGCGAGGGCTCATTTCGGGAGAGTCATTGTTCCGTCATGATGGCTGGGGTGCCGGACAATGACCGCTGCTTCGTGACCGACTTGAGGGCCTCCTCTGAGTGAACAGCGCATCACCGCCTTGTCCTCGTCTACTCCGATGCTGTCTTTGTGCCCAAAGGGTCGAGCGCCTTACATGATGAACGCGTCCTGTTTCACGCCTTTTGAATTCATGTTAGCAGTACTTACGGCTGGATGGATGCCATTGGACGTCACGGACTCGTCGGGACCTTTGTGCGAGGCGAGGTACCTCGAGTACCTTAAGGTACGGGAGTGAGTACAAGTTCCAAGTTCCTGTCTCGTCACGCAGGCTTGGTCCCCTGAGTCCAAAAATGGCCTGGCACTGTACGAGCGTGTGCCGGGTGTCGGTACCTGCGTGCTGCCAGGACCGGCCTTCAAGGTCTCTCTGGCCAGACGCAAACGAAACGCAAACGATCAACCAGCCGACAATCAGGGATGGTTTCAATGGCATTTAGGGGGCGACCCTCGGCAGGTGATTGCCCATCAGGTCGCCTCAGCTTCTGCGAGATATCGTTTCTCCGTATCTATCTGCCCCGTCACTCGTCACTCGACCCCAGCTGATGCACGCAGGCAGCGTCTGCCTCCTTGCTCCCCCGGACGACGCCAGCTCAACAAGACGATAAGCCCTGCATTTGCCAGGCCGCAGCGGTGCATCTGGCCCCATTTCGCTCCCCCGTCCTGACCGTCCCATACTGCGACAGAATGCGGGGATAGATGAAGCTCCGATTGGTCGCCACCGATTCCCTCTGATCCGCCGCCTGGCTCGTGCTCTGTCTGATCACGAGCCATTCTCCCAATATTGCTCATGCCCGTTCGGGGACGACTCGTGACGGTGGCCAGGGAGGCGAGCGCCCAGTGACGCCGCGCTGATCGACGTTATTCACAGCCGGGAGCTGGCGTGGCTGCATCTGGCCGGACCCCTTGGGTTGCATGAGATGCACTGTATAATACGGAGTAACCCAGATTCGCCTCCCTTTTCGTGCCTGGCAACCTGGCTGGCGTAAGCCAAAACGGTCTGGTGCCACGACGGGCGTTCTTGTCGCTATCCTACCCTACTTGCCTACGAGCTCAAGCTCTTTGTCTTCCGAGGACGGACCTGCCTGGACCACATGCGTCTGGAGTGCTTAGATCCCATCAAGCAGAGTGACAGTCAAAGGAAACAAAGCCATCTTGCTTCTGACTTGGGCAGGCCGTGCATTGACGTGAGCATGGCTTGCGTGCTTATCGGCCAAGATGACCTCAAGGAGCTGAGATGACCTGGATCTTATCACCAGCCTCCAGGTACCGAGTACATGCGTATTACGGGAGCCTCCGTCTCTTATCGGGTAAGCCAGCTTATTAGGAGACAGGGACTGAGCACGATGCCGCTGTCAGTATTCGACGCACCTAGGTACGAGTTACTGGTACTATTCTACCAACATAGGTACTATCTCTACCAAGTAATGTGACGCAGAAAGTGTCGAGAGCCAGGCATCGGCGTTTCAGCGCCAACCGAGAGGCGTGATCAACCGCTGTGGTTGCTTCCATGTCCCGTATATACGAGTCTCTGTAGCACAAAGAGGGTCGTATTTACTATTACTCCGTACCCTCCTTCGTTCTTCGCATTTGTCCTCGTACTCGGCCATTCACCCAGCGTCGTTCACCATAAATGCCCTGAATCCAGGGCCCCTTTACACCTCAATGCGCTTCTCCTGACTCTGGCCCGTATTCACCACCACGCCGTGATCGGCCCATGACTCTCCAAGTACAGCTACGACGAGTATTGACTCCTGGACATTCTTTATGCACGTGTTGCATATGGAAATGCACGTAATACTAGTCGTCGTCGTCCTACACACCGCAAGCGGTTCAACACTGCTTTCGCAGCGCGCGGCTCCTATGCATTCATCGCTGAGTGCTTGATAGGTCAGTAGGTAGCTGGATGAGGAACCGAGGCCATGACGACGTCTGCAGAGGACAAAGAATCGGTAGCGAATGGCAGGAGTCCACAATGGATCCGTTATCGTCTTTGAGCTGTCCGACCAGACATGGCACTGCCGCCTGGCTTCATGTCCCATTTCCACTCCCGAGCATCCAAAGAGGCTGCAACTGCATGGTTGCCTTCACGTTGTAGGATTATCAATACCTTATCCAAGCTTCAACCCGTCCATCCAATCCTCTATCACGGGCCCCTTATCCTCCAGCCACTGGACCCAAAAGATAAGCACTCGACCTGAGGCCCGCTGTGCAGCTCTCTAAGGAGCCGTTTAGTGGCTCGCAGCGGGGCGTCGACTGCCGTAGCCACATCCCACCTCCACTAGCAGCCGCAATGCCGTACCTCAGCCACATTCAAGGCTGACGGCAGGCTGCAACTTCATCAAAGAGCTGGACAGCAAGTCATCACGATCTCGCAGCGAATTGTCTCCTTTATCGCCGAATATTGCTTCACGGACTGGGGACATCGGTTCCGTCCTCAGCTTGCAATCATCATTCCTAACCGCCTGTCTGCCTTCTCTCTGGGGCCGCAGCCTTCCCATCGACCAGCTGACCGCCGCCAACGAGCTTCATGCGCCCCGCGCCAGAGCTCCGAGCTGCCTGTCCATCTTGCCGTTCTTCAATGCTGTTGCGCATAGCTGACGGCCTGGACCCTTGACGGGCCCTGGAAGGCAGCCCTACTGGAATGCGAATTCGGCCGAGACAGCACCATGGCGACTCTTCCCACACGATTCCGATCGTCGACGTCGGCGTCCACTTCGGCGAACACGAACCCGAAATACCTACAAGTCTTACAGACGCTGCTCGATGACCTCACCCGCCAGCAGACGGCTCGGAACGATGATGGCTACCCCGAGATCTCGACGATTGTCAAGGGGCTGCGGAACATTGCTCAGCTGATAGCTTCCCCCCCCATGCCCTCGAATCAAGATGCCTTTCGCCATGCTGGGGGCTTCGAATGCATCCTCGACGTCCTGCGCGGCTTTGCCGGCTATCACGACCCGCGGAAGCGGACCCAGGCCGAGATGATGTCATTATTCAAGCTGCTCGGAGCATTCCTGAACGTCTTGTCAGCTGCCTTCCGCGACCACTCTGGGAACAAGAGATTCTTCCGATACCGAGTCGCAGGGGGCGGCTGGGAAGCCCTGGAGCAGATCATTGCGAGCATTGGCCTGGGAGGGGCAGAGCCCGATGCTTGGGTTAGCTGCCATGTCTTTGGAAAGCTTCTCGCCTTCTCTCTGGACGACGAAGCTTTGGATTTGCTCTGCCAATCCATCGCAAAGGCATTGCGTGCGGAAACCGAAACCGAGGCCAGCCAGGCCGACGCCCCTGAGAACCCCGAAAATGATGCCGAGGACGGGGCCGACGAACAGTGGGACCTTGTGCTTGCACGCTCAGTGACTAGCATTGGGCCGAGTGTGCGAGAAGTGGTCACCCCCAAGACGATCATACGCCATCCAGAGCTGCTCAGGGCTGTCGTGAGCTTCTGGCGCGCCATCCCGAGATCAGAGAACTCGTCGCCAAGCCCATCATCCCTCATCGTGCTCGAGACTATCCTTAGCGCAGCGTCTGTCTCAATCTACAACCGCGCCGCCATCCACTCAACAGGCGTTCTCTCGCAGTTTCTCGAGTCTGCTTTCTCATCCCAATCCAACCTCGCAAAGGCGGAACGCGACAAAGTGCTGGACCTATGCCGACTGCTTATGCACCTTGGCGTGAACCAACCCGCCGATGTTCAGTTCCTACTGTCGGCGCCAGGCCCAGAGGCGGCCAGCTTCTTCCTGGAGATGACGTCGAAATACACTGGCCCTCCTTTCTTCCAGTTTGACCTCTCATTACACGGGCATTCTTCCCTGGAGCTACCGACTCTGGGCCGCCCATTCCCTCCCCAGTCTACGGCGGGATACACCTTTGCGGCCTGGATACGTGTCGAATCGTTCGATCCGACTGCGCATACTACCATCTTTGGCGTCTTCGATTCTACGCAAACGTGCTTTGTGCTAATGTACTTGGAACGGGATACTCACAACTTTATCCTTCAGACTTCAGTCTTCTCCAATAAGCCTAGTGTGCGATTCAAGTCGATAACGTTCCGTGAAAAGAAGTGGTACCACATCGCCGTTGTTCATCGCCGACCCAAGACAATAACAGCCAGCAAGGCCTCTCTCTACGTGAATGGGGAGTTTGCGGAACAGATTCGCTGCAACTACCCGCACATGCCTCCACTTGCGAACGGGAGCACGGAGACATTTGCCTCCTTCAACTCCAATCACAACAAGCACAACCCCGTCCAGGCGTTCCTCGGGACCCCTCGCGATCTGTCGAACCAGAGCGGCCCGGGTCTTGTCTTTTCGAGGTGGTCCTTGGCATCCGCCTATCTGTTTGAGGATGTCCTTAGTGATGATTACATTGCAGTTCACCATGCCCTCGGACCACGCTATCAGGGCAACTTCCAGGACACATTGGGCGGCTTCCAGACGTACGAGGCCTCGGCTATGCTGGGCCTGCGCAATGAGATTGTTCATTCCGGTAAGGACGAGAACTCTGATATCCTCCGGGCCGTACGCGACAAGGCAAGCTCGCTGCTTCCAGAGTCCAAGATCCTCCTCGGCATTCTCCCATCCGCCACCTTTCCCGAAAATGTGCAATACCTCGACACTGGCGTTCTCCGTGCCCTCCCTCGCTCATCCACGCGCAATCTGTTCCGCATGTCAAGCAAGGAGGGATCGCCACTGGCCATCAACTGCGCGGTACCGAGTCTCACGGATGCCTTGTTTAGGGCACAGGGTATTGCCTCTTTTCGAGGGACGCCAATTGTGGCTGTCCCGTCCTACTTTGATGAGAATCTGTGGCGTCTGGCCGGCTTCACGCCATTGGCCCTGAAGCTGCTGGAGAAGGCGACAACTGTCGAGGAGACCGTCCACGCCATTGAGATCATGTTCCACTGCATCCGCAGGAATTGGAGAAATAGTGAAGCCATGGAGAGGGATAACGGATACAGCATCTTGGGCATGCTCCTGCGGTTCAAGATTGGACATTATTCTGGCGCCGCAAGCGACAATGCGCAAATTCCTCGGCTCTCAGCATCTAACGAGGAGCGCGAGAGCCTTGCCTTCAGGGTCCTCAGCCTGGTGCTGGGCTTTGTCGGCTACAATCATGCAGAACCCATTGAGTCTTTCATCATCAACCCCTTAGCATATCGCATCCTCTTGATCGACTTGGATATCTGGCGCAAGTCAGGGCCACGCGTCCAGGAACTCTACTATAAACAATTCGTGACCTTTGCCGTTAACAGTAAATTTCATGACTTCAACAGTAGGAGGTTGTTACGGATGAGTGAGTAACTTGGTCGCTTCTTCTTCCAAGAGTCCGCAGTGCATTCTAACCGTGTCTCGCAGGAATTGTAAAGCGGCTGCTGGACGCCATGAAGGGCGAGGCCATTTCTGAAGAAGTCGTGCCCCAGTTCATGGGAGCTTTCGAAGCCCTCGTGAGATCGAATCTGAGCCAAGAAGTCATGCGATCCTTGTCACTCTTCATTACGTACGCATTTCACCTGCCCGTATCCGTGGGTTCGCGGACTCCAAGACTCTCTTTGGCCACTTCGCGATCCAGCACTCCCGGCCCCTTCAAGCGAGGAGCTGCGGATGGGAGCGATAACAACAGCCCGTCCAGCGGTAGTCGAACCGTGTCGAAAAAGCAGCTTGGAACCAAGGTTTTGAGCCTTTACTCCAGAATCCTCTGCGAGAGAGGCAACTTCAACAACATCAAGAAGTTTGCAAAGACTGTCACGAACAAGGTAGGCACAATTGCATCTCATCCGCGCAACGGGAAGCGAGGAGCTGACTGACTGACTGACGTCTTGGTGCTGGATGCTTAGTGGCTTCTCTATCTCCTTGCCGATGATGATCCCGAGACTGTCGTCCATGGTTGCAAAATCCTAGCCCGCCTTCTTGTTGTCCACGGATCGGCTTATACATCGAAATTCGCTGGCAAGTCTGGCGGATTCACCATCATGGCGAACCGGCTGAAGAGGTTCTGGGATGTCCCTCCCTTGTGGACCATCTGCTTCTGCATCTTATTCGGGCAAGACGTGGCCGATATTAATTTTGACAGCAGATCTGACTTCCTTTCGCTGGCTGAAAGGTTTGACAAGCGCAAAGTTGTCTATCCCGAGTCACTGGTTGTCATCACATCGATGCTTCAACATGGCCTGAAGGATGTGATGAAGTACCAAGAAGACCCAGATTCTCCTGCAACCAATCTTTCGCCGTCTCACGCCATGGCTAGACCCGTGACTGCCTACGACTCAAGACCGAGAGCGAGCTCCGCGGACCTCGTCAGAGCGTTGGAACCTAGGAGTATGTCTACCCTTTGATGGCTATCTTTGTGTAATATTGCGTTTTCTCTGACTTAAGGTTTGCAGTGACACTGTCTCGAGAGAAAGTAGGAGCACATGCTGGCTTCCTTCAGAACGCCATCCAAGTCCTGCGAGATCTACACGAGCGGTCTGCCGAATTCCGAGACTTTGCTCTGTCGTCCGAATGGCTTCGCCTGCTCTTGGCGGCTCTGTATCCCATCATAGTCAGCGCCGATGCTGTCACTCCTGACGTGGAACTGAACTCACGAGACTCTGCTCTGACCTTTGAGGGCAGCGATGTCATTATCCGGCCCATGGGCGGGAGCTCTGTGCCAGCGCCCATTGTCAGAACGACTAATATTGATCTTATGCCGTCGCCGCAGTCTACGCCGCCCAAGGGCACGCCCTTGAGACGAGCGTCGTCTTTCGTCCTCCTGACTGCCCAAAAGACTGCCGCTGAGCCAAGGCTCTCCGTCCCTTCGACGAAGCCTCTTCCCCAACAGCAAAAGGTGCTCGGTAGTAGCATCGGTGATTCTATCGTGGATGGTATTACCGACTTGGTTATGCATGTGTTCATGGACCAAATCTTCGTTCGCAAAGAGTTTTCGGGATTCGGCCTCTTCATTAAAATGCCTCCTGGCTTCCAAGAGCACCAGGCATATTTCGAATCTTATATCTTGAAGAGGACAATATCCGAAGTCACGAATGTAATCCAGACGAGGCTTGAGGGAATTTGCGAGCCGAGGATTCTAACAAACCTTGGCCGGCTCTGTACCCATCTATGTGAAGCAATCTTTGAAGGCTGGTTTCTGAACGGAGCAGAGGCCTTGATTGACTTCAACGGCATGCTCTTGGAATTCTTACAACGACCCGAAATCGCGGGACTGAAAAGCGTTCGTCTGTGCAGCCCGGCTATATCGACGATCCGCAGCTGTCTCTTGAGGACGGTCCTGCTCCGGCTTTCGGACCTCGACAGCCGGCAAACTTCGGAATCAGAGGCCAAGGAGTTTATGAACAAGCTTGCCTATTGGCAAATGTCGATTCTTGGCTGTCTGGGAGCTGACGACGACTACTTGAAGCTGCTTTGGTACCAGCTTTACACAAAGCTTATCGACGACAAAGCCTCGATTCGTACCGCCGCGGCCAATTTTCTGCGCATCATTCTCGTGCAAAAGCCCGAGGAATCGATTGCCCTGATTCGCTCATCCTCTGCCCCCGACCAGAGGCAGATTGTTCGCGATTTCCAAAAGCTGACAGAGATGGACGACGAGGCCTTTGTCCTCTGGGTGGACAAGCATAGACCAGCACTGGACATGCTCTTCTTTGGCGGCATGTCGAAGACGTGGGAAGATTTCGTCAGCGCAGAGAACCACCGCACGATAGAATCCGCAAAGTCGCGCCTCGCAAAGCGAAAGGAGAAGCTCAAGACTTGGAATGTAGAGGTCATTGGAGCGGAGAAGACTCTCATCAGCCATGATATTGGTAACAGCGCATGGATGAAGAGCATCTACAGCGGCGAATACTACAAGTATCAGCGTCTCATGCAGGATCAGCAGGACGACTTGGCCTTTCTCATGGCGGGCTACAGAAAGATGGAGCGGGATTTGCAGCGGCCTGGGGCCGTGTTCAGCATACCCACGGCACCGAAGTGGAAGCTGGATCGAACAGAGGGGCGAAACCGCATGCGCTTGCGTCTTCTTCCCGACTACCCGGTTGGCGAGGACAGATATCAGCCCAAGGCCAAAGGCAGCCTGTCGTCGTCCACCGTGCCCTCTTCTACCGCTGCCACTACCGCAGCAGCTTCCGGCAATAATGCCTTGAGCACGACTCCAACCTCGAGAGATGCGACAGGCGCAGGAAGCCGGCCGCCCACGCGCTCGAGCGCCTTCTTGGATGGTGCCAACGACAATGATGCCGCAGCGCTGACCATGGAGCCCGACTCGACTGCCGACAACCCCGACACCGGGCTCACGGCAGAGGACGACTTTGAGCTCGTTGACGATCCGAATGAGCCAAACGAGGGCGATGAGAACTTTGAAGATAAGAACCGCAAGGTTATGCGGCGCCTGGAGCATGGTGACCAAGTGCAGGCTGCGTACAACGTGTCTCGTGTCACGGGTCTCGAGGCATGCGAAGGCCTTCTGATAGTAGGGAAGGACGCCCTGTACATCATGGACAATGTGTTCCAGTGCGCCAACGGCGATATCGTGAACGTGTGGCAAGCGCCGCCAGAAGAGCGCGATCCGTTTACCCAAATCGTCACCGGGGCGAAGACGCTCGAAAAGCGGCAGAACGCGGGCGGCCGAGAGCAGGAGTCGAGACATTGGAGATGGCAGGATGTCATCAGCATCTCGAAACGTCGGTTCCTCTTCCGGGACGTGGCCATTGAGATTTTCTTCACGGACGGCCGAAGCTACCTGCTCACCACCATCAGCACCGCATTCAGAGACAGCTTGTTTGCAAAGATGTTGAGCAAGGCCCCGCATACGAGTGCCGCCCATTCGCTCCCCAACCCAGAAGATGCGTGGAGGTTTGACATGCTCAAGGGGTTTGAGGACTCCCCGCAAGGCCTGGGGTCTCGTCTCGGAACCCTGTTCAACGCGTCGCCGTGGACTTCCATCATGAAGCGGTGGCAGCGGGGGGAAATCTCCAACTTTCACTATCTCATGGTGGTGAACACCATGGCCGGCCGGACCTTTAACGACCTGACACAGTATCCCGTCTTCCCGTGGATTCTGGCCGACTATACTAGCGAGGATCTCGATCTGGAGGATCCAAAGACGTTCCGGGACTTGTCCAAGCCCATGGGCGCCCAGACGGCTAACCGCATTCAAGGCTTCATCGACACCTATAGTGCGCTTGAAGAGATTGGACAGAAGCCGTTCCACTACGGCACCCATTATTCATCCGCCATGATTGTATCCTCGTACCTCATCAGACTGCCGCCGTTTGTGCAGTCCTACCTCCTTGTCCAAGGAGACAGCTTTGATCATGCAGACCGGCTGTTCCACTCAATCGGCGACGCTTGGAACTCTGCCTCATGCAACAACAAGACAGATGTGCGAGAACTGATACCTGAATTCTTCTGTCTCCCGGAGTTCCTGACAAACATCAATGGCTACGACTTTGGCCGTCGCCAAAGCAACGGTGCTCAGGTCAATAATGTTGAGCTCCCTCCGTGGGCCAAGGGCGACCCCAAGATCTTTATTGCGAAGCACCGTGAAGCACTCGAAAGCCCGTACGTGAGCGAGAACCTGCATAAATGGATAGACTTGGTGTTTGGATTCAAGCAGCGTGGCGATGCGGCGATGGAGAGTCTCAATGTCTTCCACAACCTTTCGTATGCCGGCTCGGTCGACCTTGACCAGATCACGGATGTCAACGAGAGGGCAATCTCGGCTGGCGTCATTCACAACTTTGGCCAGACGCCTCACCAAGTGTTCCAGAAGCCTCACCCGCCCCGGGAGCAGCTCAAGTCGTCGGTGAAGAGACTGGATACTGCCGTATTCTCGCTGGCATGCCTGCCAAACCCGCTGCTGGAGAGCCACGAGAGGGTTTCGACGCTTATCTACGCGCCTAAGCTGGATCGCCTGCTCTGCGCCTCGCCATTCCGCCTCAACCTGCCGCCGTACGACAAGTACCTCGAGTGGGGATATGCGGACAACAGCATCAGGTTCTTCTTCGCCGATAACCGCAGGCCGGCCGGTCTGTTTGAGAACCTGCATATCGGCCAGATTTCGTGCGCTGCCTTTGCCGACTCCAAAACGCTCATCACCGCCGGAGAAGACTGCGTGGTTTCCGTACATGCGCTGCACACGGCACCGGGCAAGGTCGTCGAGTTGATGCCTAAATCGAGCTTGTTCGGCCACAAGACGCCGGTGACTGCGATTGCCGTGGGCAAGGCCTTTAGCACGTTCGTGACGGCTTCGTCAGACGGCCAGGCGTTCCTGTGGGACCTCAATCAGCTGTCTTTCATTCGCAAGCTGCCACTCGTGCGGCATGTGGAGTGTGCGCAAATCCACAATGTGTCGGGCGACATCATGCTCTGCTCGGGACCTAACGTGATCCTGTACTCTCTCAACGGCAGTCTTATTCTCGAACAGAATGTGTGCTCGGACTCGGAGGACTATGTCCACTCGTGTGCCTTTTACGAAGGCGCAGGCAACGAGTGGCTGGAAAACTATCTCATCTTTACGGGCCATCGTGGAGGCATCGTCAACGTGTGGCGCAAGAGCGTGGTGGGAGGCAAGTGGACGTTGGAGCTGCTGCGACGGCTGGACCATATCGATTACAACAGCGACATTGGAGAGAACACCGCGGCTGGCATTACTTGCATCAGTCCGATGCCGACGTGTGTCTACACTGGAGATGATGATGGGCGAGTGGTAAGTCTGGATCTTTCACTCACACTCTGTTACGGCGCGTGGCTAACGAGGGATTGCAGTATGAGTGGAATTTCGCCGGCAGAGACAGGTAGAGCCTGAGCATGCCGCGCGGAACGTCTGTGAAGAACATTCGTCGCGTTGCAACGCGGTCTGGGTGAGTGAGCGGGTAAGAAGTTGGGAGAGTGACGAATAGATATCGTGCAGGGAGTTGAGGGGTGATTAGCATTTATAGATTCCTCAGGGGCGCTTAAAAGGTTGGACATTGCATGCGTAGCGAGATGAAAAAGAATGGTTTGGATCGGTAGCAAGTAGAGAAGAAAATTGTGAATTATCATTTTGTCATTTGTTTCGATTTGTTGAATGAGTCTGTAGACTTGGCTTCCCAAGACCTTCTCTCCCTATTCTCTTGTGTTTTTTTTTTTTATACATATGGATAACGCCGTGGTTTTGTATTTATGTACAGGGACTCGTGTCTGCATTATGATGTGTCTTTCAGTCTTGGACTTGGTGCAGATTCCCTCGTTGGATGTAGAGGTTTGGCTTTTGTCTGGTTCGGTAGGTTTATTCGTCGTCGTAGCCCGTCAACTGCTTTCGAGGGCCAGTAGGGACTATACACCAAAAAGTCAGTCTCTGGTCTCCATTGGCCAACCATCACACCCTATAGTGTCTCCCATCTCGTCCTTGCAATGATCGACTGTCGGACAATCTTCTCGAGACGCAGCGAGGGGTCTGGCAAGACGTACCGGGATAGGTGACGGGAATGGGCGCAGGGTCGACGTCGCCGAGCATGTGGCGGATCGGGGGCACGATGGGCATGAGCAGAGGGCCGGTGGCGCCGACGACGACGGACCAGAAGAAGGCGGGACGCTCGCGGGCGGCCCAGCTGCAGTACTTGAGGGGCGTTGACCAGAAGAGGGGGGCGGACATGGTGGTGGTGGTGGTGGTCGGTTTCTGCTATAGTTGTGAGGGTCCTTGTCAGCTGGGGGTTTTGTTTCAGAAGAAAGAGGGGTGGTGTAGGTGGTTACGTTGGGTGGCTGTACTGACTGTTGAGGTTGTGCGGAGGGGGATTGGGGGTTATTGGGGGGATTGGCCAGGGCGGGAAGATGCGCGAGAGGGAGCGATATCAAGGCGATTGTGGTGACATGAGATGGAGGTTTCGGCTCAAAGTTGGTGATGCTTGGCTGCGGCGCCTTTCGGTAGATGTCCGGCAATACTAATCCGCTGGCCACGAGCTTCGAGGTACCCGCGGCTGAGGTGTGTCCCGCAGCAAACCCACATGTACCCTCGATTACGTGCGACCTTGTAAGTACCTCGACCCCAATTGGAACTGGAAGTTGAAACTGCCGCCTGGTGGAAGTGACGAAGTGCAGTGGAGGCCCCACAGCGGGAGCAACGAGGCTACGTATCCTCCAAAAGTGCAGTGGTTGAGCAGAGCTTCCGCAGCTGATTGAAGCCTCCCATTCTTTCTTTGCAACCACCCAAAAGCCACCACATACCGAACCGGCTGGATCTGTTCTTCTTTTTGAGGCCTCCGTCATGTGGTCGATTCTGAGCGTTGCTGCGGCGCTGTTTGCGGCGGCGGTCTCGGCCGTGAGCACGAGCGGGAACCGGCTGCTGGTGGTGCTGGACGACGTTGCCGAGAAGGAGGCGTATGGCCAGTTTCTGGGGGATCTGACAGGTGCGTCTTTTGCTGCCAAAGATGCCTGGTTTTGACTCGTTTCTGGAGCAATTGGGTCGCGGGATTGGTGCTGGAGCTTGAGCTGATCTGGAGTTCTTTGCAGCGCGAGGGTTCCAGGTGTCGTATGAGACGCCGCGGAGCGAGGGACTGACGCTGTTCCATCTGGGCGAGAGGACGTACGACCACTTGTTGTTTCTGCCGTCCAAGGTCAAGGGTATGTTGTCTCTTATACCCGCGCTATCTCTACTCTACGTTTCCATCATTCATGACCATCAATGGCAGTTGCTTGCTGACACTGCCTCCAGGACTTGGACCCAACCTGACCCCGAACCGCCTCGTCGACTTTGTCAACGCCAATGGAAACATCCTCGTTGCGCTGTCCTCCACCGTCCCCGCGTCCACCTCGCTCGTCTCTCTCCTCTCTGAGCTCGACATCGCCCTCCCCGTTGAGCGCACCGGCACCGTTGTCGACCACTTCAACTACGACACCGTCTCTGCTGCCGAGTCCCACGACGTCCTCGTCCTGGATGCGCCGTCCAACATTCGCCCCGGCCTCAAGTCCTACTTTGAGCTTCCTGGCGGCGTCCTGGCCTTTCCTCACGCCGTTGGCCATGTGCTCGGTTCCGGCCCGCTGCTGACCCCCATCGTCCGCGCGCCCGCCACTGCGTACAGCTATAACCCCAAGGAGCAGGCTGAGGTCCTTGATGCTGATGAGCTGTTCGCTGCGGGCCAGCAGCTGGCGCTGGTGTCGGTGCTGCAGGCGCGCAACTCTGCGCGCGTGACTGTGCTCGGTTCGGCTGAGATGCTGCAGGACAAGTGGCTCGATGCCAAGGTGGCCAAGCTGGGCGGGAAGAGCACCAAGACGGAGAACAAGGAGTTTGCTCGACGGGTGGCTGGCTGGACGTTCCAGGAGATTGGTGTCCTGCGCGTGAACAGCGTCGAGCACCACTTGCAGGGCTCTGAGGAGCTCAACCCTGGCATCTACCGTGTCAAGAACGACGTGGTGAGTAACCATGAAGCCCAGTGAAGCGCATGCTTATCTGACCTTTGTATCACGCAGTCATATGCCATTTCCCTGTCCGAGTACGTCTGGGACAAGTGGGTGCCCTTTGTTCTTCCCGAAGACGACCTTCTCCAGCTCGAGTTCTCCATGCTCTCGCCGTTCCACCGCCTGAACCTGGAGCTTACGGGCACCACTGACGACGCTGCCATCTACGGCGTGTCCTTTACGCTTCCCGACCAGCACGGAATCTTCAACTTCATGGTCAACTACAAGCGCTCGTTCCTCAGCAACGTCGAAGAGAAGAACACGGTTAGCGTCCGCCATTTCGCACACGACGAGTGGCCTCGCAGCTTTGTCATTTCGGGCGCCTGGCCGTGGATCTCGGGTATCGGCGCGACGGTGACGGGCTTCCTGGGGTTCTGCGCGATATGGATGTACAGCAAGCCTGTGGGGAAGAAGAACTGAAGACGAGGTGCGATGAAGCAGCTGTGTGTCGATGAAAGCACGGGGAAGGCATGGTAGGAACATCGGTACAAGGCCTCAAAAGAGGGCGTTGTAGATTTTGTTTATGTACGATTTGCATCTGGCGGGCCATGAGAAATACCCATGGAATGCACTTGAAGTGTGTGCTGGGAAGATCTTGACGATTGCCTTGAGTAGGGACCATGAAAAGCAGATGAGATGAATAGATTTCTCGCGTTAAGGGATGGACCTGGGTGTTGTCGAAGTGACTGGTGATGGCACGTAGCTTGTCGAGTCAAGTAGGTAAACATTTATCATTCATCCTATTTGCTCGACGAACAATCGAGGTACGAGGCCGGTGATGGCATGTTTCTGTCAGGCAATCAACACCATCGTCCATCTATCTGCACTCGCTGAATGCCCCAGACAGCCACCAGCCAGCAGTTACGAAACATCCCATCAAACAAACAAAAGACCAAACAAAACAAAAAAGTAAAGTAGAATAAAATACAACAAAACAAAACAAACCAAAATAAAACAAAACAAAATAAAACAAAACACACCTAAAGACAGCAGTAACGTAGAGGAAAAAAACAACAGACAATAGAGAAGAACAAAGCAAACAAAGCAAAAATGCACCCTCAGATTAGCTCTCTTCTGTTCTCACCGGCAACCCGCAGCCTTTTTGTTGTAGCTTGTCACAGCCCGACACTGCTGCTGTTGTCTGCAAATTTGGCTTTTTGGTCCTTGAAATCATCACCAGGTGGCTTCTTTTGCTTTTGTTTCAAACATCAAAGAAAAAAACAAGAGCGGAAAAAAAAAGGAAAAGAAAACACACACACTGATCCTCCCCGGCCTCCTTCCTCACGTTCTCCCACAATCGTGTCTTCCCCATACAAGACCACAGTCCCCTTCAACCCTGTGTAGAGCATCTGCATGTGTTTCTGTGTGCTCGAGCTCATTGTAGACAAGAAAAAGAAGAGCAACTACCTAGGGTTGTTGCGCTCAGCCTGCTCCGATTGAAAACTATGTATTTCCTTTCCACCGCTGGGTGGGAGGGAGGCATCATCAAGACTCTGCTTCGGACCTTGGGGAAGGATGGGAAGAGAGGAGCTTTCTGAGGTGCTGAGGTATCTGTCATTGCGGCTACTGTGAGCGGAACAACCTGAAAGGGATAACTAGGCAACTCTACCATTTTATCTACAAAAGGGAGAACAAGCAAAGGCAAAAGACATGAGGAAATACCTACGAAGGAAGAGGGAAGACTGTGGAGGAGGGAAGAGAGTGAAGGAGAGTGAGGACGGGGAAGGGAGGGTGTGTGTGTTGGCTCGCTCAGATTTCTGTTCTTTGCATCTGTGGACATGTGCCGACGGCTTGATCGCGGTGGATCAGACCTGAAGGCTTGTTCCCTCGTGGAGAGTGTGCAAGAGATATCATCACCGAGAGCCGAAGCAGAGTGGCTAGGTCTGCGGCAGGAATGGAGGGAGGAGGCCAGTTTGGGCTGCGGTGAAGTGGTGTGAGGGGGGAGAGAAAAGAGATGGACAAAGGCTGGAAGGGGGAGGAGGCGACGTAAAGAAGTCGACGAGAGGAGGTGTAGAGAACGTGAAGCGATGGCGATGGGAGGTTGGTAGCTCAGGGAGCCCCGATGATTTGCAACAGCAGCTGAGAGAGAGAAGAGAGGAGGGGAAGAGAAAAGAGCTGGTGAGCAGAAGAGATGGGGGATGGCAAACAAAGTTGGGGAGAAGGCGAGGTGAGAAGTTGGAGGGGGGTCGCTTGCTGTGCGCCGTTTGGCTTGGATGGATGGACTGGAAGAAGGAAAGAAGGGAAGGAGAGGAAAAGAAGAGAAGATAGGAGCAGGGCTGCTTTATATACCCGTGGGAAAACGAAGTCCAGTCGGATGCCGGAGGGGATGGATGATCCGGGCGTGATTCACTGCGAGCGCTGCGCAAAGGCTGCAGTGAATTGCGCGTGGGCTCACTTTCTTCTCACTCTTGGCGGGGAGCGGCGTGAGTGGATGGCTGGGAGTGGCAGCTGGCACTGGCGGTCGTGAGCAAAAGGTGAGATTTGCGTGCCGGTTTGCGGCGGTATCACGAAAAAAGTGAGGTTTGGAGGTTTGGAGGTTTTGGAGGTTTGGGCGCGGGATTTGGGCAGAGGAGACGCGCTTATGGTCTGGGCTGGGTGCTTTAGCGCTGGTGGAGGGTGGGATGCAGGTACCGCAGAGGGCAGGGATGCCTTATGTATGGGGGACAAGGGGGGACAAGGAGACTTGGACGAGCTGCGAGAACTTGAACGTGCTCGTGAGGGTCATGGTGATGGAATCTGGTGATGCAGATGGAGATTCTGGGAAGAGGGAAATTATATTGAACCAATTCATCAATTATTCTTGTCCCCTTGTGACCGTTTCTAAGGTAGAGAGGGGATGAGGTATCGCGGTGGCACGTCGTCGACCTCGTTAGTCAGCCGTACCTACCTTACGATACTACATGGAATGGCAAGCCATGCACAAAATAGCGTCACGATCCCATTCCCCTTCTGGCCTGAGATGCTCAAACTACCTCGATAGCGTCACATAAACGATGAAGCCTCGTCTCTGCTCGTTATTCCCGGCCTCATCTCATGCATCCGTCGCTCGTCCGCTGTCGGAGCTCTCGCCTCCCTTGTCTCTCTCGCCACAAACGTCGCAGTCCATGATCCAACGACAGCCTCCTCATCCATCGCCAAGATGACCCAGCCGGACATGTCCTCCCCGTCACCCGCTGCCGCCGCCGTCCAGAACCAGACGCTCGCCAAGAAGAAGAAGCGCGCCTCCAAGGCCTGCTCCTGCTGCCGCACCCGCAAGATCCGCTGCGACGTGCTCAAGACGGGCGTCCCCTGCACCAAGTGCCAGCTCGACGGCTTCGACTGCGTCGTCCAGGCCCGCAAGAAGCGCCGCGGGAAGCACGAGGTCGAGAGGCTGAAGCAGCAGCAGCAGCCGTCGTCATTGTCGCCGTCAGGCCGCGGGCTGGGGCTCGGCGCTGCCGCTGCGAGGCTGCCGTCGTCGCCGCGCTCCATCCCGCAGCATGCCATGCTTCACCAGGTGCCGCACTATCCCTTCCTGCGCAGCTTTGCCCCCGAGAGCCAGCCGCCGTCCTTGCTGGCTGTCTCGCGGGGAGGCAGTCTGGACGATCCGGGGGCGATGAAGCACTCGCGGCTGGATGACGATGACATGCAGTATCTGCAGCGCAAGGGGGCGCTGACTCTTCCGCCGAGGGCCGTCATGGACGTCTTTGTGTCCAACTATTTCCAGCTGTTCCATCCGTTCTTCCCCATCCTCGACAAGTCCAGCTTTCTGGCGAGTTACTACCGGAGTGACCGCGATGCTGCGTCTCACTCTCGTGGTTTGAGTCTGTTGCTGCTTCAGGCCATTCTATTTACAGCCTCTGCGGTACGTTCTCATTGTTCGGTGTCATGGTCAGAGGAGCAGTCTGTTGACTTGGCTTCACCACTAGACGGTGCCCATGAGCACAATCCGCGATGCTGGCTTTACATCTCGAAAAGAGGCGAGAAACTTGCTACATAAAAGAGCACGAGTATGTCTCTCTGAAACCAATGTCCAACGAAACCTCGAAGTAAGTATGGTATGTATGCTCATTATTCGCAGTATCTATACGAGTTTGATTTCGAGTCGGACGACATCGTAAACATTCAGGCACTCCTCCTGATGAGCCACTTCTACCCGTCCATGGTTGAGCAAAAGCACACTTGGTTCTGGATCCATCAAGCCATCAGTCTTGCGCAGGGCCTCGGGCTGCACCGGAATGCCAGCCAAGAGCCGCAGCGCAAACTGTGGGCGAGACTATGGTGGGCGTGCCTGGTCCGAGACCGGCTGACTGCCCTCGGAACTGGGCGTCCCATGCACATCAACAGCTTGGACTGCACAGTCCCGATGCTGACGCTTGATGACCTGAGGGAGGATGGCGACAGTGAAGACGACCAGACGGTCAAGGAATTCTTCATTGAGTTTGTCAAGCTTTGCCAGTACATGGAGGGCGTGCTCTCGCTGCCTCACAACATTGCCACGGAACCGGGGTCCTTGCCAGAGCAGATTAATCTATGCGAAGAAACGCTTCAGCATTGGCGCTTGAATCTGGTCCCGAGCGCGAGGCTTCACGATGACTACAGTATGGCCTTTGACAAGCGAGGCATCTGTACGCTCTACAAGGCGCTGCTGCATCTCATGTACAAGTAAGCTCTCCTTGCCATGGCCTCATTGGCTTCAGTCCCCGACTGACAGGCAAATAGTATCGTCATCATCGCCTTGCACAAATCACACCAGATTCTCGACGAGAGCCGACCGAGCGGCGCACAGCTCCCGCTGCCCAAAGTTCAGGCTGCTGCTGAGGACTCGACGCGGATTGCCGTTGAGCTCGTTAGGTTAGACTTGGTCAAATACTGCCCGACAATATGGTAGGCGTCTTTCTACCCGTTGCAGCGATGTATGGACACTAACTGCTTCACAGCGTGACCGTCATTCTACCGCCACTCATCGTCCACCTTCTCATGATGCGGTCGGCTTCTGACGAATCTGACCGACAGCCCCATATCGACCGCTTCAACAAATGCATGGTGCTGCTCGAACAGCTAGGCGAGATTTACTGGCACGCCAGCTTCTACTACGACTTCTTCAAGCTCGCCTCTGAGCATTCGCAAGGCCCTTCGACATATGTCAATGGACAAGAACAAGACCCCCTTGTCGCCTTCTTCAATGACCGCGTGCCACCAAAGCAACTCTACGGAAGAGCAGCAGACTACAGCCAAAGCGCCAGCCGGAGGCGGACACCGGTCGGAGACGATGAAGACACTCCTGCAAGGCCCATTCCTACACCGAGTCGAGACAATGGCGCAGCGGATCACGCTCCAATAGTCACAACCTCTACCGCTCCTGAGGGCTATTTGGCACCCTCAACGCAGCCTTCCATCCCATATACCCTTGGTGACGACTTGGAGCTCGGTGGCGTTGCCATTGCAGACTCCAATCTTCAACTGTTTGAAGATTGGCTCGATGAATACGGCTATTTCCACAACATCTTTCCGTCTGCCTAAGCTATATCTATCTATAACCAAATATCCACACGATCTATACGTACAATGCCATCCTGGCTGCCTAATGCCTCAAATCTTTGGCTCGTTAATAATAGCCAGTCCCTGCTCGCTCGTCCAGAAGCTGCCCGTAGGGTATGTGTACTTTTCTATCGCCTCAGGCTTATACTCTACGCTGTACCCGGCATCCCGCGGTGTGACGAAATGCCCGTCCTTGGTCTGGCAGGGCGTCTTCAACACCTCGCGGAACGAGCTGATGTGTTCCAGCAGGCTCTTTTCGCCAGACACGCACAGGTAGTTGATGAGGGCGAGATGCTGCGTGTATTCGTTCAGGCCAATGCCTCCGCTGTGCGGAACAATCGGCACGTTGAATCTGCGACAGAATATCCGATTAGAACTTTCTCACCGGTTGATTTCATGGGGAAAAGGCCGCATGTGCTTTGGACTCACTTCTTCGCCATGAGCAACACGGCCATGACCTCGTTGACGCCGCCGAGTCTGCAGGCATCGATCTGGCAGTAGTCGATTGAGCCGGCCTGGAGGAGCTGCTTGAACATGACGCGGTTCTGGCAGTGCTCGCCGGTGGCGACGCCGACGCCGTACGGCTTGAGTGCCTTTCGGATGGCTGCGTGGCCGAGGATGTCGTCTGGCGAAGTAGGCTCTTCGATGAAGCTAAACTCACATCAGCCCGCTGTCCTACTGCTTCCACAACGAAGAAAATCACGAGGCGAGGATGATAGAAAACTTACAGCGGCTTGTACTTGACAAGATGAAGCATATAGTCAATCGCCTCAGGCACGCTCCAAACCTGATTCGCATCCACCATGAGCAACCGGTCATACCCAATCGTGTCCCTCGCAATCTGCAGCCTCCTCATATCGTCCTCGAGATTACCCCCGACCTTGAACTTGAACTTGTCCATGCCCTGCGCGAGATTGGACTGTATCAGCTGCACCATCTTTTCATCCGAAAAGCCCAGCCAGCCCGCCTGCGTGGTATACGCCGGCACGGCCTTGCTCCTACGCGCCTCCTCCAGCCTTGCAGCCTTTGTCTTGGCCTGCTCGCGGAGCAAAGCGACAGCCTCCTCAGGCGTGATGGCGTCGAGAATGTATCTAAAGTCGATGCAGCGCACAAACTCCTCGGGCGTCATGTCCGACACGACCTGCCACACGGGCTTTCCCAGGTACCGCGCCCAGAGATCCCAGACGGCGTTGACGCACGTGCTCAGCCCAAGATGGATCACGCCCTTTTCGGGGCCGACCCAGCGCAGCTGGGAGTCGGAGACAAGGTGGCGCCAGGTCTGGCCCATGTTGGAGGTGAGCTGCTCGAGCGTCTTGCCGACGAGGCGCTCGGCGATCATCTCGGCGGCGAGGACGCACAGGTTGTTGCCCCTGCCGATGGTGAAGGCGAAGCCGTGGCCTGAGAGGGCGGGAGAGGGGGAGTTTGTGTGGAGGACGATGTAGGCTGCGCTGTAGTTGGGGCCGGGGTTCATTGCGTCGGAGCCGGAGAGGTCGAGGCTCGTGGGGAAGCGGAGGTCTGTGTTTAGATGTTAGAATGATGAGGGTTTTGAAAGGGGAAGTATAAGGTACATGGATGGGATTGCGATGGACGTACCGTGGGCTGTGAAGCCTGTGATGACAACCTCTGAGGCGGGGATTTGCAGACTTGGGGAGGCTCCATTGGAGGATGTTTCCGTGTCTGTTCGTGAAGGGGCCATTGTGAATGGTATTCTGCGTTGCTCAAGGGGTGTTGAAAGATATCACGAGTTGTGATGACGATACGTAGGCGAGCACAGAAGCATAATCACATGGGAGATCTAGGGACTATATATACACAACGGAGCTAGAGGATTGATCTACCTTTAAAGTATCTTATCTATCTGTCTGAATGTGATCCTCTTGTTATTTCATTCAAAAAGGAAGGCCCAGCAACGAATGAGATGGTAATCGTTGACCAGCTGTAGGTTTGACTCCAAGCAAGCATATATGGTGATGTGGTTGAATGGCCAATCACGGCGTCTTGGCCGGCACTTCGGCTTGTCGATATTCCCGGCGGCTGTATCTCCTAATACCCCAGAGTTTCGAAAATCGGGGAATGACCAGGGGAGAACTATGAATGAGACTCAGCTGCAGCCCCGATAAAGAGAAGAGTCCCGGCGCTCATACTGGTTGTGCAACAAGTCCCGAGGAGATTTATATGCCAAACGGCGGGTAGGCTAGAGTAGGATGTTGTTTTACAAGCATGAATGAAGCATTGGAACTTGTCTCGTCATCTAACAAGATCGTGCTTCTCCAACACAACAGGCTCTCGCCCTCTACTGCCACAGAACAGTTTCACTGACCCTGTTGGAAAGAGGAATTGCGTCAAGGCATTTCCTCCAGACGGACTCTCGGTTTCCAAGTTGAACGGAAGAGCTGGTGATGCTTGTTTGGCGTCGACCTGGGGAGAGAATTGGCCGTTGTCGAGTCGGGTCAGAAGGACAGCGGAGGGTGGAGGCTGGCGCTAGAGGCCTTAGTCGGGCGCCGTCTCCCCGGACTAATCTAGCGGCCGGGAGGATTAGCCGAGGAATCCCCAACTCGATTGCGGGGAAATCGGGGCCAAGGATCCGCGATCCGATCAGCCGTGGGCAGTTGCTGCTAGTAGTAGTAGTTGAGCTGCTACACGCAATCAGGCAGGATTCATGCTCTTACTCGTATTGACCCGATGCCTGTCTTTGCTTGGCTCTGTCTTTGTGTCGGTTCGGGCGGCGTGGAAGTGCAGGGTTGGGGTCCAATCAGGACGAGGGCGACGGCTCTTCGGCTTTTCGTCTCTGGACGTCCTCATGTATATAACAGATGATGATGGAGTTGAATATCAGGGTTGATGATGCGACAAGGAGAAGTTGTGCTTGTCTAACTCGATAACAGCATGGTGAGAAAGGTAGAAATGAGTTCTTCAACTGGGCGACGAAGGAATGCTCACGCTGTTGTAGGCCGTTTATCTCTATGGCATTGCGCCCTGCACTGGGGGCTTGGCTTTTGGCTATGTAAGTTGATACTTCTGGCAACTGAATATCTGTCAATTACTAACCGTGTATTCTAGGACACGGGCTCAATGAGTGAGTCTGTAACAAGATACTCGAGATAACCTCAGCTGACCCCAGCCATGATCAAGGCGGCATCTTGGCCATGCCGCAGTTCTTGACCTACTTCAAAAATCCAAGCAACTTCCTCCAGGGCGGCATCACCGCGTCGATCCTCGCTGGAGCTTTTGCCGGCTCCCTCCTGACGGGCGCTTTCCTGGCCGATAGGCTCGGCCGAAAGAGGACCATTCTGCTGGGCTCTGCCATCTTCACTATTGGGTGCGCCATCTCGGCTGCGTCGAACAATGTCGAGGCTCTTGTTGCGGGGAGAGTCATCAATGGGCTTGGCAATGGGTGCTTGACCATGACGGTAATTGACCCTGTGTTGGCCTTGTCCTTGGAAGGAAGCTGACTGTGTGGTAAGGTGACGATGTATCAAAGTGAAATTGCGCCACGAGAGTACGTTGTCAACTCGCTTTTAGAGGAAAGGAATCCTGATTAATGAGTGTTTAGGATTCGCGGCCGGATTATCAGCGTCTTTCAGTGCTTTGTCAACTTTGGCATTCTCATCGCGTTCTGGATTCAGTATGGAACGAGCCACATCAATGGCACTGCCTCATGGAGGCTTCCAATGGGTCTACAGATGATTGTAAGTCCACTGCCCCCAAGCAGCCTTCCATTGGAAATGACTGACGAGACATAGGCAACACTGGCTCTACACATCACCATGTGGTTCATGCCCGAATCGCCCAGATGGCTTGTGCAGAAAGACAGACAAGAGGAAGCCTTGCACGTGCTCGCGCAGGTGCATGCCGGGGGAGACGTCAACGATCCATATGTGCAAGCTGAACTAGCAGAAATTGTCGCCAAACTTTCGTTTGAGAAAAACCATCCGCCGCCCAGTTATTTCGACTTGTTGCTTGGATCACAGAGGCGCCGCATGTGGATCGGTATTGGTGTTGTATGTCCCCTCTCCTACCCACCCTGTTTCGTACCGAATCAGGTGCTAATGGCATCAGCAATTCTGGCAATCGATGACTGGCATCAATGTGTAGGTCATATCTAGACAATTGTATACTGTGATAGCTGACATGGAGTAGGATCATGTACTACGCCGTCTTCCTCTTTCAACAAGCTGGCCTTGGAGCGACTTCTTCATCCCTCCTGGCCAACGGCCTCCAGGGCGTTGTTCTCAACGTCTTCACCTACCCAAACATGTACTACATGGACAAGTGGGGTCGAAGATTGCCCATGGTCATTGGCGGCGTGGGAATGGGCATATCGATGATGATCATCGGCGTGCTGATGAAGGCATATGGTACTGAGAAGATTCTCTTTCACTTCCATATATACCCGCACTCAATGAAGTCACACTAACGATAAATCCAGGTGATCCCGTCTACGATTCGCTTACGCAAAAGACCAACTTTGACTTTACAAATGCGGCCGCATCACGCACGGTTATCGCATTCGTGTACATATACGTCGCCGTGTTTGCAATCACCTGGGCGTGCGTCGCGTGGGTGTATCCTCCCGAGATCTTCAGCATGAGCATGCGTGGACGTGCTACATCCATGACGACTGCCACGAACTGGTTCATTGTGAGTCCTGAGGCATTCGTTTCCTGGAACGCCAAACTGACTCCGTTCTAGAACTTCTGGTTCGCTCTGTACATTCCCACTGCCATGGCAAAGATCAGGTCCGTATTTCCGATCTTCCTTCAACTGATTGAGATTTGACTGACAATCTTTGTACAGTTGGAAGCTCTACATGATATTCATGGCGCTGTGCTACCTCATGTCCATCGTCGTATACCTCTTCTACCCCGAGTCGGCCGGCAAAACACTCGAAGAGATGGACTTTTTGTTCTCCAAGGGGCGGTCGCCGTGGACGTTTCTCGACCGTGAGGCTACCAAGATTGGGGCGCTGTTCCAGAGGGATCTTGAGCATGGCGAGGCGCTCACTGTGTTTGATGAGGATGGTATGGCCTTGAAGGATAAGGTTCGGCAGGTGGAGGATGTGGTTGACCCTGGTGCTCATGGGGATAAGAAGTAGGTTCATTGAGGTTTGATTCTTTGCAGCATCGGTCTTGGATGCTATATGAGAGATTTGGTTTGTTTGCTTCTCGATATATAACGATCCCGTCGCTATAATATTTGCTCAATCTGGCATGTCCTAACCGCAAAGACGAGAATCAGCTTGAAGTTTTAGTGAAAAGAAACGTGGCATGAAGAATCCATAGATACCAACTGAAATCAGGGCCTCGGCCTACCATATCCCACAACAGTCTACTACATATGCCCAAGACCCAAGTGAGCTGCTTGATCCATCTTGGACTTGGCTCTGCCCAAGGCAAGGGAGTACCAGTGATGGGGCGTCGGGACTACTGCCTCGAAAGAGTCTCGTGACAGAATAACCTTGTCCTTCCCCTGCTGTTGCTGTTTGGCGTGCTTGACTGTAGCTTTGAAGATGTCCTCAATGTGATGCGGGTTCCAAAAGGGGCCAGTAAGGGGACCGCAGTCCTTGTGAAAGAGAGACTTGATGTATCTGAGGATACTCTCGCAGTCGGCTTCGATGTGATCGTCCAAACCCTTTTCCAACAGTTTTCGACATACAATCTTGACGTCCTCCCATTCTGGCCGTCCATGGTGAAACAATGTAGAACTGAGGACTGATTGCCCTCCAAGGTTGGTAGGCGTATCTGATGGCACAGAAGCATTCTCTGCATCCATGGCCGGAGCAGGGCGCCCTTGAAGAGCAACAAACGGCACAAAACTTGGATGAGAAATAATGAAAGACAGAGCTTTGGGGAGGACAGTGTTGCACAAGACAGCCATTATATGTTTGTAGGCTCAGAGCAACTTTTTTTTGCAAACAGTTCACTTATACGGGCTCTTTCTTTGTATGCTATATATATCACTCCAAATTTATTTGGTCGCTGCAAGACAAAGAAGCCAGTGAATGATTGATAGTTTGGAGCAAACAAGGTTCTATGAATATGATGCGGTTTTTGACGTGTCGAGAGAAGAGAGAAGCTTGAATGACGACAACTGTGGCAATGAATCATGATTTGAGGCCAATCAAGGTCGACCTTCATCTCAACTCTCAAGATTGTTGGGAGGAGGCGGCGAGCAGGCAATGCCCAGGATATTGGGAGGTTTGTGAACAAACAAAAACCTTAGCTTTATCACTTGGTAGCAAATATTGGAAAAGAAAGCATAGTAAAGGACTATCACATTTTTGTTGTTGAGTTAACCATCACTTATGGACTGTTTAGAGCTTCCTCTCTCGTTGTATCACATCATCTTGTGGCATATATAAGTCTGTAGACTTCCCAGCAATCCTTCAAGGGCTACATAGGTATAGTCGATTGGCATTCAAAAATTGCCAAAAGTCAACAACAGCGACGACGAACATGTCTTCCCAACGCAACACCGGCGAAGCGTCGATGAGCGCATGGTTGAGCGAGGTTCTGCACCGCTCTGGTGAGTCGGCGATATCGCCTGAAACGGGACGACAGAATATTTGTCCGCCAGTGCTCTAATAGTATTGTTTTTTTTTTTTTTTTTCAGAAACAGCGGAAGAGCCTCAATTTCTGGGACAATATCGGGTACTTCGTCCGCCAGCTGGCAAAGACCTTAAGGACGGGATCTGGACCGACTAGATCAAGCAGCTGCTTGGTATAGAGCGCCTTGTTTCCTCCCCAGTGAGTTTCGCGCCAGAGGACGAGGTGGCAACGGCCAATACGGCAGCGGCCAAGGCAGCATTCAAATACTCCATCGAGAATTTCGACAGCGTTTCCCTCATGCTGGTTGGGCTGAGCAGTTAGCTTACTTGGCCAGCCTCCCAACCTTCAAGGACTGGCATGAGCAGCCTGGGTCGCGGTTCCTCGTAGTTCGACACAAGGAATCGTTGACAGGAGGGGAGGTTTATTCGCCTCTCAGCTACGCTCCCTGGGTCCTGAGTCCCAAGCAGGAACGAAAAGACATCCTGCGGCCGAGTCTTTTTTCCTGCGCCCAACATGTGCGTGAGACTCGGATCGGAGACTCTTCGCAGTTGATCATGCGAGACATCGCCTACCAATTGGTTAGCTGGATCGGAAAGGATTGGTTAACTTGGTCTGACGTTGACTTTGTCGAACTTCGTAGGGATCTCGAGCGAAAGGACCCGGGAGCCATACGTTTTGCCTTGCGCATGATCGTGAATCGTATACACTGAGGCCCGGTGTACGTGTTCATAGATGGCCTCTATTGGTACCAGGGGACGACCTATGAAGAGGAAGCAAAGGAGACGATGAAAGCCCTGAATGAATTGGTCAATTACATGGGTGATCTGCGGGCTTCACAGATCAAGGTTCTCATAACCAACCCAACACTCCAGCAGCAGCAGAGCTGGGGCTTTGACGCGACCACCATCGAACTCTAGATGTAGGAAAGGGAAGCGCATCGCGGTATACAGATGCAGGATATATCGAAATCGAGCAGCTCATTGAGGCGAGGTGGATAGGTAGATTGAGAAATCGAGAGAGCGTATACATCAGATATTTTCAATCTTTCGCAGCCAGTCCAAAGTGAAGGAAACCGTATGTGACTGATAAGTGAGATGGCTAATCAGCCGTTTGGTCACAACGTGGAAAGCCTTTTGTGAGCCCAGAATATGGATTCTTCCTTCGTGTCAGTGTAGACGAGAGTTTTAGGAGAGCCTGGGGGGGGGGGGAAATGGTTGTTCATGTGTGCCGATTGCCATGGCTTCTAGAGACCCTCGCCTGCAAGGAAGAGTCAGTGATGGCGGACGGACTGACCATGACTGGCACGGAAAGGACTATTCAATCTCAAAAACTTCCATATGCCCTTGAGATGTATCCCTACCGGTCAAGGCCGTGTGCATGCATGGCGTATCTGATCCAGTTCTTAAGGAGAAGGATCGGTTGTTCAGCTATGGAGTGCATCAGGAGTGGAGAGGGATCGAAAGGATCAGAAGACAGCTGTCAGTCAACGTGATGCGTACCTCGTGCTGACTTTGATGGGTGATAGGGAACACTATTTTCCGCAGCTGATGCAATCCCGAGAGTGATTCATCAAATGTTGATGGAACTGGTGAGGAGCTCGTCTGCAACGCACTCGAAGTTGGCGCGTATCCACAGAACCTCGCGTTGAAAGCATCATCTCGAAAGCAAGAAATCCAGATTCAGATCGGTTTCCCTCCTGTTCTCAACAGTTGAAGGTCATGATGGCATCACAAAGATTACCTAGGTAGATAAGATAAGGTAGAAGACTGGATGGTCCACGCGGTTGCGAGCAATTGCCAAGGCCCCATTCACTGCCTCGCTCCTGCCTGGCCATCTTCGCCTCGTGAGCCGCCTCTTTTTTTCTCCTCCTCATTTCTTCCCTTCCATCTTCTTTATCTCTCGCGCTTCATATATACAATATTGTATTTTCATCCACTTGTTGCCAGATATTGTTCAAGACGTTCATCTCCACCGACGAGTTGACTCTCGCCGTATGCGCCATCGACCTCCGAAACGCCACAATGGAGAGCCTCCCAGCCGAGTTGTTGCTGCAGATTCTGGGAGACAGTCGCATCAACAATGCGGATCTCAGGCGGCTTCGCCTTGTATCGAAACAGGTCTCGGCTGCCGCCACGAGCCACTTGTTCTCCCGGATTCACATATCGAAGCTCCATTCCGACAGGGAGACGTTCTTCAACATCGCGGCGCAACCGCATCTTGCAGCGGCTGTCCGATCAGTAACCTGGCTAGAGATGGCCGAGGACTGCACCGATCTTCCTTACGTTGCATATCCCCCGGCTGTGCTGCTGAGACCGCTCGAAACTTGGGTTCCGTCCGCTGACGATGCTGCCGACTTCGATTTCCTCCTTTGCCGCTTGCCACGCATGGCTCGTGCCTTGTTCTGGCTCCCTTTCGAAAACTTCCAGTCGTACCACAAAGGAACCGAAGAGAGGAGAGAAGTAATTCGCTCGTTTACGCCGGATTTCTTTGCGGCACTTGACAAGATGCCCAACTTGAGAGAGTTCGCCTCGCGGCCGATGCACCCCAGGCGCGAACTCGTCCAGCCATCGGAGCTGTCGACGCCGCTGTATCCATTGACAGGCCAGATATTCCTCCAGAGCAAGTGCAAGAAGACGATGCAGCGCAATGATGGATTTTGCACCTTCATGATACCATACATAGCACACAGAGCCAGTCTGAAGACGGATACTCTTGCCCCCATCACTCGACTGTATCTGGTCGACGAGAGCATATGGTCATTCATTCCTAGAATCAATTCCGCTGTTGTCGATGGTTTTCGGAATCTCAAATATCTTGAACTTTGCATCTCCAATTGGCAAAACTCGCGTCACATGAAAAGGCTCGGTCGATGCCTTGGGGCAGCGGAAGGTCTCGAAGAATTACGGTTATGTCTCGAGCGCGATGGTCTGGCTGGGAAGCATAGTTCGACTGTATTTGACCTCATCTTTCAGCCCAAATACCGACATCCAAGGCTACGCGATATACGGCTGATCGCCGTTCCCTTTACGGCCCTTCAGATACTTCTTCTCATTAGCAGAACTGCTGGGTCACTGAAACGACTCAGATTTGACAACTGCAGTGTCCCCGGACGACTGATATACGCGCTGCAGCTGATACCCAATCTATGGTTGGAGAGCTTCTCCTCAGTCTCAGCCACGGTACTGCATGAGACAGAAGACGAACTTGAGAATACCATCTGGCTGATGACCGAGGCACACGCCATGTCCGTCATTCGAAGCCTGTCAATGTTCGATGGCGCTTTTGAGCTAGGTCAAGCCATTGCCCGAAGAACAATCTACCTCTATACTCACTTCTATGCGCCTTCGGTGCTGAGGACATCTTGCTTTGACCGCCACAACCGTATCCCGCGGCCGGTGGTTGAGTTTTCGACGGTTGATGAAGACTGCGGTGATAAAGATTACAACGGTAATGACGTGGATGCCGAAGATACGGCCGATACTCAAGAAGCCTCTGGATCGGATGACGAGCTGGCCGATGTGCCTTCGGACTTAGTCAGGGACAACGATGGGTCTTACGGCGATGACTCGGACAGCAGTGCTGATCTGCACAAGGAGGATACGGCAGAAGCGTCTTTTCAGAAGATGCTCGACACGGCGCCGCGGTGGGAATTCGGTATTGGGCGTGACGGCAAGGCTTGCTGCTGGAGACTCACGGCGGCGCATCCATCGGACGAAGGCTATCCGACGAGGCTTTGGCGATTCTTTCATCGAAACGGGGAGCAAGCCATCGGTGACGAGCCCCTCGAATTCTGGGACGACTGGGAGGGAAGCCAGTCCGGAGACTCCTATGTAGCGACACCGTTTGGCCGCGATCTGGAATTGTTCATGTTGAAGCACCGCCTCGAGGGCGTGACAGAGATCCCTCAAGACTGGGAGGGAAGGGACATATACCACCTGTTGAGAAAGCCGTCTGAATCTGGCGAAGGCCTCTGATACGGCCTCCGTGCTAAGAGCACATGGACGGCGAACGCCGTTGGCAACCTTAAAGGCTGGCTAAATCCGGTGCCGGACACCCGTCGACGAATGGTAGCAGACAGATGAAGGACCGATACACGTGACAGCTTGCTGATTTCTCAGATCGAGGTGGCTGGCCAAGTAGCCAATGGGGAGCTCTCGAGAGCGTCACCGGTGGGCAAAGATGTAGTCGGCATCGCGATGCTTAGCGGACACACTAGGCAAGCCAAATATGGGATCATTATATCGTTATATAGTGTCAATGGCTGCGCGCTCTGTGGTGGACGCATGGTGCGAGGCTTATCGCAATCACCAAGAAGAGCCAGAAAGACAAGATTTGTTTGTCCGATGCGGCGTGTTGCAATAGCCGCGCGGGCCGAGTATGATGCTGTCAGTAGGGCGAAATTGTTATCATAGGACCAGCATGTATCAGTTCAATTTCATCATTTGTTCATCAAACCATTCACTCGTTCGCCCCTCGTTCCGGTCGCGCTCCCCTGTCCAGGCCCTTTGAACATGCGACCATTCTCATGAGACCTCGCAAGGCGCTTCACAAAGAGAGGGACGAGCGCATGGATTTCCCTCCTGGACCGTCATGGCTTCTCTGGGGCCTCCGCCGCCTGGGATCAACCTCCACGCGACCAGAGCCAACGACCTGGTTGCCTCTTGGGCATCGACATGGAGTTTGGCCGTGATATCTGTGATTGTACGCGTCGTTTGCCGGAAGCTTGCAAAGATTCGGCTCTGGCTGGATGATTGGTTCATCGTCACGTCTTTGGTATGAGGTCTTCTCCCTTGCTGGAGAATGGATGCTGACATGACGGGTCGGTTGCAGTTGTTTTCCGGCGGCTTCATGTTTACAGTTACAATCTACAGTAAGTTCAGACTGATCAATTACCTGTTCTTGGAGAGCAAGATTGGAACTTTAACGACTTACGCCTCCTTAGTGGTGGATAATGGATTTTGCAGGCATATATGGGCTGGCCCAGCAGATGCCACTCGGGACTGGGCGCTGGGGCTGTTTACGACGGAATTCACATATACGCTGAGCCTGGTGTTTATCAAGTGGTCGATTCTCGCTTTCTACTGGCGCATCTTTAGCATCCAGTTTCTCGACAAGTTGTTCCTTTGGATCCTGGCCGGGATGGTCGCTTGCTGGGGAGTTGCTGCTGTATGATCCCCTCTCTTTTAAACGTCTGGGCGGGTTGTTCTCTTCTTGAGAGTGGGAGCATAACGACGAGCTGACTTGCTTCTCGCCAGATCCTCACTTCAATCTTTCAGTGTGTCCCGATACCCGCCCTCTGGCAGCAGTTCGACCCGGTCCATCCCACCGACCCGGACACGTTCACATGCGGCGTCGACATTCACAAGCTCTTTATTGGTAAAGCCGTCCCTCACATTGTCACAGACGCGCTCATCTTGATCTTCCCGCTGCCGTATATATGGCATCTGCACCTACGCGTATCGCAAAAGATTGCTACTGCTTGCATCTTTCTCGTGGGGATATTGTGAGTTTCGCTCCCGTCTCACCCGTATGATGGATGGATGAAATAAAACAGCTATTCACATGGAAGTCTTTTCAGTGTCAGCATTGTTTCGATTGTTCGATTCGTGTTTGTGCTGGAGGTGGATTTGGAGAGTCCGGACGTGACGTGGGATCAATGCTCGGAGATGACATGGACGGGCATTGAAATATACATTGGGACCGTTTGTGGTACGTGTTTGGCTTGTCTCCGTCTTCTTTCTCACACCCTTTTCCTGGGCGTTTTGACTGATGAAGCTACAACGTGGCAGCCTGTCTTCCATCGCTCAAGCCACTGCTGAATCTGATGCTCTACGGAAGCGTTCATCCACGATCGCACCGACCCAGCGCCTCGGACGTCCAAACCATGTTGGAGATAGCAGAGGCGACGAAACGACGAGGTCGTCGCCAGTCGAATGCGAACGTGTCGAGTTCGTACATATTTGCTTCGGCGCGGGGTGCCGTCGAGTCTACGCTCGCGTCTGAGAGTGTGACTGGGAGTGTGACGGGGAGTGCGCTGGACGATTCGCCGGCGATTGAGATGGAGGACGTTGGGGAGCGTACAAAGGACTGTCAGTGAGAGAGAGATGCGATATACGGGGGTGGAAGTCGATGTTAGGGCTGTTCAGCAGCCCAGCCTGGCTACCCATCATCCCGAATCGGCAAATACAGAGTTTTGCAATCCAGAGTGTTTTGGGCTATGATGTTCAAGCCTTTTGAGAGGATGACAAGATGGCGCACATCTCCTACCCTGCACATGCATGTGAGGTAGTCAGAACCGCCTATCAAACGAGGACTGCAATGTGGCGAAGCATTTCGTTTCGAATCAGATGATGTTGCCTAAAATATAATCTCTCCGTCAGCAGGGTGTGTTCGATGCTACGACTCTCTCCTTGCTGACGTCCCCCTCTTACAACTCACAATCTTCAGCAAAAGACAAAGATGAGTGCTCCCACAGAGCCTCACTCCTGCGCCCTCTGCCAATCCCGCTTCACCCTCACCTACGGCAACTACTACTCGGACAAGGGCTGGTGGGAGCTGATTGACGAAAACTACTACGCGACGGGCGAGGCGTACACCTTCAACATTGCGTACCGCGAGGCGGCGTCGCTGGCGGAGCAGGGCTGCGCGCTGTGCTCGTGGTTGACGTCGCCGAGCGTGCGGAGGGAGGACACGCGCGACGAGAGCTACTTGCGGGGGTATTTTGCGCACAACTCGAGGGAGCAGATTGTGCTCGACTGGGTGGTGGGCGAGGTGAATGAGTGGATTGACGGGGGGACGGTGGGGAGGAAGGTGATTGTTTGTGCGGAGGAGAGGCGAGTCCATTTCTTTTTCTTTTTCTTTTGCTTTTTCTTTTTCATTTTTCGTTTATTGTTGAACAGAGTCTTTGTGTCGTTGAAGTTTGGAAAGCTGATGATGATGGGCATTTTGAAGTGAGTTGGCGGCGAAGGAGGTTGCTTATAGGTTGCCGAATTTATATCCGTCGTCTGATCAGACGGTGGAAGCGATGAAGACGTGGCTGAAGGAGTGTTTGACTACGCATGTCGAGTGCCAGCAGCTTCAGAGAAGTAGCATGTCTTCAACTTCACAGGCGACAACATCAATGGGACCTCGCCGGCTTTTGCACCTCTCTGGAAGCACTGATGCTCCCCAAGTGCGACTGGAGCACAACTCGGGGCGTGGTCCTCTGCTTGAATACGCGGCACTGAGTTACTGCTGGGGCGGAGACCAAGCCGTCAAGTTAAAGGACGAGCTGGTGGACTCGTGGACGACGAAGGGCATCGCGTACGAGCATTTCCCCAAAACGATTCAAGATGCCATTTGGATGACCCTGGCCCTGGGCTTGGAGTACCTCTGGGTGGACGCATTGTGCATCATACAGGATTCCGACCGGGACAAGGCGGAGCAGATCTCGCGCATGGCGGAGATTTACGAGCAGGCCTACGTGACGATCTCTGCGGCGCGAGCGACGGCCGCTCCCGAGGGCTTTCTTCACAGCCGGTACATGGCTGGGGAGCAAGGGTTTCGCATGCCGTTCACCTGCGCGGACGGCCAGATGAGCGCCGTGGTGCTGTGGCAGGGCAGGGAGCCGGACGCGTGGGAGCCCATCGACACGCGGAGCTGGTGTCTGCAGGAGTCGATCCTGTCGCCGCGGGTGCTCGAGTTTGGGACGCACAACGTTCGCTTGCGCTGTGCGCGGAGCCGCGCGGACGAGGCTCAGCTGCGATGCGACGGCTGGGTTGGGCGGTCCAAGACGTTTGCGCAGCTGAGCATGACGCAGCCGCTCGTGTCGAGCATCGACTGGGCGAGCCTCGCGGAGCCGTACAGGTTCGCCGAGGCGTGGCGGATGCTGGTGTCGCATTACACGCGCCGCGGGCTGGGCTGGTACCAGGACAAGCTGCTGGCGATATCGGCAATTGCGCGCAAGATGAGCCGGATGGCGGACAGCAGCAGCAACAACAACAACAAGAAGAAGCGGTACATTGCGGGCCTGTGGGCGGAGCATCTCGGGGAGATGTTGTTGTGGCATCCGAACTATGGGCCGGACGCGAAGGAGAGGCGGCATGCGACGTATGTTGCGCCGTCGTGGTCGTGGGGGGCGTGCAGCGGGGAGATTGACTTTTCGCACGGCTCGTCGTGGATGGACTCGCTCGAGCTTGTGGGGTGCGAGGTCAGGACGGCGATTCCGGGGGACGAGTTCAGCGCTGTTGTGGGTGCGAGGCTGGAGGTGAGGACGTTGGTGATGAGGGCGAGGATGCGGAGGGGAGGGGGCTGGGGAGGAGAGGGAGAGGAGGAGAGATGGGTACTTTGGGATGAGGCGATGGGGGAGGAGATGACTGGGTCGTTGATGCTTGACGTTGAGGATGAGGAAGAGGACGTCGGCAGTGAGTTTGCGTGCGAGAGGGATGAGGAGGTGGTGCTGGCGCTGGTTCAGACGCAGGATGCGCTGGTGCTGAAGAGGAAGAAGGGCGCAGAGGAGGGCGTGTATGTGCGGATTGGGATATACAGGGAGGGCGTGAGGGGGACGGATTGGGAGAGGTGGGCGAGGGAGGGCGTTGTCATTGTGTAGATGCGCTGTTGAAGTTGACCCTGGATGGTGATGGCGATGGTGATGGTGATGGCGATGGTGATGGTGATGGTGATGGTGATGGTGATGAAGAGGACGATGGATGGTGTTGATGGTTGGACCGATTGGCTCTGGTCGGAATAGCGTCAGAGCACGTGAAATGGTGTGCGAGGCCCGATGCTCCGCAGCCCCACGCCGATGAACCGGAGCTGCAAGCACTTCGCTGCGCTGCCCATTACCAAGCAAATAAGAGCCTCTTGGACCCCGGATTTCACTTTGAAAAAACACAGATGAACCCTCTCGATCCATCTCAGGGGTCATCGTTTTTTTTTTGAACGAAGCTTGAGCGAGGTTTGCTGCTGCTGCTGCTGCTGCTGCAAGATGAGGTCGCGCCAGGCTCTCCGATTGGCAGCCGCCCGCCGGCCGCTTCTGTCGCCGTCGCGCCCGGCCTTCACCCGCCTTACCTCGGCTTCCTCATCACACTCTTCATCGTCAGCCTCAGCCTCATCCTCAACGTCGCCTTTCTCAGCAACCCGCTTCTCCTCATCTTCATCGTCGTCACCATCGCCAGCAGCATCCGCCTCGTCAAACCCGGCCCTCGCATTCCCCTGCCTCGACGCCATCGAATCCCGCTCCGCCCGTCTCAGCGCCACCACCTTGTCCAACTCATCCTCCTCCTCATCACCCCCTTCATCCTCCGCAGGCCCCGAGCCCTCCTACACCTCCGGCGCAACCCAGACCTACCACTGCCAGTCCCCCCTCCTCCTTGACTGGGGCGGCGTCCTGCCCTCCTTCACCATCGCCTACGAGACCTGGGGCCGCCTCAACGCCGACCGCTCCAACGCCATCCTGCTGCACACGGGCCTGTCCGCCTCGTCGCACGCGCGCTCCAACGCGGCCAACCCGGCGCCCGGCTGGTGGGAGCGGTTCATCGGCCCCGGCGCGCCCCTGGACACGGACCGGTACCACGTCATCTGCACCAACGTCATCGGCGGCTGCTACGGCTCCGGGGCCCTCAAGCATCGATCCCGCCAACGGCGAGACGTACGCCACCCGGTTCCCCATCCTGACGCTGCACGACATGGTCCGCGCCCAGTTCCGGCTCCTCGACCACCTCGGCATCCGCCGCCTCTACGCCAGCGTCGGCTCCAGCATGGGCGGCATGCAGTCCCTCGCCGCGGCGGCCATGTTCCCCGATCGCGTGGCCCGCGTCGCCTCCGTCAGCGGCTGCGCCCGCAGTCACCCCTACAGCATCGCCATGCGCCACACCCAGCGCCAGGTCCTCATGATGGATCCCAACTGGAACCGCGGCTTCTACTACGGCCGCGTGCCCCCCCACGCGGGCATGAAGCTCGCCCGCGAGATCGCCACCGTCACGTATCGCTCCGGGCCGGAGTGGGAGCAGCGCTTCGGTCGACGTAGGGCCGATCCTGCGAAGCCGCCTGCGTTGTGCCCGGATTTCCTCATCGAGACGTATCTTGACCATGCTGGCGAGAAGTGGTGCCTCACGTACGATCCCAACAGCCTGCTGTACGTCAGCAAGGCCATGGACCTCTTTGACCTCGGGCACGAGAACCAGATGGCCACGCAGGCCCGGCGCGTGGCCCGCGAAAAGGCTCTCGCGGCGAACAACTACGATGCCGAATCATCGCCCCAGTGTAACCTCACCCTCCCCAGCGAGCCCTACCAGGAACAGCCCGAGTCGTCCTCATCATCATCATCCCAAAGCACCAGTCTGGACAACACCGCGGACTCCCTATCGGCACCGCCCAATCCCGCATCGTACCGTCCCCCAGAGGACCTCATCAAGGGCCTCTCCCCGCTGCGCGACATCCCGACGCTCGTCATGGGCGTGGCTAGTGACATCCTATTCCCCGCGTGGCAGCAGCGCGAAATCGCAGAGGCCCTGCGGCTGGGCGGCAACCGGAGCGTCACGCACGTCGAGCTGAGCGAGGAGACGAGCCTCTTTGGGCACGACACGTTTCTGCTCGACTTGAAGAATGTGGGCGGGAACCTGAGGCTGTTCCTCGACTAAGAGAAACAAAATAGAGGGGGTTTTGGAGGACCAAGGAGCTGGTCTGAAGCGATGGTGGGAAAACAGGAGACGTTGATGACCTTGATGTAAACCATTGTATATACTTGTTTTTTTTTTTTTTTCTTTTTCTCTTCTGTTTTGAGATACACGTCTGATATGCGCCCTTGAAAACACTCGTCAGCATGTCCTGCAAATCTCCATCTTTTCGCTAGACTACTTGGCACAATCTCAAGACAGCATCAGGTGTTCAAGATATTCCCTTCTTCTACTTGCGCCCTTCTTTCAGACAGCCCTATGCTAATACACGTCCGGCTGTGCGATTCTCAACATCTCACAATATACTAGCCTATACAAATACAAGTCCACCTAGAAAAAATAAAAGAAAATCGCAAATCACTCCTTTCCCACAGAATAGCCTTGTGCATGTTTGTCTGCAATAATCGACTTATAAATACTAGTCCAGCTGGCGGTTGTTATAACATGTAACCCTTCTGCATGGGCAGGAAAACGAATGACGAGAATGGAACAAAGAGGTGTCAACGCTTGCAAAACGCATCAAAAAAATCCCAAGATCTTGCTCCGTCATCCCATGTCAACACGGTCGTTAGATACACCCAAAGGAGCAACAAAACAGAGAGAGAGAGATAGAGAGAGATAAGAAAGGAAATAGCGAACGAAATGGGAAACTTTTAGATAAAGGTCGATCCCGAAGGAGAATACACGCTGTTTGGCGTCAATGGGCCCTTGTCCCTCATGAGTGATGGCGGTAGGTTGATGGGCGAAGGCGTTGGTCGTGGGGGAGCTCTCTTCGCTTCAACACGGATGACGGGACTCGGTTTCATGGCCGGGCTCGGCGAATCGTCAAGGGTGAATTCATTGGCAAGAGGCGATGGCTGAGGCGCATCAAACGACAGCTCAAACGACTTGGCAAAGTCCTCGCTCGAGGCCGAGATGGCCTTCTCCAGCGAGGGAAACGTCGGGCTGGGAAGCCGTGGCGCCACGTCCGACGTGGGCGTGGAAAGAGACCAGCTCGGCGAACTCGGCCGCTGACCCCGGGGGCTTCGCGGGAGCACCGGGGCACCCCGTGTCTCTGATCGGTCACGGCCAAAGGCTCCCCACTTGCCAAAGGCTCGAGGGCTCCGACTGTCGGATCGTGTCTCTGGAGAATCGCCGATTGCCATGGGAGGACGAAGAGGTTGTCGTCCTCGGGGAAGGCCTTTCATGATGGGAAACTCTCCTTCCATGGGCGTTCGAGAAGCAAAGGGGCTCAGGGGCACGCGGTCGATCGGCGGCCGAGGCGCCTCGTGCGAGCGCATGTAGTTGTCGTCATCTACGGCAGGTCCAAACGGGCTGCGTGGACTCTGTGTGGGCGTCTCCATCCGCGACATGAGGCTAGAGAATGGAGCCGGGGGCATGGGTTGCAGGGGCTGAGGAGGACCGCGGGCGCGCGAATCAGAGGTCATGCGCGTGTTGAAGCCCTGGGGCGTTGAGGGCGCAAACGAGTTCAAGTCTGGGCCGAGAGCGACTGGGGATTCGATATTCGCCTGGGACGGTCTTCGGATGATTTGCCGAGGGCTTTCGATGCCGGCCGAAACGGCGGAGGGCGAAGGCAGCGGTTGGTGCTGATTCATCGACGGAGTTTCCCAGTCCTCGTCGGGTATGGCCACCTTGAGGCGCTGAGGGCTGCCGCCTCGCTCGTCTGGCTGTCGTCGCGTCTGATATTGATATGGCGCTTGGTTTCGGGCCTGGTATGGCTGCGGGCTTGCAGCAGGTGATGCCACTGGCGAGGCCATGGGAGAGGCCATAGGAGAGGCAGCGGGGGACGCCATAGGCGAGGCATAAGACGCAGTCTCACTTGGCTCGGTTAAGCCATCACTAGCAGCATCGTCGGCATCTTCTCCAGCCCTGGCATTCTGAGCGTCCATGGGTTCGTCCTCGTCCTCATCTTCAGCATTCTGGACCTCCCTGAACGGATGTGGTCCCTTCATCTGAATCGGGCTCTCCACCAACTCCAAGTCAAGCGTCCCTACAGCCACGGCGCGCTGCTTGGTCACCTCGTCGCCAAAGTCGAAATCGGAAAAGTTGCCGGCAAGGCCCTCCACCGGATGCTGTTGCTGTCGGTGCTTCTCCAGGTCTGCCGCCTCAATGGCCATGGTGAAGCTCCTCCTCCGCGGGGACAGAAAGGTCAGCGTGTCTCGCTTCGCCTGGACATTTCGAATGACCGGCGAGGCCCGCTTGTCTTCGCTTTTGCGCGACATGGACGAGGATGGGCTGGGCAGCATCGCAGGGCCGTATCCAGTGGCAAATCCCGGGGGAATGAACTGGCTTGGCGGTTCATAAGTGTCCGCTTTGTCGTCTGGCTCCTCGTACTCCATGTCTGCCGCTGCTTCCAAGTCGGTCTCTTCGTCCGACTCTGCACCAGTGTCTCCGCCTGGCGAGGTCAAAGGAGGCCACTGGTCTTCGGTTTCGACTGACTGAGGCGGAGATGGATAGCCCGCGTATCCCGATCCACGGATTCCAACATCAGGCCCAGGCTCCCCAAAATCGGCAAACTCATCCAAACTGTTCGAATCGTTTGGTGTTGGCTCCGGCTGCGGTTCCGGCAGAGGTTTCGCGTCAGGTTGGCTCAGCGGGCTCTTATTCCCCGCTGCTTGGGTGCTACCGCTTCCCGAGCGACTCATTGATTTCGAGACGCTTCCAGGCTTTTTGCTGAAATGAACATCCAAAGGATTCACCCACTCCGACCCCTTGGAACCAGGAGGGGGTGACGGCATTCCCGGCCGACGGCTGCCGTCGACGCCAAAAGGATCCGGTACGGCAAGATTGGTCATGCTCGCGTTCATCTTCATCCAGGGCTTGAAGCTAGTACTGCCGTCAATTCCATGGCGCAAACTGGTCTCGCTCGGTTTCCGAGGTACCGAAAGGTCGACCATGGAGGATGCTGCAGGGATGCCCTTAAAGGTCGCGCGCCAGGTCGAATTGCGCTTTGTCGAGGTGGAGGTGCCTGGTCGCGGCGGCTGTTGTGGCCTCGGGAATTTGAAGCTCTCATTCGGGTTGACTTGGCCATCGGTGTTCCATCGTCGGGTTGTTGGCTGCGGCGGCGGCGAAAGCTGCTTCTTGTCGGACTGCTTGCTCCTGTGTTGAAGAAAGATTAGTCGGTTGCAAAAGAAGCCTGGTGCCTAGAAAAGAGAGCAGCCTTACGGCGACTTTTTCTTGTCGCTGCCGAATCGGAGGCCAAAGAAGGACACCATCTTTGCAGCGACTGGGTTCCGGACCCGACCAATTCCTCCAGCAACTCCCGAAAAACAGCACGATCACCTGCTCGTTTTGCAGTCTCTGTAGTCTCCGTCTCCGCCGTGGCGACCCCAAGGTGCCATGAACAGATGAGAGCTCCCCTTAACGGTAGCTAGAGCTGGTATATGGCAGCGTATGATGGCAGATGGGACAGAATAAAAGTTGGCGGGATAGAAACGGGGTAGAATGAACGGTATGGGACCGGGATTGGCTTCGTGAACTGTATTCTGTGTACCAGCAGGTAGAGACTGTATGTGAATGCGTTGTATGTGTTGTATGTGTGCAGATATGTTGTTGTCTAGAGTAAAATTTCGTCGTCGTGGATTTCGGCGGAAGGATTGACTGGCAAGGAACGGACGTGTCGAGGCTGGACACAGGACAGCAAGAATAGTAGAAACGAGGGATGAGGAAGAGCAAGAGCAAGAGCAAGCAAGCGCGCGACCAGCCGCAGAAGCAACAGAATAAGAGGCGAAGGAAGAGCCAGAGTCTCACAGCCGTCGCCGGTCGACAGAGAGATTGAAGTCGAACAGAAAGAGGGGAGAGAGCGAAAAGGTGCGGTGGTACAAGTACAAGCACAGCCGGGTACAGTCCAAGTGAGCGCCGTCTGTTAAGGCGCAGGGCCAGCTCGGGCCAGTGTCATGCGTCCTACCAAGGACAGGTGCTAGCAGGCGCACGTACTAGCGGGGGTACCTGTACAGAACCGTGTGTCTGGGAGCGACTGGTCGAGAGATCAAATTGATGGATGGTTCGCTCTCCACGAGTCGAGTCGAGCACGGGGAAGCGAGGATACGAATTGACGTGCCGCCCTCCCCGGCCAGGGTTTGCCTGTCCTCGCACCTGTGCCTGTACCTGTACCTGTACCTGCACCGGCCGTCAACGGGGTGTCCCATGCAGCAACTAATTTGGTGCCTGGAGGTCCCTTTTTTCGCACGAAGCCCTGGTACCAAGTACTTGCTTCATTGTCCGGTGGCTCGTGGGCATCGCGCCTCGCAATTTGTTGGTGTTCGCCACGAAAAATTGAAGCGGCGACATGCTGGGCGCTATTGGCAGTGCCAGGGGCTGCTCCGCGCGCTACAGCGAGCGCTATGCCGTTTGCAACGATGGCGACACGCAGGGGAGCGTTGAAAGAACATGAAGGGTCGCCTTCATCCCTCGCGGATGGAGCCTGTTGCTGTGACGGTTGAAACACGACGTGAGAAACAAACAAACAAGGACGCAGCAGCCAACCGATCTATTGTAGCAGAGGGAGGAGGATGCCTGCATACAGCATGGCAATGGAACCGGATCTGGAGAGAGAGAGAGAATCTGCAAGACAACATCAATGATGCAAGACAGAACCGTCTGCATAAAACATGGATGATCAAAGTCAAATTGGATTGTCCAACTGAATGATGCTTACATGTACTTGTACAGGTACCGCGGAAACCTACAGGGCCCCCCCTCCAGGGCTCCCTCTCACCGCTGGCCACTAAAATCAGCCGCCTGGTAGCGCCCAGGGCCCCTTGCATGCCCCCCTCCCGTCGTTGGCCGTGCCCCTGAAGCTAATGCACGTCTTTCTGGCGGCTTCGACCGTTGCTGCACATGGCCTGCAGGTACATAAGATACGAAGTTGCGATGTACAGTACCAGAGGGGACAAGGCATTGGATGGAAGAGATTTGAAGCCCCAGGCAACGGCTAGTAAAATCATGACAGCCGTCAGGGTGGAAATGGAAGAAATAGAAGCATATCCACCGTTCCGTTTCTTCAACTGCAGTGACATCAATGATTGTGCGGCCAAATCCGACAGACAGGAGGAGAGGCCAAGTTTTTAGGCCTTCCTTCAGGCCCCGGTGTTTATACTCCGTCGTCCAAGATTGCACCCCCATCGTCAATTGTGTGAAGTGCAACCTCCATGAGCCAAAGCAACCCTCCCGCAGGCCCTCCTGGGGTCACACTGGTATCACATGCAATGCGCCCCCGAACTCTGCTCTGCTCCCCTCCCCTCCCCTCCCCTCTCTGTAAGGTTCTCGCACATGATGTCTCGCTTGGTTCAACGCAACTGCGACACCTTATTAGGCCATCTAAGACCTCTGCCGAGGCGGTCGATTTCGAGTCAACAGCTCGTCTCGCCAGGACCAGGCCAGCCGCTGCACAAACACGGACACCTTGTCTGCACGTACCTGTACGCGTCAGCCTTGGTTGTTTGCTTGTTCTGGCGGACACTCTGCATGTATTTGGACTTGGCAGCGGCCTATGGTAGAGTAGCCCAGTGCTCTGTGCGAGCAAAGGGCCATTCACAGCGAACGGAGTTGTAGATGATACGGAGGAAGCACGGCATACATATTTAGAAGTTTGAACCCTTTATCCCAACGATGTTATATAAACGGAGGTACGTCGATACTCCTTCCGCTGGACAAGCTGTCAACCGAAACTGAGCCCAAAATGCAGCGACACCCATTTCCTAAATAAACGCCATCAAATTCGCCCATATATCGCAATAACAATGCTTGAGAAGAACATGCCCGGCATTCGCCTTCCTTGTCATGTCCACAACATCGAATCGGCTTCCCATCTTATAGCTCAGAGTCGTTGCACTGCTCTTCTTCCTCATTGGGGTCCTGCCGAGATTGCCAGCTAGCTGAGGAAACGGGCACTGAATCGCCAGAGAGACGCGATGCGTTCTCGGCGCATGGCATTCAGATCGTCAGAGGGCCAGTGAGGCTTTCCCAGGCATTGAATGCCATCACGTCGCCTTGCTTCGTGTTTGAGGTCTCATAGTCTTTTCGACTCGTGGGCAGTCCGTCGTGATTCCAGATCGTGCAGGTGCTCATGTGTCTCATAGCTGATCGAGAAGCTTCCGCCTCCTCCGCTCCAAAAGCTCCATCTGGACCTCCTCCATCGTCGGCAACGCCCATCCATTGCCATCCCCGCTGTCCCCAGGTAACGGTTCCCAGCCATCGGGTACGCCCTGAGGCCCCGACTTCAGAAGATTTGCTGCTGCCTCCCTCTCCTTTTGCGCTTCGTATTCCAGCAGCGCGTCGTCCTCCTCGCCCGGAGCGTAGCCGTAGTACGCCGCATCCACAATCTTCCTCAGGTCTTTGCTGGTTTCGAGCGGTTTGTCTTCATGCTTCTTCGCAGCCGCCGCCTCAAACAGCTCCTTGACGCCAGGCAGCTCCCTCGCCCGTCCAAAGTACTTGTAGCCCTTCCCACCCCCCGGTATCTCCCTCCCCTGCTCGTCGTACATCTTCCCCCCTCCCCTCATGTAGTTTGGCCCGCCTAAATTCCGTATCTGCACCTCCCACATGTGTTTCTCGCGCATCAGCTTGTTGATCTCGTCGTTGAGGTCGCGGATCTGGTAGTCGCTCAGCACGGGGTCCTGGATCCTCGAGACCTTGCGCGAGATCTCCTTGAGGACTTGGCCGCGCCATCTTTCGCATGCGGGGATCGAGTCAACTTCGGTGATGATCTTGGGGCGGCGCGTTCGGCCGGCGTCGATGATGCCTAGGTCTGCTGCTTGGGCTTCGCGGAAGCGAAAGAGCATGGACTGGGCCTTTTCCGAGTTTCGAGCCTGTTGAAAGATATGAGTAGTTGCATACATTGAGAGTTGTGCCAAGCCATTTCATGACAACTCACCATCTTGACGGTGGGGGCTCGGGAGTCAGGGCAAGGTGAAGCTGGTGATGGATTGCTTGACTGGTGGAAGCTCGACTTTGGGAAGTTTGGCCTTGCACATCTGCAGCCTCGCCAAAAGCTACTGTGGCTGGTGTGCACACTAGCCACAATTGAGCCACATTTTTCGGTCTCACGACAGAAAGTCCTTCAATAACTACATGTAGCAATAGAACCCGATTGACGTATTTCCGCGGCGTTGCCGCTGTTGCTTTCTATATCAACACCTTGAAATCCCAAAGGAACTGCACTGATTGGACACAGGCTCTTTTGTCACACCGGGGTGTACCTTATGTGGATTTCCTGCGATATCATGTTCGCTCCCGAGCAAGCAAAAGATCCCCGGCGTGGATGGTCTATCTGTAGGTACTGAAGCGATACGCGAGCAACGCATATGGAATAATGACCATTGTATTCAACGCCGCTGAGTCACAGTGAGACTTGGTTCCTGATCCAATTCCGCCGACGACAACTGGACCGGCCCTTGAGACTAGGATTTCCGCAAGTGATCAATATGCCACAAAGTCCGGAGTTGCATCGGCCGTTGCCCCACTACGGAGCGCATTGCTCTGGATATGGCCAATTCAGAGGTGAGAGCCGGACACGGAGGTGAGACGACCGATTTCAGCATTCAAAGCAATACTCAGCAAGACTCGTATATGTTGACAGATGTTGAATTAGATCGTGGACCAGCAGTGGCAAGATGGCTATAAGAGGATGCCATTCTTCGCGCTTTCGACAATGATTCCACCCACAAACTACCAAGACAGTCGAGCAACAGCATAAGACAACAGACTTCAAGTCGCACCTACACTTACATCCAAGCACTACCATTCCCACCATCTCCCTCTTCCTAGCATCAGATTCCAAACATCACAGGCCCATCTCCAAACATGTCGCACTCCGTCATCTCCCCCGCCATCCTCTACTGGGGCACCCCCGTCGTCCTCGTCTCCTCCGAAAACGAAGACGGCTCCGACAACCTCTGCGCCATCTCCTCCGCCTTCTGGCTCGGCCACCGCTGCATCCTCGGCTTCGCCGCCGAGAGCAAGACGCCGCAAAACATCCTCCGCACCGGCCAGTGCGTTGTCAACCTCCCCGACGACACCATGGCCCGCCACGTCAACCTCCTCGCCGACACGACCGGCACCGAAGTCGTCTCCGCGTCAAAGCTGGACCGAGGCTACTCCTACGTTAAGGACAAATGGTCGCGTGCGGAGCTCACGCCGCAAAAGTCGCATCTCGTGCGTCCGAGACGGATCCTGGAGTGTCCCGTGCAGATGGAGTGCGAGCTGGCCGAGGCTCACCAGACGATGAAGGACTTTCCTGATCTCAAGGGCGTGGTTTTGGCAGTTGAGCTCAAGGTCTTGAGGACTCATGTTGTGGATTCGATTCGCATGCCGGGACATGCCAACCGCATCGACCCCGACAAGTGGAGGCCCATGATTATGTCTTTCCAGGAGTTTTATGGTCTGAACGGCGGGAAGCTGGCGAAGAGCACTTTGGGCAAGGTTGAGGAGGAAAAGTATCGTGGGCTTACGAGGAGTGGTGTTGTCAGGCTGCCTGGTGACGAGGATAAGGAGATGGTCGAAGAGGCTTATGCGCAGGCCAAGGACGGCTTGGACAGTTAGACTGATGGATTGATTTGTTGGGATTGTTGTGACAGCAATAGAGCTCAGGGTAGACTAGACGACTGGAGATAGAACGCGGATATACTCTGTTTGGAATTTGCATGATGGAAATATCGTGTGCACGTTTCCATCGACGGGTAGTGAGTACTCTGGTGAAGAGACATGATCCACAAGGCAGTCATGTAGGCGACGACGTACTAGACAGAAAGGGGAGTCAGTTCCAGAGTGAGTGAATCCTCGACCTATTCTGGACGTGATTGATGATATTGGTAGTACATAGCATAAACATACAACTTCTAATTGCGAATCTGACCCAGGAGATCCGGATCCTCGTACGTCACTTGACCCTGGCTCACATCAGGATATACGTCAAACCTCCTCTGCGTCTCCAAAGGAATGTTCCTACGCGTTTCCAGAATCTTATCCTCGTCCAGCTCGCTCTCAACAATAGCCTCTCCCTCCTCAGCCTCCGCCAACACGGCAGCCATGGGATCGAGAATCATGCTGTGACCCCATGCATGATACGTAGAGTCCAGGTTCCGCGCAGGACTACACATTCCCACGTAAATCTGGTTGTCGACGGCTCGAGCCTGTGCCAACAGCTTCCAGTGAAGAGCACCCGTGACGAGGTTGAACGCACCGGGGTAGATCAAGGCGAAAGCTCCCTTGCGAGCCGCAATGGCCGCGATCTCAGGGAACCGGATATCGTAGCAAATGCCAACGGCAACTTTTCTATATTCGGAGAAGTCGACCAATGTGACCTTGTTGCCTGGGCTGAGAACGTCGGATTCTCTCATGGAGACCTTGCCTGGGATGTTGACGTCGAACAGATGCGTTTTGCGATGTATCGACAGCAAGGCACCATTGGGTCCGAAGATGAGACAAGTGTTGTAAATCTTGCTTGTGGAAGGATCGAGTTCTGGAATGGAGCCCCCGATGAGATAGACGTTATTCTCTGCTGCCATCGCCGACAAGGCGAAATAGGAGGGAGCTTGTTCTCTGATTGGAGGCAGAGGTAGGAGAGGCTCGGCGTATTTGGGGAAATAGGCGGTGCCGTAGGGCGAGTTGAAGCATTCTGGGAGAACAACAATCTTGGATCCTCCTGCAGCGGCTTTTGCCACTTGTGAGGCCGCGTGCTTGAGATTCACGGCCTTGTCAGAGCCGGACAGGAGTTGCACGAGGGCAATTTTGACGGGCTTCTTTAGTATGGTGCCTGCAACGGACGCCATTGTGAAAGCACGGATATTAGATATGGCCTTGAATGGGTGGAAGTCTTCGAGGAGGTAGATGACGAGGAGTCAAGGGTAAGGGTCCAGTTGAGACGAATAACTTCAAGTTCACCGTGTTTGGCTGGGGAATGCAATTGACAACTAAATTGAAGCTGTCAATGAGGCCGATGAATAGAGCGCCTGATATCTGTCGGCTTTTCGGCGTTTTCCTCACCTACACATTGCTCGTCAGTGTTCCGCATCATTCTGGTGTAAGCGTCTTGCTCAATCCAGATGTTGGTCACCAGCGCCCGCATGCTCACCGTCGTCGGCTTATTCCCATTTCCCGACAGCGCCGGTTCCACTCCGCCTCTGCTCTTAGTTACCTGGTGATAAAAGGTGGCTGTTGATGCTTCACTAAGCGTCCGGGTTGGAGAACAGTCACACGACCGAATAACTCTTGAGGATTTTGAACGTACACAAGGTATTTCCATACTTGTACCTCTGCATCTAAATTAATACAATCAATCGAAGCCCAACGACCATTCATCACTCACCTACCCCATAATGGAGCAATTGGAATTCCATGACCCGACAACGCGCTCCGCCTGGCAGCAAACCACGCCCGGCATCGAGGAGTTGATTCTCAACGAGGACAAATCAACAGGCCGCAAGACACTCCTCCAACGATGGCAACCCGGCGCCGCAAACCCCAGCTCAAGTCCCTTTGTGCACACATTCATCGAGGAGATCTACATTGTCGAGGGCGATCTCACGGACAAGACGCTGGGCCAGACGTTTTACAAGGGCATGTATGCATACCGCAACCCGGGCATGGAGCACGGGCCGTGGTCCTCGGAGGGAGGATGCTTGATGTTTGTCACTTGCAGCGGTCATGGCGCATAGAGGTGGGAATTGCGTCGGGGTTGAGTCGGGAGGAGTCGAGGAGGTTTTGCATGGATCAAATCTCGTGTCGCAACGGCAGATATCGGTAGTGCATGTGCCGCACAGGTTGATAGTGGTTACATGGGTTCAACGTTGGCGAATGGATTCATGGAATCAGGAGCTTATAGTCGCCCGAACGATAGTTTGTCATCCAAGGGGGCCCCATTACGGAAATGGGCTCGCAGAATTATATTCCACGTATGACTTGGCTTGTCTGCTCCTAAGAAATAGCAGGCAAGCCCCTTCGAGTCTGTCCAGCCCTCTTCCCTCACCACCGTTGTCAACCTCTCTCGCCAGTATCTGGTGAAAGCGTGTATGAATCTCTTATGACAGCGACAATTGAATGATTTTGACATAAATACTAACGTCTTACCGTGGTCTAGCTGAAAACGGAGGGCGCTCTATCCATATGGAGCCAGCCTTTTTCTCCGCAATTCTCCTTTCCTTGTCTATCCAGCCTTGCGGAGGCCCGGAAAGGCGTTGAATTTCCCCAAACGCCCTGACTCGTCAGAGCCTCAGCTGAACATTTTGGCGACGTCTTGTCCCGAGATCCATCGGAGTCTTCCCCAGATTCCCCAAGATTTAGAACACCGGCCGGCTGGGCCATAGACTGATACTATACATATCGGCAAATTCCCCTGGAAGCATCACGACTGCTCATCCTTCCTCCACACCAAACACGCCATCGAGTATTTCTAATTGCCGACAACTGCCCTTTGTTCGTTATCACAGCCTCTTTCCCCGGGCCCGAGTCGTCCGTGTGAACGGTGGAGGAAAAAATCCCGATCTCAACATGTCGGACTCTATAGTAGTCCAACCAAGAAAGCCGGCCAGCAGAGGCAGCAGACGAGGCCGGAAGCCCACCTCGTGCACGCAGTGCCACCTGAGGAAGCAAAAGTGCGATCGGAACCAGCCGTGCAACCGCTGCTTACAGCGTGGAGTTGCTCACCTTTGCGGCGACTCCACGGCGGCCAATGGAGTGACCAAGGCTTCTGAGACGCCGCAGACCGTGGCTGTCGGTCAGCCTTGTGCTTCCTTGTCCCCGAGGCCCAGGAGAGTCATTCAGCCGCCCATGAGTCCGAGATTGGGGTCGTTGTTTGCAAACAGGGGGTCGAGGGCTTTCTACGGGTCTTCCTACTTTGGACATCAAGTGGCAGCCAGGATATTGAGTGAAGAGGGCCAAGACCTACCATCAGGAATATCACGAGGTCGAGATACACTGCAGTCTTTTCGGGACGAATCAAGTTCGTTTGCCCAGGTTTGGGACCTTCTCGGGCTTTTACCACGTCAAAAGTCCACAGTTGATCGTTTGGTCAACATCTTCCTGGCAGAGGTGAACTGGTCTTTGGATGCAGTTCACGAGGCGACGTTTAGGAGCAGCTATGACGAGTTTTGGGGGAGACGATTTGGATTCGATGACTTGGCCAATGTTGATCTTCGTTGGTTGGGGCTCTTGTTCATCATTTTGGCATTTGGGGTGTTGCTTGATGCACCACCGCGATTGACGCTGGATGTGCAGCGAGAGCGGGAAGAGGCGTCTCTACGATTCTACGTATGTATTCACCAGCTCTTTGATGTACGAGTGAATACGTATAGGCAACGGCTAACATAGTATCGTCCTAAAGTGGGCTGCCAGAAGAGCAATTGTCATTGCTCCATCATTCTACGGAGAAAGCACAGATATTGTGCGGGCTGGACTACTCGTCACACGATATCTCCTCCACACGCGACGGGTTTCGGAGTCGTGGCTGACGATTGGATTCGCGTCACGGATGGGACAAGCCCAGGGGATGCACGTAAGTGCTGCAGGGTTCTATATCTGTTGAACACTACATAAATCGCTTACACGCCATAGGTTGACGGTGAGAGATGGCGAATGTCGCGGAAAGCCACCGAGCAGCGGAGGCGGCTCTGGAGCCACATATACGCCATTGACCGCATGATATCCCTCGCGTTGGGCCGGCCATATGCCATCAACGACGAGTTTTGCCTCACGCACGAGGCTGAAAACGTCTGGTTGGACGACATGGGGGAGGAAGAAGCTGCCTGCGTTGCCCCCCAGCCGCTAAACATGCCAACGCCAAGCGTGTTGTCATTCCTGCTCTACCGGCTTGCCAAAGTCATTGGCAAGATTCAGGAGAAGTGCTTCGGGCTGGAAAGGGCCAGCTACGAAGCTGTTCTTCAGCTCGACGCCGACTTGGTCACGTGGAGCGAGCAGCTGCCACCCTACTTCCGCCTGGACAACCCGGATATCTCAGGGGATGAGGTTCTCAAATTCCTGCCCTGGCACCGACTCTACCTACATACATCATTTCACTTTGCCAGAATCATCCTCCATCGGCCTTTCTTGCTGCGGGAGTCCATCACGGATCGATTCCGAACCAGCCACGAGGCGTGCATGTCCTCGGCGCTGTCTGATTTGAAAATTCGACTTCGCACAATGAATAACTCGACGGCGGACAATCTGCGATGGGCTTTCGGAGCGCACAATCTCTTCAACAGCGCCATGATCCTGGGAATCATTGCCGTGAAGAACCCCCATTCGACACAGGCGGGTGCCATATTGGAAGACCTGGAAGCATACTGCGAGAACATGCATCGAGACCTTTGGCTGAACGAGTTTGGAATGGCGGAGCTCAAGGTCATTGAGCTGTGTATTGCAAAGGCGAGGGACTCGAGGAGCACGCTGACGGGTGTCTACCCGTCTTCTGGGTCCCCGGCCGAACCGCCCGGCTCGAGAGGGAGTAATGCCGTCGATGGTCGTGGGCGACTGCGTCCGCCGGACTTGGAGTCTCCGGCCATGTCTTCGGACATGAGCTCCATCTACTGGCCGACTGTCTGGGAGGACGGACAGTTTTCGTTTCCTGGCGCGGCGGACTTTAGTACGTGGGAGCAGATGATATCAGATATTGCAGAGGATAGCTATGTGGGGCCTATCGGGCAGTAATTGACATACATGCAGGCATCTTGATGCTAACTTCTATGTATCTCTTTCTCAATGTTCTAACAATCCCGTGATAACCTCATAGCCCCTTAACCTCTTGCCTCAATGCAATGCCCATTGGCCTCGGGCTGCTTGAATGCAATCGGGTTTGTCAGCGATCCGAGGCCGTGACTAATTGTGACAAACAATTCATCCCCCTCGACGAGACGGACGGGGGGGTTTCGGCTGACGCCGATTCCGCAGGGGGTCCCGGTTAGGATAATGGTGCCCTTTTGCAGCGTGCAGCCCTGAGACATGTAAGTATTGAAGATACGCATAATCTCAGCTCAACAGCTCGAAAGCTGGAATAACGCTTCTTACCTGGGAGAGAAACGACACAATCTTGGGCACCGTGAAAATCATATCACTCGCCTCGCCCTGCTGCATCACCTGTCCGTTGAGCACCGTCCGCAGCTGCAGCACCGACGGGTCGGGAACCACCCTGGCCGACACGAGCGCCGGCCCGATTGGCGCGAATCCGTCAAAGCCCTTGCCGCGATCCCACTGCGAGACCTCGTTCTGGTGCGTCCGCGCCGTGACGTCGTTGGCGGTCATGTAGCCGAGGACGTATCTCATGGCCTCTTCCTCGGGGACGTCCTTGCAGGTCCTGCCGATGACGACGGCCAGCTCGACTTCGTAGTCGAGGTGGCAGTCGTGGGCGTCGGGGCAGTGGGGGGTGGTGATGGTGCTGGAGGGGTGGTTGATTGTTTCGGTGGCCTTGAGGAAGAGGGTTGGGGTTTTGGGGATGGTGAGTTTCATCTCGGCCTGTTGCGATGGCTTCAGTAACATTGAACTGCCATGCTATGTTGGACTTGACAACTCCTGCGCTTGTGAACTTACGGCATGTTCGCGGTAGTTGAGGCCGATGCAACGTATTGTGCCTGCTTCTTCTGGTCTAAGTGGCGAGAGCACCTGAAACCTCGTTAACGACAAAGCTGGTTCCAGGGGTTGGGCAGCTGTAGCTTTACCCTTTTGACTTGGACAATCTCCTCTGATAGGGCGGCCGAGAGGTCCAGTGCTGAATCGGTTCGGAGGATCCTGGCATGTACGTCCTCGCCACGGTGTAAAGCGATACCAACTAGACCAAATCTGCCGTCAGCTTTCGTCGACGCTTTGGAATCATTGGTAGGACCACGGACTATCGAGTTGTTCGTCTACAGGTTCACCGTATCTCTCCTGCCCGTGGACATCTTCGAAGCGAATCAACCTGTTCCAGACCTAGACGAGAATCAGGCCATATCAGTCAGTTGATACGAAATATATCAGAGTATTGTGGGCGTGATAAGACTTTGGCCGGGGGGTGGTTTGACACTTACAGGCAGGTCGTCTAGCAGTATAGGAGTCATGGCTTGGCGCTGATAGAAAAACAATTCTATGACAACTCGGTTTTGCTTGAGACTTGGTCAAATCTATCAAGCCACGAAACTAGGCTCATCACCATCGCGGCGTTCCTTATCATATAAGAGCTCTCTCCTGTTCTATTTGCCATACCCGGACAAAGGTCTTGGATTTGCTCTTTTTTTCGGGGATTGGAGACCGCCTGCCATCGGGAAATAGATTCCATAGCGCTGACTTCTAGCGGGTGTGAGCGTTGTGCTTGCATGTCGGCTTATTGAGGTCAGCTATCGGCCATTGTCGGGAAATTCAGCTGGTCCAAGTTCGTGATAGAGGCTCTTGCGATAACCGCAACAGGGATTCAAAAGATCTTGTAAGTGGTCTAAGAATACTTCAAATACGGACGGGAGCTTCATCAGGGAAACTTCAATTGGTTCTCATTAACTAAGCATTTCATTTTCAGATCTTTGCTCATACAATGGACGACAAGAAGATTGCAACTGCATCCGACTCGTCTGAACATGGCTCCATCAACAACTCCTCTCAAAATGAGGGAGTGATGCTCCCGGTGGAGAGGGAGACTGTCAAGAGGAAACTCAAAGGGCGGATGATGCAGATGTATGCCCTGGGAGGTACCATTGGAACAGGTCTGTTTGTGGGTATTGGTGGTGGTCTTGCTCAGGCGGGACCCTTGTCGCTGCTGTTGGGCTACTCAATCACTAGTATCTTTATATTTTCTATGGTAAGTGCCAATTTGTCACTGTGATGTTCCATTGGATTACAATATCCCGTTGCAATGTTCCTGACTTTGATAGATGCGATGTCTGGGAGAAATGACTACTTGGTTGCCTCTTCCTGGTGCTACACCAAGGTTCTGTTCACGCTTCGTTGATGATGCACTGGGCTTTGCTGTCGGCTGGAACCAGTGGTATAACTGTGCCATCACGGTCTGCGCAGAAATATCGGCTGCAGCTGCAGTCATCCAGTTCTGGAATGACACCATCTCCGTAAGTGCCAATGCCACCCCCCCTTCAACCAACGGGGCTCCTACACCTACTTCAAAAAGATGTAAGTATGAACTTGCAAGCTAACAGTGTGGATAGCCCGCCGTATGGATCTCCATCATCCTCGTCCTCATCTTCATCTTCAACCTCATCGACGTCGGAGTCTTTGGCGAAGTCGAATTCGTCTTCTCCTGCGTCAAGATTGTGGCCCTAGTTGGTCTCCTCATTCTCTCTCTCGTCATTGACCTGGGAGGCGGCCCAACTCATGATCGACTTGGATTCAGGTAAGCCCTCACACCCACACCATCACCCCCAACTGGTAATCTCTAACACCTCCTTGTTCTCAAGATACTGGAACAACCCTGGCGCCATGGTCGAATACATTGTCGGCGGCGACACCGGCCGCTTCCTCGGCCTCTTCAACGCCCTCGTCAACGCCGTCTTCGCCTTCGCCGGCATCGAAATGATTGCCGTCGCCGCCGGAGAAACAGAGAACCCCCGCCACAACATCCCCAAGGCCGTGAACCGCCTCTTCTGGCGCATCATCTTCTTCTACGTCCTCGGAACGCTCGCCATCGGCGTCATCGTCCCCTACACCGACGACCGGCTCCTGAACGGCGGTGCTGGCGTTGCCAGCTCGCCGTGGGTCATTGGCATCACGCGCGCTGGCATCAAGGTCCTTCCCTCCATCATCAACGCCGTCGTCCTCATGTCTGCCGCCTCGGCTGGAAACGCCCTCCTCTACAGCGGCAGCCGGTATCTCCTTGCCCTCGCCGAGGGTGGCCAGGCGCCCAAGTTCTTGCTCAAGTGCACCAAGAGGGGCGTGCCCATCTACTGCGTCCTCGCCACGGGTTCTCTCGCGCCGCTCACCTACATGGCTGTCAGCGCGGACAGCGCCAAGGTGTTTTCGTGGTTTGCCAATCTCGTGACGACTGCGGCGCTGTTTACCTGGTGCAGCATCTGCCTCGCGTACATTGGCTTCGATCGCGCAATCCGTGCTCAGGGGATCGACCGCAAGAAGGAACTGGCTTTTGGCGGCCTCTTCCAGCCGTATCTCTCGTGGATCAGCCTGGGATTCTTCATCATTGTCATCATCTTTAATGGATTTAGTGTGTTTATCCATGGGCACTGGGATGTGCAAAAGTTTGTGGTGGCCTATGTTGGCATACCGTACGTTTTCCCCCCCTTTTCTCCTTTCACTCTCTCGCCACTGTTTCGTCTTGCTAACATGACCTTTTCTTCAGCATCTTCTTTACGCTATTCTTTGGGTGGAAGATATTCCACAAGACAAAGATGCACAACGCCAATGACATTGATCTTCACACTGGGCGGCAGTTGGATGAGTCTACTGAGTATGAGGGGAAGCCGAAGAACTTGCTCGAGCGGCTCTGGGCTTGGGCTGCATGATGAAGAAAGATGAGCAAGACGATGTACTGTATCCAAACAAATAATCTTGAATATCCAATCAATACGCATGTTAATAATTACTCTGGTCTGTCTGGCGAACTTGACGCCGTGCGCCTATTCTGCCCAAACCCCTGTTGGTGTCTCGCCAGTAAGTATGAGAAGCGTCTGAGAGACTCATGTGCGATACCCAGTGTTCACATTGTAATCTTATAGCTATAACATTTATAAGATCCCGAACCATATGGGTGTGCATACGAGGCTCTCTTCAAGTCAATGATCTCTCTCTATGCAATCGCTTAGCAGTCTATATCCCCGGTTCATATCGTAAACCCAAGATGCTCTCTCTCATCGTGTGTAATCCTCCCCCACTCCAACAGCAACCGAAACATGTAAATCTGCATATCCTCTTTCCTCAGCGCCCTTTGCGCCCACTCCCTCCCCTGCTCTGCAATCTTCTTGGCCATGGCCGGTCCCTCATCACCATCCTTGTCATCAGCACCTCCTCTCATGAAGAACTCCAAAACAGACCAGAATCCCGGTCCGAGCCTGACGTCCACGGGAACATAATGGTGCCAGCCCTGGAGCCTCTCGTCGTACCAGGTGCGAAAGAGGGCTGCGCGATAAGGCAAGCTACGACTCTCCAAGAAGGGCAGAAAGCGGCCGCTGAATCCTGCGCCGTCCATGTCGAATAAATGTCGGTATCGCCAGTGCTCTTCAAACGGGACACTGGGGGGAAGCTCGTTCACCTCTTGAGATGTTGAGTCATTCTCCATGGTGGCAAGGCCCCATTTCTTATAGGTTTCCGACTCAGCAGCACAATCTCTCCCATCACACTTGGATATCTCTCCCGTAAAGGAGACATTGATTCTTAAACTTTCAGCGTCAGAACGTTGCAAAGCCACAGTCTCCTCATACGCTTCATGCACGAACCGCGGCCGCAAGAAGCCCGGCCACCGTCCATGGGCTGAGAATCCGTCTGATCGCGATCCTCGCCAGAACAGGGCGTTCTCCTTGTCTTCCCACTTTACACCACTGTCCTCCTTGAAAGCACTTTTCTCATCAAAGTTCCATGGCGAAGGGATCAAGATATCTGAGAAGCCACCGACACGTGCTTGACTGAAGATGGGTAACAGTTCACTTGTCCGCACCATGGCGGACGGGGAATTCAGGAAGCCCGATAGATAGGCGACGTCGGGTTGATGGCACAGCTCGTGAGCGAGAGAAACATTTGCCAGCAGCGCACCGCCGGTCGTTGGCACGGAATGCGGCTTGAGACAGTTGACGCAGGTTGTGCTCCAATCCCACCAGCGGCTGTTACGGACGACTGAGTCTTGTGGGCAGGCAGCAGCAACAAAGTCGTAGAAGATGGGCGTCCGAATGTCGTCTGTGAAGCTGGGATCGATTTCGTCTTTCCCGCCGTTCGTTCCCCGGGGGAGAGGCTCCGCAAAGTCTTCGGGCCATGGAGACTGTGGAAAGTGGCTGTCAGGCCAGGTTTTCTGTTCCTCATTGCTCGTCACTTTTGCTCTTTCTTGCCGCCCCCTGCTTCTGAGCCACTCCATGCGCTCATGTGGCACTACCATGCGGCACTCATCAGCCAAGTTGATGGCAATATCCAGGTCCGGTAGCCACTGGGCAAAAGGCTCAATCATCCTCTGCAGAGAATCCGCCATCCAGCGATGCGATCCCGGTATGTGCGGCGACTGCTCCACGGATCCATTGCGGATGCGCACGCCGCCCATCTCCGTACTTGCGTAGGCAAAGAGAGACGCCGTCTGCTCCCGGAGACTCGCAGGGTCCACCGCCCAGAAGGGGAGCAAGTCGTCGTTGATCTGGTCGAAGTCGTCGATGACGGCGGAGTTGTGCTCTCGCGCAAATTCGTACCACTTGTCGAAATTCGGCGGAGGCGGGATTGTGTATCGTCTGGTGTACTCTTTGACGGCGTCGGCTAGGGAGTTGCTGAGGGAGGCTTGGGATTCCCATACTAGGGACGACGTGGATGCTCCTGTCATGAGGGACTTGAGGGCTCTATCGATCGGGATCAGAGCGGGATATCCAGAGACGATGAGGTTGAGGACCGCTACCGAGGCTAGGAGCGCAAATCCAGAGCTGCATACAATGAGCCAATTGAAGAGGCTCCGTGATGTTGTAGAGTCCATAGTATGGTGAATCCCAACAGCAAGATACCACAAAGGCAACGCTAAAGCAACTGCCAAAGTTGCATGTTTCGCAAGTTCACCATAAGCTGCAGGCGATAGCAGCGGTATCACCTTGAGCACAGGGATCCGTGAGCCCGTAAATGAGGCAGTCACGAGAAGAAGAGCGAGACAAGATGGATCCAAAGACGACAGCAACGTCAAAGCAGAGAGCACACCAGCCGTAGCAAGAAGTCCATCGAAGGCAAAGTCTCGACAGTCGACAGCCCGAAAGCGAAACGCCAGGGAAAACTCCGAGTCAGACAGCCAGGAGGGGAAGCATAGCAGCAGAATCATTCCCGCTGCGGCAAGGCAGAGTTTGCCCATGAACTTGGAGATGTCGACATCATCGTCTGCGGCGGTGCGGGCCAGATGGGCCGTGTGGCTTATTATGGCGGCGTCAAGGAGGCAGTTGATGAGCTGGATCGACGGCACAAAGCGCTCCCAACGCCATCCGATGGGACACACAGTTCCAGTGGGAATGTTGGAGCTTCCCTCTGCTGAGATGATGAATAATGGCCATGCCGCGGCAATGAAGGTAAAGATTATTTGTGATTTCGAGGGCGTCGACCACAACGGCTGTTTCTTATGAAGTCGAGGCCATATCGCCTCCCAAATGAACGAAAACAGGGGCAGAAATGCCTGTGTGACATGATTTAGTTTGGGGGGGGGGGGGGGGGGGAAACAGCTTATATATGAGGCGAGACTCACCTCTATGCCGGGCCGTGAACATTGCGTAGTCCGAATGACGGCCCAGTATAACAACGTTCGAAGTCCTATGCAACATAAAAGGAAAGGGAATGATGGATGGATGTGTCGAATGTTTTCGAGCCCAATCCTGGTGTACTTGACAGTTTTACTCGTAGGAGGTATGATATCAGCTGAGGTCTTGTGATTTGCAATGACCGTCAGGCTTTGAAGATTGCTCTGCCGACTCCAGTAGTACTCGGACGCAAGCAGCGCAAACGCAATGAAGAGAAGCGTGACGATGGTGAAGTGAACAGGACGCTCTGCTGGTCAGTCAGAACTATCGCGACACTGAAAGACGCCGCTTCTCGGCGCTGATAAGGTGTGGCTTTCATACCAAATGAGGCGCTAGTATAATATCTAATGGAAAGCAAATATGTCGATAATGATAGGCATCTTGAGTGAAGGCGTTCAGTATATGGTCGGGTGCGAGGTTGCATGCCGCTATGGGATAGAGTTTCGATATGCTTACATTAAAGCCAGTGGATGATACGCGGCGCCTCGCATCTTGTACCCCAAGACAGCCCACGTGTCGAAGAGGGACAAAGTTGCGGGATACGCCGTCTCAGGGGCTCGAGGCAAGGGGTGTGAGGGTCAGACCACCTGCTGTGAGCGTGAGCAACTCGCGGCAACCTGAGGAGCGGCAGCTGTCTACACATGAGGAGCAATTCTCATACAGAATGAGAGAGATGAGAAGATGCGAAAGTGTCGACATGAAAACAAGTTGGCGATCAGGCTATCGATTCTGTCAACGGGAACCACATATTACCCCTGTCGATGGGACTCGTTCGGGTCTAGTCGAGACAGCGTCAGCCACAGAATGGGTCCAGCGAGTCTTTCAGCGGTTCAACATCGATGTGATCCAACAACTTCCGATGATGTCGAGGCCGAATCCCCAAGCCAGTAGTTCCTCATCATGGGAGTTGGTGTTCTGGAAGGCCTGACGTCCAGCAGCATATTCGCACCGTCAGCCATGTCTTTTTTCCTTGCTTTTCTTCGTCATGCCGCGTTTAATGTGATCCTCGCCCTGCCTCGGCCGGGCATCGCCATAGTTGCTGACCTCGCCAGACAAATATATCCTGGCAAGCCGTTACCCCCGATCTATATCCATGTCTGCCAAGAACATACCATCCGAAGCAAAGCGGGCACTCTGCTCTCTCTTAGAGAGAAGATGGAGATGCTACTGAGGACTTTTGTTCCGAACATCAAATGCTACGCCATTAGGTTATGCTTATCCAGCTACCCCGTATCTTGGCCCGGCAGACAGCATGTCACCATCGACTGCGAAAGGTACCATTCGCTTTATCTAGCTGCCAAGTCTCATCCCGATTGGAGCACCGCTTCACTGCCGCCGGCCGTTATCCCGGATGAAGCAGGTGTGAATACCTAGAAGTAGAAAGCCGGATAAACACAACAACAAGCATAAAAGTAGCGATCGATAGGCGATGGACATCTCGAATGGACAGGCATCTTGGGGCGGGGTTGAATGATGTCGACGTTTGAATGAGATGATGATTGGGTAACACCGATAAGATGGAAACTTATATAAAGACGAGGGAGGACACCATCTCGACATGCAAGACTGGTTGGAGTCCTTCACAACCAGAAGTCTCTACCAGACTGGAAGGAGAATGGCCCTCTCCATACACAGACGCAGTCGCCTAGCGATGGGCGTATCTGCCTTTGCCTCAGCCCTCTTGATCGGACTACTCAGCTCCCCCGTCGAAGCAGCGATCAAGACACCATGGGGCGAGCCGTTCAAACCAATTGACCCTCAAGAATGGGTCAACCCCGATGACATGACCTGGGACGACTACAAAGCACCGCCGGGCACTCAATGGAACGACCCATCCAAGAGAGGCGCCAGCCGCAACTTCAACATCGCTCTGATAGCCGTAGACTACTCAGACGAGACCTTTGTCGTCACGCGAGAGCCCAACTCGACCGTCTTTGGCAATCCCTTGCCATTGGTGTCTGGCATCGAGAGAGAAGATGTGCTGGCCTACTATCGCGACCTGCTCAACAAGCCCAGCGATCTCAACCGCGGCCACACACTGCACGAGTACTGGATGGGCGATTCACACGGCCGATACGGCGTCGACTTGACATCCTTTGGGCCGTATCGCATGCCCCGTCTGTCGTACGCATACGGCATAGACAGTGGCTTCAATCCCGGAGCGTGTCCTGTGGATGGCGCCTGTGATCAAGACATCCGAACGGATGCCTATGCGGCATGGCGTGCTGAAGTGGGCAACGACACCAGCAACTCCTTTGAGCTGGTGTTTATCCTCTCCGCGGGACAAGACGAGTCGTCTACGTGGCAAGAGTTTGGCGAGATGAGGTTCTCGTCTCCTGAAGACGTCCCCGCAGAGTTTGGACCTCCTCAGAGTGCCAACGGTACGGCGCTGCCAAATTACGCATCGACGAGATATGTCCCCTGGACATCGTGGGCGTCGGCATCGACCATCTGGCCGAACGCGGGCGGCGGTTCGTCGACGCAGTGCGAGAGTTCTGGTATGGGCACGTATGCCCACGAGCTGAGCCACTTGCTCAACATTGGCGACAACTACAACAACCCGTCCGGCATCCCGCTGCGACGAGACTACACCGGCCCGTACTCGATGATGTCCCGCGGGTCGTTTAACGGTCCCGGCGGTCCGCACACGCGATACCAGATTCCAGCGCTTCAGGGAGGCTCTTTGGGATCGTTGCATACGGTTCGAGATAAGCTCGTGCTCGGGCTCATCTCCAACGACAGCATAGTCCGGATATCGAGAGATGCTCTGGCGGAATCTGGCCCGGTCGTGGCTACGATCACGGCGCGATCTGTCGTGTCCGACCTCATCGGGCTGAGAGTTGACATGGACCAAGATCTGTCACCGGCGTGCAATATTTCTACTGACGTGTTCTGTGACGGAGGCCGTTACAACATGTACGACCTCGAAGTGATTGATCGCATGGGTGCCGATTCATTCCAGCCCGATTCAGGCGTCATGATCAGCAAGTCCAAGACCAGCAACAGCCAGCCCTTCCAGTGGACCATCGACGCCAATCCCGAAGACATCGAACTCATCGACTTCATTCGACCGAATGGAACCGCCGCCATGATCACCCTGGGCGACTATCGCCAACTGGCCGACGCATTGTTCCACGCCGGCACCGACTCGGGGAGCAAGTACGAGTACGTCGACGAGGCAAACGGCCTTCACTTTTACATCCTCGACGTCCACCGTGACGACGTCGGCGTGCTCTCTTACACCGTCGGGGCGCGATCCCTGACCGACAACAGCACAAGCGAGTACGGCATCGAACTGACGTCTGGAGTCCCCTTTACCTTTGGAGAAGCCACCACGCCAACCACCGGCGGCATCTTTTGCGAATTCGAACTCACAAACAACGGCACGTACGCCGGCTCGAGTGATGGCCACGCGCAAGTCCAGGCAGAGCACCTCGAGTGGGAGATTTTCCGCTTGGAGGCCGAGGTCGAGGGCGCTGGATGGGAGGCCGCGCTGCCGAATGCTGTGGTTCCTGTGAGGTATGGGGAGACGGCGAAGGCGTACGTGGCGGTTGGCGCGGAGGGTGATGCGGAGGATGGGATGGGGGTCGTGACGCTGAGGGCGACGTCGGAGTCTGATCCGAGGGTTGTGGCGACGGCGAGTTGTGAGGTGAAGAAGAGTACGTGTGGCTGAGTTAATGAGAGGCATGAGTATTGCTATCGTGTCTCAAGTTGATTAGGATTAATATCAATGGTCGTCTAAAGCGATAGAATGGCTCCTACATACCTGCAATCGTCAGCATGTTAAACAAGCTTTTTGCCTTTGACATAGATGCGAGTGAGACAGAGCCCAAGTGCAAGGTATTTTCAATGTTACATGTAGGTAGGTAGGTAGGTAGAGATCGCGGGCCATGTCACTCAGCGTTCACGGCAGGGATATCCTCATAACTAAACCTTGAACAGAGCACATCAGGTTTCAACACCACCTCAAGAAAATAAAAATCAGCTGAATGAAAGAGAGACCTCAATAGGTAACACGTACGTAACAAACAGATAGCGCTGTTGCATGCCCAGGCAGCTCGTATTCTGTAATTGGCATGCGTGCCGATTGGTCTGGACTGATTGCTGACAACTTGAAGCTTCTACGAAACGCCTACCGGGTACTCAACAATCTACACTTTGCTTGGAAGTCGCTCTTGGAGAAACAGATATAGAATCGGCCTCGACAGCTGTTGGAGATTATGCGCAGACCTAATGCCAATCAGTAGTCGAGGTTGTGAGGAGAGGGTCTTCCAAAAATCCATATGCCCTTGGCTTGGGTATAGTACAACACCTAATATACTGCATAGCCCTGATCGATACGAAGACGCTTTCATCCCGAAATGCCTCAGTAGACCATTTGTGCGACAGTGTCTTACTCGGATGCCAGCATTATAGAGTTCAACGAGCTGTCTCAGATCAGTAGTTTGCAAGTTGGGTTGGCAGCACGCACACACAAAGTGAGAGTGCAGACAAAGGTGGAAATGATTCACAGGGACAAGCCTCGGCAATCTCGAACAGGGATGCGCCAAGAAAAGAGCCAAAAGCCAAATCGACTTTGACTTGACATCCTTTTGTTCGATTTTCTGATGGCAGCAGCAGCAACCCCAGCCACAATGCCATCTTCATGCACATCTCATGGATTCGCTTCGTATTTCAACTTCAATCCGCGGCCGACATGTCGTCTTGTATAACAAGGTACCAGCGCGCTGACACGAAGACAGCGTGTACAACCAGGTACCGGTACCCGGTGCGGCTCTCGAGCATCTCAAGTCCTGATCCTTAACGCCTAGCGGCCCTAAACAAGGCTGGTCAAATCAGAACCTTGTTCGAGGCATCACGATGTCGTAGTACAGGGACTTGTATAGCCTACCTATCCAGTTGGATCACAGTTGGGTAGCATCGCAGTCCTTTGAAACAAGCATCCTCCGAGTTTCTCACTCTTTGTCTCTTCAGCCTTTCAATAACCAAGGTAATTACTCAACTCGGCCCCCTTTCGTCGTTTGCGGGTCGAGACGAAATTTGTCGTGCGACGCTAAAACCGTGGATAATCCCGGCCTCAATTTCTTAATTCTTATTCAATCCCGCCCCAGCCATTGGATCGCCTCCCTACCGATTGCACTGCAATTGCCCACTAGCGCCGTCGCGCGCATCCTCGCCTCAGCTGGCCAACTTCCCACCTCCAACCTCGTACAGGGAACAAAGAAGCAGCATCTTGTGCCACCGCCCATCGCCCGTCCCGCTCGGCCCAGGGCGTCTCCCTCTCCTCTCCTCCCTCTCCCTCCGCCCTCGCTGGGACCGACCCCGACCCCGACCCGACCCGACCAGAGGCACGCCACAACTCTCGAAGCATGCTGAGCCTTAGCAACAAGCACATCGTGCACGCGCTGCTCGGTGCCTCGCTCGTCTTTGTGTCGCTGCTGGTCTACGTCTGGAACTTCCACCTGCTGCCCGGCGATGGCTTCGGACACCACCGGGGCGGACCCCACGACCGCGACGACGACATGTGCCCCAGGGGCTCGCGGCGGCATGGAAACACCACCTACTGCGTGCCCCGGGAGATTGGCGGCGTCCGGTGGAAGCTCCCGTCCGACGCGACCAAGGTCATGGGCCTGATCTTCTACGGCCGCCGATCAACGGTCTCTATCCTCGACTGCTATCTCAAGGTACGGACTGCTCTGGGCGCAACTCGGTTGCGGAAATCTCTGGCTTCTGCTAACGCAATGGCAACCTGTAGCGCAATCTGGCCAAGAACGGCGGCATCCTCGACGGCGTCATCTTCCTCCAGCGCACAGACGACGCAGACGATCTCAAGTTCCTGAAAAAGCTGCTTGCGAGCGAGCCCGCCTACGAGAAGTGGGAGGTTGACATGTCCGAGGGCGGCTTTGGCTCGTCATACGACCGCATCCAGGACGACGTTCTCTATGTCAAGATGGACGACGATATTGTACGAGCCCTGGAACAAGCAGAATGCCCCGGAAATAGGCGGTGCCGAGTCCTTGTGCTAACATGTGCCGTCAGGTGTACATCGAAGACTCTGCCATTCCCTCCATGGTCACGACCCGAGCCGAGCATCCAGAATTCTTCGTCGTCTCCTCAAATGTCATCAACCAGCCCCTAATCAGCTGGATACACTGGAACCTCGGCGTCGTCAGACCCTACCTCCCCGAGCTGAACAAGGCGTATCCCGCTCCCAAGCCCGGCGAAAAGCTGGACTGGCGCCCTTCCATGCTGCCCTCGTGGCAAGGCAGCGACGATTTCGAAGTGAGCGAGTGGAATCCCCCGGACCACCAAAAGCACCGATGGCTGCCTATCAAGGGTCACACGGACCACATCCTCGACCGCACCCCCATCGTGGAGACAGAGTACGACCCGTTTGGACCCGGATGGAAGAAGTGGCAGGTTGCCGCCCAGGAGCACTACAGCCTGTTTGAGAATATCGAAAACGACAGCCTGCGCCAGTATCGCTTTGGAACATGGGATTTCCAGCTTAAGCGCATGGGCATCCAATTTATTGCCATGATGGGTAAGGACATCAACTTAGCCAAGCCCATTGCGGCCGATGACGAGCACCATTTTGCCGTCACCATGCCCGAGCAGACCGGCAGACGTAGGCCTCTCCCTTACGCACCCCTTCCTAGGTCATTGACTTACTGACGCCCTACAGATGCTGTTGCTGATGGCGGCGGCGTGGTCTCACACTTCAGCTTCGGAGCGCAAGCCGGCGACGAAAGGATCGAACAGACCGACGTCCTCGACCGCTACCGAGTCTACGCCGAAGAAAACATCTGCAAGGGGCCCATGCTCTGGGATCCTATTCTCGATAACCACGACGAATCATAATCTGTGGATGCCTACTCGCTTTCACCTTCTTTTTCGACGATGCATGTATTATGTACATCCCCCTTTTCTCGAATTCTCGGAGCGATGCTTTCAATGGCGAATCTGGAGTCTGGGGCATTACTTGGCAATGGTTTCTCGCGTTAGACGGTCTTTGGAACACCAAAAAAACTTGTAAAAATGGGAGGAGTGTTTGGGATGGGCGGGAGGTGCGATGGATGCTGGGTTGGCTTTTGCTTTTTCGTTTTCTCTTTTTCTTCCTGTTGATCTGGGCCGATACCCTTGCCGCCAGACAGCAGAAGCAAAGAACATACCTCTTAATACCGGAAATGTCGGCATGGGTGTATATGGACCTAGATAGGCACATGTCGTCTGTAGACAAAAAAAGACCTATCTGGATATAAGTTGCATGGTTTAGGGTTATATTCATGCATTGAAGCGCGTATAGTCTGTTGTGCTTTGATTGGAATGTGTGAAATATCGGTTGGCGGTATGTTTGCCCAAACTCTGATGGCCTTTATGTTTGCTCGTTTGGAAGAGCTTCCTTTGTCTGTGTGTCAGATGAAAAGGATTCTGCTGACCTTCACTTTCAAATCACTTTTGGTAGAGGTACGTACCTCGGTTCTCGGCCAGGTGTTGCCAGCTGCTCCCGTCAGGCATCGAGAGCCTTGCGCACATCTTTCTTGACGGCTAAATATCATTCGTTTTTCTCTTCTCTTCATCTTACTTCTTTCGAATTATTCTTTCATCAAGTATTCTACATCGTCAAACGCGCTTCCAACCCTGTTTCGACTTCAGTATCGTCGCTATGCTGCTCGCTGCGTCATGGCGACGGCCAGCCTCGTCTCTCACGGCACCCAGTCGCCTTGCTCGAATGAAAGTGCCCCCGAGCCTTATGATGCCGGCTTTTCACGCTATGGAACGGGCTGGATACTTGAGGGGCTATGCAAAGTCGAAAAAGAAAAGAAGCAAGAAGAAGAAGGCCGAAGCGGCATATATTGCGGCCACCCCTCAGCCGATAGAGACCAGAGCTTCTGTATTGTCCAGAGTCCTGTCCGCAGTGGGCTTTAGGTCAAAGAAGCCGAATGAGAGCGACATGGAGGCCATTGAAAATGATCCACCCAAGAACGAAAGGGAGGCTACGTCAAACCAGACGACGGCAAGCCAGACACCATCAGGCCCGATTCTCTCGCCAGAGCAAGAAGCCCTTGTATCACTTGCGGCCGACGGCCACAACATCTTCTTCACCGGCTCAGCAGGCTGCGGAAAATCAACAGTTCTGAGAGCCATTCGAGACCGTCTTGGCCAAATGCACAAGAGTGTTCACGTTCTGGCGCCCACGGGCATGGTGGCACTCGCAAACGGCGGCCAGACGACCTGGACATTTGCCGGATGGACGCCCAACACGCATAAAACGAGTCTCTCCGAGCTTCGAGAGTTGGCCCAAAACCCTATCCTGTTGAAGAGGCTGAGGGACGCCGAAACGGTCATCATTGACGAGATAAGCATGGTGGAGGGTATGCATTTCGAACGGCTCAACCGAATCATGAAGGCGGCCTATTCTCCCTTTGACAAGAGATCGACCCTTCCATTTGGAGGCACTCAAGTCATAGTTACCGGGGACTTCTGCCAGCTACCGCCAGTCAAACCGTTTGCCCATTGCTTCAAGTGCGGCAGTGATCTGGTGCCGAACAGGCGAGAGGACATCTACACATGCCCCAGCCGGGAGTGCGGCGCGTCTTACCGCGACGACGAGAAATGGGCCTTCAAGACCAGGGCGTGGGACGAAAGCAACTTTCGGCATGTTTATCTCAACACCGTCTACCGACAACAGGATCCAGAGTTCATCAAGCTGCTACAGAAATGTCGACTTGGCCTGCAACTCAGCGACTCTGAGGTTGATCTCCTAGCGAACTGCGATGCGGAGGTGAGCAAGCAGGCTGTGAAGCTTTACCCCACGCGGAACGAAGTTCGAAAGATCAATGATGCTGCGTTTCGGCGCCTCAAATCGCCTACACAGACCTACAAATGCGTGGACATCTTTCTGTGGAACCAGAAAGGGCATCCGTATTTGGGCTACAAGGGAATCAGAAACGCCGACGGGTCCCTCAAGGAGCTGAAAGATCACAGGTTCGAGGCCGAACTTCATCTGAAAGAAGGCATGCGGGTCCTGCTCCTGCATAACATCGGTGTACCATCCGGCCTATGTAATGGCTCCCAGGGAGTCATCATAGGCTTCGAGCCGTTCGGGCGTAACCGTCCGTCCATCGCGATTCACACCGGTCATTTACCTGTGCACACGCCAAAACACGACCTTGATGAAGAGAAGCTCCGAGAATACATGAAAAAATGCAGTGGGGCTGAGGGCTGGCCGATTGTCAGGTTTCAGAACGGCCAGACTCACACAGTCTATCCCCGGTGCCAGTCGATTCTCTATGGCAACAAGCGGCCGTATACTCTGCTCGGCCGACTTCAGCTCCCTCTGACCGCTGCGTGGGCTCTGACGATCCACAAGTCCCAGGGAATGACTCTGGACAGCGCGGTCGTGAACTTGGAGAAGGCCTTTGCGGAGGGCCAGATTTACGTGGCGCTGTCTCGGGTGAGGACGTTGGCGGGACTGAAGGTGGAGGGGGATTTGGCCGCGTTGCAGCGGTTTAGGGGGAATACGGAAGTGTTGAAGTGGCTTAAGGAGAAGTTTGGTCAGGATATAGTGGTGGATGAATGATGATTCGGATTCAATGTATATGGTACCCTATCGGTTGACTTGTCTGCTCAAAGCCTACGAAGGATATGATAGACAAAAGCCGCAGATGTGATGTTGAAGACATCATTCCGTCATTTATAATCGGTATAGCCATAAGATTACGAGAGCTTCTTCTGAACAAGATTCAATGAGTGTCTGCATCGGTTCTCGTAATCGCTTCACTGTCTCGTCTCTCCACACCAAGCGCCTGTTGGTCTGGAGAAAGAAATGGTTGTAAGCATACTGTTTTCTCGGATGATTCTTTTGCCGCGCATCTCGCCTTGCTTCCAGATAAGACGGCGGCAACCTTACCCCCTTCCAGTGATATTCAGCGCCAGAGCTGCGGACAGAGCAACGATCCAATGCAATAGACCGTGCCGCAATCATCGGTGCAGCGCTCAAGCTCAACGGATTCCCCAAGGATTTGAGCACTCAATTGGCGAGCATGGATCAGACTAGCATCCCCGGTCTCATAAACTGATCGATCATGATGCCAGCCAGCCACAAGAAGCAATGGCATGACATTGCCTTGCCTCGTTCAGTCCACGCAAGCCAACACCTGAACCGCGGTCAACTCTATTAGCGTTTCACCGTTCACCATTTCTGTAACGAGTGGCTAGTCAGTACCCATCCAATTCAGGATGGTGATACTCAAACACCCAGTCCTCATTTACACCAGAGAAAGCTCGGAGTCTAATAACAGACACTGCCATGAAGTGCCTTCTTCATGTTCTCCGCGTCGTCGTCAAAGACCAGTACCTTCCTCAAATGTCTCTCCTGTTCTCAGTTTTCGAAATGAATCTCTTCTGTCGTAGGCAATGATTTCAAGCTGACTGCCTTATAACAGCAGTAAAGGAAGTATTCCCCTGACTTTGACCTGATAGATAGAGGCACAGTGATGTACTAATATTCACCCCCTCATTGAAGGATCGCGAGCCTCGGCATCCAGCCAGATCCGCGGGGTACCGTAGGTGACTTCAGCCACATCGCCACGCACGTTGGAAGAATGATGAAGCTAATCGTAGGACTCAAGAGCCACGCGTCTTTCTCCGTTGGCAACCCGGTTAACTAGTCGTCCGCTTGTGGTTCAGCTAGCCTAGGAGGACCAGGAGAACATCGGAGGATAAAGGATCCATTACACCGAACGAAGCGTCGTTTATCCGAAGGGCGGTCTATCCAACTGAAGCTGTGTAGGTCACACGGGACTTGATCGTCGACGTCGGACTGGTTTCAGTGCATGGAAGTGGTGGCTGGTCCAACTGTTCGGAGGTGTTCCGTCTTGGGTAACTCGCTACTGGCAGTCCGTTACCCGGCCGAAAACGCGGCATCGCCACCGAACAGCTCAACGATGAAGAACGAACTCGAAATGAGTACAAGGTGAAAACGCCACATTTAGCTTCCACATCCAACGGAGGGCGTAAACCTGCGTTTAAGCCAACGAATGAAGACTGTGAAAACGATAAAAGAGGAAGGGGAAATGCGCCGGTGGCTTTAGTAGCAAGAATCCCGGGAAGCAAGTCGGGCTAAGAAATGCTTGGCTTCCCCCTTCTCCTCACTTGAGAGAATCGTGCCTCGGCTCACCTCTTAGTTGCTATCGGACAATCTTCCCCATGAGTCATGGATTGGTAACTTTACTTGCGTGCAATTGGGCGCTCACGCCAATCAGCAAGAAGCATTGTTGACGAACCCATGCTTCCCCATGCAAGGAGGCGTCCGGGGGAGAGGGGTTCTCCCCAAGGTAGAACGCGGGGGTGGACCGATGGGATCGCTTGTAAACTGGAGCAGTCAGACTCTGGACAGCAATCTGCGGAATTGGGTTGAACTTGCGAGAGAGCTGCTTTTGTTGTAGTGAAGCATCGCATCGAGCTGTAAGAAGGCCAGGCTTTGGGATCGTGTGGGGGCGGAACCAGATGAAGCTGGGATCGAGTCCAGCGGGAGGCATTTCCCCACACAACCCCAGGTTTTGCACAGTAGTATTACGGGGTAATTCTAAGCGCGATCAGTGGCCAAGAAAAGCTTGCTGTCGAAGCCAATTGATGAGGGCGAGGGTGTAGCAAGTAGTATATCGAAAACAGTCGTTGTTGGGGAGGGAACAGGTAAGGGCTGTTCTTGGGTTTTCCTTGTTTATACAGAACATTTAATCTCCTACAGATGGTTTGAGTTGAACTTTGTTTCCTTGGCTTTCATATCGTCTACACCAGTTGAACCTGGAAGGCGTTTGGCAGTTGAGTGAGATTTACCTACAGGGACCTCCGTAGTCTCTATAATTGGGGCAAACAGACTCGACAACACCGGGCTTCCAGGTCACGCCCCCTTCTACATGTCACGACCGAAATCCATACAAAGGAGGCTTGACAAGCAAGAAAAAGGCCATTCCGTAGACAAGTGCCGACGTAACTGCTCGAAGGGAAATTCTCTAGGTTATTTGCATGAACTTTCGGGCTTGATCAATTCGGGCAAAACAACTGTCCGTGCAACAACGATAACGATGCGGACTTTGGTTTTGAAGTATTGGACTATGTCCGGCTCCCTTGGACACACTCGCCTCCGCCCATTCCGCTCCCACCGCATGACTTTCTCTCGCTTGCTCGTACCCAGCTCGTACTTCGTACTTTGCCGCCCTGCTATGTACATCCGTGCTAGGCCAGCCGACAACTTGCCCACGCATCCCGGAGACATGGCCTGAATATCCTTAGACTGCGGGGGAAATGGGGGGAGCCGACCATCAGAGGTGGGCACTCCGGGGTCTGGGGTAAACAAGAACAGTTCAGACTGGACGACAGAGTGGAATCGATTGCGAAAAGACGCCTTCTGACTGGTTGAGGGCAGGATAGCTTCATGGACAAGTATGCGTGTACAAGTCAGCCACCTGCGGATACATGGGAGCGGAAGAGATGCGCGTCGACTCAGCTAACTCTTCCAACTATCGAAACCATGATACTCAGATCATGCACCTGGGTGTGTCCTCTGGAAGAGAAGAGGGGGATGTTGGGAGAGCAAGCAGGGTGGCCTCATGTACGGCCTTCTCGAAGAGTCCGACAGGGTTTCGTCTGACCGTCCCACGCCATACCATGTTCTTGGGCCTGCAGGAATGTTGTCTCCCTCCATCGTCATGGTGCCTGCACTCGGCACTTGGCGCTGCACTGCAACTATATAGTCCCTGGCTTCTGCCTGCCGTGACGATCGTTTTCTGTTTTCCTTGTCCTCTTGGTTCACTCATCTTCGATACGCCCACTCCCTTGACTCGATCTCGAATACTTTCCCCCCCAGAACAAGTGGCCATCAGGTCACTGTTGCACAAGAACAACCATGTCATCCCCAGATTTGAATCGTCTCCATACGCACGACTGTAAGCACAGCCTTGTCATCTCCTCCGTTCCTGTCAATCCCCTGAAAGCAGTCCCCCAACTGACCCGCATGCAGTGGAGCTGGGAACGACCGAAGTCGTCCAGAAACATGTCACCCGCAACGTCGTCCCACCAAGACGCGTGTCTCAGCGCCGCCTCGACTTCGAGCACGCCCGGCCTCGCTGGCTGCGCGAGTGCATCGCGGAGGCGACCGGCGTCTTCATGTACGTGCTGCCCGGCATCGGCGCCATCGCCTCCTTCACCTTCAATGCCACCAACCCTGTCGGCTCCACGGCCTTTGGCAGTCTCTTCTCCATCGGCTTCGCCTTTGCGCTCGGCATCGCCTTTGCCATCATCACTTGCGCGCCCACCTCGGGCGGCCACTTCAGTCCCGCGGTGACCATTGCTTTGTGCATATGGCAGGGGTTTCCGCTCAAGAAGGTTCCGTATTACATCTTTAGCCAGCTCCTCGGAGGCTTCCTGGCCGCCTTGGTGCTCATGGGCATCTACCACCAGCAGGTCGTCGAGATGAAGGAGGCCCTGCTGGCCGCCGGCGAGCCTCTGGTTGCAAATGGCGCCCCGGCGAGCATCCTATGCTCGTTCCCCAACCCGGACCAGACGATGGGATACGTCTTCATGACCGAGTTCTTCTGCGACTGCTTCGTCAGCCTCATCATCTGGGCCTGCCTCGACCCGGCCAACCCCTTTGTCTCGCCTGCGATTGCTCTCCTTGTCATCGGCCTGGCATACGGCGCAATGGCCTGGGGTTTTGGAGCCAACACGCTGAGCATGAACACGGCGCGAGACCTGGGTCCCAGAGTCGTGGCCGCCATCTTCTTTGGTAGCGAGGCCTTTTCCTATAAGAACTATGCGCCCATTGGCATCTTGGTTAGCATTCCGGCCATGCTGGTTGCCACTGCCTTCTACGAGCTTGTGATGAAGGATAGCTTGAATATCATCGAGACGGGCCATGCTGTTCATGCGGATGGGGAGGAGGCGTTGGTGAGGCACATTACCAGGACGACTACTGTTGATGAGAAGCATTGAAGCAGCAGGATGGGCATGTTTATGCAGATAGCTTCATGGTAAACAAACGAAGTATATGATGACAACTTGCTTGCTATTGTAGAGATTACGATCACGCCATGTGCAGAATTCCAAGTATGAAGCATGCCAATTCGTCATGCTCAACTAGCCGCCAGGACTGTTGTCATTCGGGAACTCGAGTGTAAGCGGATGCCGCAAGCGTCACAACTGCGGACAAAACCAATACGCAGGCATTTTTAACAACTCCCATCACCACCAACTGAGCATGTCGTCTATTTTGCCTACCTCATGCTTATTCATCTCCAATAGACAGAGTGTTTAGCTCAACGAACCCCCCACCATTCCTCATTGCCGATGCGATCTCATTTGGTGATCTTTCGGTACCTGCATCCGTGATTAATAAACATTGATCGCGTCTTTCAAGGGGGTGTGCATCGAACGCGGACTGGGTAGAACGTGGTTGGCGCAATACTACAGTCACTTCAGGGTATGCCTCCTACAAGAGATGTTGATCTGATGGGCAGGGACGGAGTTCTTCACTTGCTGCTGATCTGTTTGTTTAGAGATATGGCGAGGCGCTCCTGATTATCTCCGCTGGATAGCTTCGGTACTCCTACATGATGATACAAGCTGCAAAATAACGAGGCCGAATAGCTGGACTCTTGTAGCTGCTCTAGCGATCAAGCACGAGAAAGTTTTTTTTTGCCAGACACAAACTTGGGATGTCTTCCGTGAGATGTAGACATGCCCTTTGCTGCGATCCTTCTGACATACTGTGATAACTGTACGTGAAATCACCGGACAACATGTGCAACAGTAGGTGTGAATGGAGTGGTGAGGGCCTGCTATTTCACGCTATAGCTATCATTCTTACTATAGAGTGTCTTGTCCATTACACACGGTCCAGCTTCTTGCCAAGGTCCTCGCGAATGTAAACCTCATGAAACTCCCTTAGATAAGGAGAGTCCATGAACCTCTTAAACACCTCCTTCAGCGCCCCATCCTCATCCTTATCCAGATGCACAATCCGCCAAAGGTTCAAAGGCTCGTCTTCAGTGCCTGCGACCGAATGCTCAACATGAAAAAGTGCCTGTTTCGCCCCGGCGACAATCTTCTCACCGTCCGGCCCTTCAACCTCTGGCACCCCAATGAAGAAGGCCTTTTGCTTCTCATAGTCCAGAAAGACTTGCTCGATCACAGTGGTGTACACGTTCGGATCCCGCCACGTGCGCTGGTCCGTCACGCGCACAAACGTCTCTTTGGAGCCTTCCTTTTGGACGTTGAAGACCTTGAGGCTTCCGGGGCGGACGACGAATCTAAGGTACTTGTCCGGGTTATGAGCTTTCCTTACTTCCATGTCCCAGACCTGGGCCTTGGTGTAGTGGAGGTCTGGGTCGGCGTCGTAGTGGCGGCTGTGGATGACCTTGTTGACGTTGCAGGGCTCGAAGACGAAGGCGGTGTTGTTGGGGTCCTTGAAGGCCGCTTCGAGGATTTCCTCGTGGTTTTGAAAAGCGGCCATTGTTTGTTTGATAGACGAAGAGTGTTTGATTCTAGTTTTAGAACCGGATCTGTATGATTGTTCGCTTGAATGTTGCTGTAGATGAGCTGGTTGCATGGATATGATCGTGAAGCGGGGATTTAGATGTCTTTATATCACAGTTACGCCGGCTTACGTAGCTCTCTATGCGAACATCCCACATCGTTTCCTAGGGCGCCACCGTGTGAGGGTCTGTCTGCACGCCGAAACAAATAAGCTTATGGTTAGTTTCGACCTCGCGATCGGACTATTCGCGAGCCGCCTCGCCTTTAGTCGACGAGTCTCTAAAGGCGAGGTGGTTGCAGATTACTCAGCTACGAAGCTGTTCCTGTTGTTATTAATTGCTTAGGAATCTGTGTTTATGACCGAATGTCTCGAGATCAGTTGATGCAGGTGGTTTATGACTGAGCAAAGCCGGTGGACCTCGGTGTACACGGATGTCCGAGGACCTCCTTTTTCGCCTCAATCTCAAGGTCAAGTCTACTGAAAAGCTTGGAACATGTGGGTTATGTAGTTGACGACCAGTAAGTCAAGCTGCAACTATTCGACACGGTTGAGGCTTCATCCATCCTTCGGTCTTTGTGCGGATTGCCGACTTCCGCAGCATACATGTCTTGCCATGAAAGGAATAAACTAATTGATTTAGGAATTAAAGACAACTGATCACTAAGAAATCTCAATGTTCCTTCTGGTTCCATCACGAACTAAGAATATCAATGCTCCTCCTGGCACTATCACGAACTGCATTTACCGCAATACCCACATTCTTCGTCACATGCAGTCAAGTCGCCGCCTTCACTATTGCTGCCACTGTCACCATCACTGTCTTCAAGTGACTCTTCATCTCCACGTTCAAGCCACTTGAGCCACTGCTCTTTCACCTCGTCCGAGAATGCAACGCCTGCATCCGGAAGGCGTTTCCGAATCTCCAAAGGCCCGCTGTCCACTCTCACAATCTCCAACAATGTGTCCTCGTTTTCCAACGCTATGGCCTGTATGCGATGCAACAGAGCGCTCAGACGGCCGAGTTCTTCTTGATGTGATTCTTCCCATTCTTTGACCTCGTCACGTACGTCGGCAACTTCGACGTTGTCAAAAGTCCCTCGTGTATGATGAGCCAAGATGAACTTGAAGATTCGAGCGAGCCACAGCCGTGGTAGCTCTTCGCCCAGGGTATCTCTGCCGATGGCTTTGATTGAGCGAGTCTTGAGGTCGAAGATGGAGTCTTGGGACGTGATTTGGCCACCGTCTACCACCTCGAGGTGCTCCAAATCAGCAGGCAAACAAGAAGCTGGGCCAATTGAGAGGCTCCCGAGCAGACTGCTCAGGTCCTCGTCTTTTGCAGTTGGAGACTCTGCGTCAGAAGAGGCCTTGTTGTCCTGGCCTTCAATACACCCGTCAGCGCTGTGTCGCACCAGCAAGTCAAGCCCGCCGAATCGGAACTTGAGAATTCTATGGTGCGACTTGGATGGCCGAACGTCAGGAGTCCAAGTGGTGTAAGCCTCTGGGAACGCGTGTCCAAAGCCTCGGACCCCCAGTATCTGCTCCTTTGGCGAGTTTTCTCTGCGAATGAGATGTACCGTCTTGCCCACCACCTCCACGAGCATACGGAATGAGCGCTCTGTCCCTTGAACAAACCGCAGGAGATTTCCGATGGTGCTGTTGCATCCGACAATGTCAATGTCAAGGGAGCTCGGATGCATCTTCATTATGGAGACAATCGCCGGCTCGAGGGGATGCTTTGGGAAGAAGGCGGAGTTGTTGTCGCGATAGTATACGCCGTTGTCCTCTTCAAGCTGTCGAGGTTTCTCCAACGGCTTCCAAAGGCGTGGACGTCCTGCAAACATTCAGAGTTAGCCGTCTCTCGATACGAGATTTATTGCTGCACACTCACCAGGGACAATGATCTTTGGGGCCTTCTGATCAGCCCAGTTGTAGGAGGCTATGAGCTCAGTGTCTGTGATCCCATAAGTGACGCCATCTCCATTAGTATCCTTGAGCTGCTTTTGGTTGATGGCTTCGACGAGATCACCGAGAGGGGGGGGTTGCGATTCTTTTGTTTGGACGAGGGGGTTTATAGGCCGCATGTCGCGCATATCGCGACCCCCTCGGCCACGCCACGATCTGTAGTAGGGCATTATGGAGGTGATTGTTTCTATGCCCTATTCCACGGAAACAGAAGCATATAGAAGGACTAGTGTAATATGGTGATAGCAGGAGGGCAGTAGAAACCTTGTCGTCTATCGATCAACAGCAGTAGGAAAGATATAAATCAGCCAGGATGCCGGATAGCCAAGTTGGGATGCTGGATAACCGCTGCCTATATAGATGCCACTGGAGGGACCTAATATCATTGCCATTGTCACTCCAACCGTCAGTAAATGATAGAGACTGGTGTTTTGGAACAAAGCGTCATGATGAATTCCCCTCTTGGGAGGCCTACAGCCGCCTGGCGGCGATACGCAGCCGTGTGTAAGAGGCGCAGTGGGGTCGCCCGACCTGGCTAACAGCATCGAGTCGCACCCATCAATCGATATCGCCGGCCTCTAACAGGATGCTGCAGCCTGAGTGAATGCATAACGCTGCGACGTGGCCGAATAAACGGCGAGGCTGTGACTTGGTGGGTTCTGCTGCGGGAGGGTTATCACCTCTGATCCAACGGGATGCGATGCTCCCCCTCCATCTGTGTAACGTGAGGCGCCTGCAAGGCTCCCTGCTCGATTTCTGTTGGTTTACGCACTGATTTGGTCTGCCTTATATGATAAAGTGAATGGTGTGATTATTTGCTCATGAAAGAGAAGGCGAAGATGGCTTATATACACATTTGACTCCGGCTTTCATCTATTGCAATCATCGACAGACATCACAACTGCTCTTCGCCAAGGCCAACATCATCACCATCATCACCACCACCATCATCTCAAATCCCTTCATCCATCTCCACGTCTGCACAATGGCCGCATCTAGTCGCGCAGCAAAGCTCGAAAAGCTATTCTATTCCTTCATCAACGGCGAGCGCTCCCTCCAGAGCTCGCAAGAAGCCAAGCAGTTCTTCGAAGCAGTCGATGTTGTATGCCAGCGTACGTCTGCCGCAGCCTGCGTTGAACGCATGCTCGCGCGGAAAGAAGGATTGAGTGCCGTGAGAGCAGCGGTGCGCTCCAACCTTTCTCAGGCTTTTGTCACGACTTCGACTGTTGGCTTCCTCAAGCAAGTCTTGCATCCCCAGGTCAAGACCATCAACGACGGCATGTTTCTTGAGAAACTGCTTGTTGAGATTCTCTCTCCTCCGACCTTTTGGAATGCATTCCTGGACTTTTACAAGGCTAATCAGCTCAATGGCGTGAGCCTGGTTGCCTTTGCGTCTCTGTCCTACGAAATTGTGTCTTCTTCTACGCCTGAGATCCAGGCCCTTTCTCAGGACGTGGAGTCTTTGATGAAGATCCTCCCTTTGACAAAATCGCCAGTGGAAGAAGTCCGGACTCTTGGCTACCGCATTGAGAAAGTCTTGCAGCTTCGCAAGGGCTCGGCGACTGCTTCCATCCGGGTGAATTACAGCCCCGGCGGCAGACACGATAACGACTTTGACGATTTCCGTCAGATCGCCATCTTTCCGACAGCAGATGAAGTGTCTTCCAAGGAACAGCCGTTTCTGCAACGCCTTGACGACGTGTTTGAGGTCCCACGGGAGTCGCGAGCCAGGTCTTACACCGACTGGCTGTTCCGTCTCCTTCGTGAGGATATGCTTGCGGATCTCAGAGAAGACTTGCAGATTGCCTGGGGACAGAAAAAGGCCAGATACAAGCCACTCTGCTTGGGCGGCCTGAGTCTGATGCTCGAGTCGCAGTCTATACCCAACAACGCTCGCTCCAAGCCCTTCACCTTGATGCTTCAGTGTCGTGAGGGAATAGCCTTTCCTAAGAAGATCAGCACGCCCCCCGAGAAGAAGAAGTTCCTGGACGATAACAGAAACTTTGTCAAGCACGGTTCTATCGGCGCCCTTTGCATTGACCAGAGCATCGTTGCCTTTGGCTCAATCGTTCGAGAATTGGATTGGCTAATCCGGGATCCTCCCGTTGTTGGACTCCAAGTCACCGACAACGTCGGACTGAAGTTGGCAGTAAAGGCACTGCTGGGAGCAGATTGTGGCCGCCTCAAGTTCTACGTCGTTGATACCGCGACATTCGCCTACGAGCCCATCTTGCAGCGCTTGAAGGAAGTCACTGAGATCCCCATCGAAAACTCCATTCTTGATCCGGCAGGACCTCCAGCAGCCTATGACCCTCCACCAAAGTTGCGAGCTTTCATCCGGCTTCTTAAATATGCACTGCAAAGGAAAGAAGCGGTAGACTTGGGTGTCGTCATGGGTCTCGGCTATGAAATTGAGATTAGGGATGCACAGCTCGAGTCGCTGGTCAAAGGCCTCGAAAACCCCGTTGGTCAGATCCAAGGTCCGCCCGGAACAGGCAAATCCTTCATTGGGGCGATCATTGCGCAGGCCCTGATGGAACTGACCGATTATCGAATCCTGGTCCTCAGCTATACCAACCATGCACTTGACGACTTTCTTGAAGCTCTCATGAAAATCGGCATTGATGATAGTGACATGGTTCGTATAGGAAGCAAGGCTTCCAGCAAAACCGAGCACCTGAAGCTTGAGACTCTCTCAAAAGCGGCTCGTATAAGATATGAAGTGAGAGCCCTGCTGGATCTCGCAAAGGTATCACAACTGAATACCCAGACACAACTGGAAGATCTGATGGGAAAACTGAAGTCCCAGGTCCACCATCAGGAAGTCCTGGACATGTTGGAGTTTTCAGACTTTGGCATGAACTTCTGGGGCGCATTTCAAGTTCCCGATGACATGACAATCGTCGGAAAGAATAACAGAGTCCTACGGTCCGTTGATGTGTATGAAGACTGGCTCAAAGGAAAGCATTGGTCAGGTTTGGGCATGCTGTGCGAAGTGATGGATCCAGAACACCGTCCCTTCTGGGAAATTCCGCCCCAAGACAGGGTTTGTCTTGATTTTCAATGGAGGAGCCAGGTTCGACAGGAGCAGATAGACGAGTTTGCTCAGCTGGCAGAGACTTCCGACAACCTCTACCGACAGATCGACAGCCTCTACAAGGAAAGCAAAAGAGACATCGTCAAGCAGAAGCGGATCATTGGCTGCACTACAACGGGAGCAGCAATGTACCAATCCATCATCAGAGCGGCCAGTCCAGACATTGTTCTGGTCGAGGAAGCAGGCGAAATCCTGGAAGCTCACATCATCACGTCTCTCGGCCCTTCTGTGAAGCAGCTGATACTTATCGGCGACCACAAGCAGCTTCGTCCCAAGGTCAACAACTACAACCTCACCGTCGAGAAGGGCGAGGGGTTTGATCTCAACGTCTCGCTTTTTGAACGCCTCATCAGACAAGGCCATGAGTTTGCCACCCTGCAGGAGCAACACCGCAGTCATCCCGATATTTCACAGTTCGCGCGCCTCTTAGCGTATCCGGAGCTGAAAGACGTACCCAAGACGAGCAGTCGCCCACCGATACGTGGGCTACAGAAAAGGGTTGTTTTTGTACATCATGAGCATCCAGAGGAACAGCTGGACAGTGTCCGCGATCGGCGTGATCCATCCTCAAAAGCCAGCAAGAAGAACTCCTTCGAAGCGTATATGGTGTTGAAGACGGTCAAATATCTGACCCAGCAGGGCTACAAGTCGGAGAACATGGTCGTCTTGACTCCGTACATGGGCCAGCTGGCATTGCTAAGAGACAAGTTGCGCGAGGAAAATGACCCATATCTGAATGAGTTGGATACTCACGAGCTGGTTCGCGCCGGACTGATGACGCAGGCGGCTTCCAAGGCAACAAAGTCGAGACTGCGTCTATCCACAGTGGACAATTACCAGGGAGAAGAGAGCGACATTGTGATTGTATCGATGGCGAGAAGCAACAAGAATGGCGACATCGGCTTCCTGGTCGCCCGCGAGAGACTGGTTGTTCTCATGTCGCGAGCGAGACAAGGAATCATTCTGTTTGGAAACATGAATACTTTTCTGGCGAACAAAAAGGGCCACGAGCTCTGGAAAGGCTACTTTGACGCCATGAAAGAGAAGGGATTCCTCTTCGATGGCTTGCCCGTCCACTGCGAACAACACCCGGACCGTCTGTCTCTTCTACAGAAACCGCAAGATTTTGATCAGCATTGTCCCGATGGCGGCTGCGCAGAAACATGGTATGTCACAAACCCTGCTCCCCCCTATTATATCCCGTTCTAACCGTTCCAGTGGCGCTCTTCTTGGATGTGGCAAACACACGTGTGAGCGTAGATGCCATCGTGAGAAAAATCACTCACAAATGCCTTGCATGAAAATGATGCAGAAAAATTGCGAACGCGGCCACAAGATAAAGTATCGGTGCGGACAGGAGAACCAAGGCTGCAGGGCGTGTGCAAAAGAAGATGAGGACACTCGGCGCAGAATCCAGCGGGACCTGGACATGGAAAAGAAGAGACAGGAGCGACAAGACAAATACTACCGCGACCTGCAGGAGATGGATGATGAACTCGATCACCATCGACGGAGTATAAAGTACCAGCAAGAAGAGGAGGACCAGGCAAAGGAGCTCGCACAGAAGAAGGCCCAACTGCAGAGTCTCAGGGACACAAAGGCCAGAATGGAAGCGGCGAAGGCTGTAGTGAACGAGGAGAAGAAGAAGCCCGGAGAGAAGAATGGCGAAAAGAGTCAAGAGACGCCTGACTTCCTCGACCTTGATGCTGCAGCACAGGAGTGGGAGACGATGAAGCGTGAGGAGGGAGCCAAAAGCGCGGCTTTGGATGATCTCATGGGGCTGATCGGGCTGGAGTCTGTGAAGAGGGAATTCCTCTCGATCAAGTCAACTGTCGACATGAAGATTCGCCAACGTGTGGCCCTCACTGATACGCGACTCAGTTGCTCGCTGCTTGGAAACCCTGGAACGGGCAAGACAACCGTGGCTCGGATATGGGGTCGTTTCTTAACAGATATCGGAGCTATCCCGGGTGATGCCTTTGAAGAAACTACCGGATCGAAGCTCGCCAACGGAGGGGTTAAGGGTTGTGAAGACCTATTGGAAAAGATTAAAGAGCAGGGTGGTGGCGTTTTGTTCATCGACGAAGCATATCAACTGTCATCCGGTAACAGTCCCGGCGGAAAGGCTGTCCTCGATTATCTTCTTGCTGAAGTGGAAAATCTTCGAGGCAAGATTGTCTTTGTTCTTGCCGGCTACTCCAAGCAGATGGAATCCTTTTTCGCACACAATCCCGGCTTTCCAAGTCGCTTCCCCATCGAAATGCACTTTGAAGATTACACTGACGAGGAGCTACGGCGGATCCTCAAGCGCCAGGTCAATCGCAAGTACAGCAACAAGATGGATGTAGAAGACGGACCAGACGGCCTCTACTTCCGTATTGCTGCTCGTCGAGTCGGGCAAGGGCGAAGCAAAGAAGGATTCGGCAACGCCCGCGCAATTGAAAACTACCTGGCCAGAATCGAAAAGAGACAGGCAAACAGGATCCGACAGGAGCGTCGAGAGAAAAGGTCGCCCAATGATTTCTTGTTTACCAAAGAAGACGTTATCGGGCCCGAGCCTTCGCTGTCGTTGCAGGATTGCAAGGCGTGGAAGAAGCTCAATGAGATGATTGGACTGAAAGAGGTGAAGGAGCAAGTCAAGATACTGCTCGACTCGCTCACCACCAACTACCAGCGCGAGCTCGACGAAGAGCCTCTGATGCAGTTTACACTCAATCGGGTCTTTCTTGGAAATCCCGGAACAGGCAAAACGACCGTGGCCAAGCTGTACGGCGAGATTCTGGCAAGTCTCGGCCTCTTGTCTAATGGGGAGCTTGTGGTCAAGACTCCGGCAGACTTCATCGGCGCTCACCTGGGTCAGTCGGAATCCCAGACAAAGGGTATTCTCGCGGCAACTCTCGGAAAGGTGCTCGTGATTGATGAGGCCTACGGCTTATATGGAGGGAAAAGCTCGGTCAACGATCCTTACAAGACGGCTGTCATCGACACGATTGTCGCCGAAGTCCAGAACGTGCCTGGTGATGATCGATGCGTTATCCTCATCGGCTATCAGGAGCAGATGGAGGAAATGTTCCAGAATGTCAATCCGGGGCTGAGTCGACGGTTCTCAGTGGACACGCCATTTGTCTTTGAAGATTTCGACGATGATGGTCTCCGGCAAGTTCTGGACCTGAAGTTGAAATCATCTGGCTTCACGACTACCGGCGAAGGCAAGGCAGCTGCTCTCGATGTTCTCATCAGGGAACGCAACAGAGCCAACTTTGGCAATGGAGGTGCCATCGAGAATCTCCTCAGCAAAGCAAAATCTTCCTACCAGAAGCGGCTCTCAGGCGGGAAGTGCAAGAAGAAGAGTCGGCTTGAGGCAGAAGACTTTGACGAGGACTTTGACAGGACAACGAGAAAGGACGCAGACGTGAAGCAGTTATTCAAAGATGAAGTCGACCGCGAAGAGATTATTCGCAAGCTTGAACACATTCAGTCCCGCGTGAGACAGCTGAAAGCCGTCGGGATGGATGTCAGGGAAGAGATTCCGTTCAACTTCCTGTTCAGAGGTCCGCCAGGTACGGGAAAGACGACAACAGCGAGAAAGATGGGTAAGGTCTACTACGACATGGGCTTCCTCTCCAAGGCTGCCGTGGAGGAATGTTCGGCCACGGATTTGATCGGGGAGTATGTCGGTCATACAGGACCAAAGGTTCAAAAGGTGCTCGAGAAGGCGCTTGGAAGGGTGCTGCTCATTGACGAGGCGTATCGATTCGCCGAGGGGAAATTCGCCAAAGAAGCAATTGATGAAATCGTGGACTGCGTCACCAAGCCTAAATACCAAGGCAAACTCATCATCATCCTGGCGGGATACGAGCATGACATCAACCGGCTCTTGTCCGTGAACCCGGGATTGACAAGTCGCTTCCCCGAAACCATCGACTTCAAGCCACTCAAGCCAGATGCCTGCTTCCGACTTCTCGTGGACCTACTACGAAAGAGAAAGGCGGAGCTCGCGAGCAAAGGCAAGGACATGGACATCAGCTGCTTGGAAACCCCGTCTGCATTATTCCCCAGCAGGTGTACGGCCGTTATCACGTCGCTGACACGGGTGGAGGGATGGGCCAGCGCAAGAGACGTCAAACAGCTCGCCAGAAACGTCTTCCAGACGGTGGACTTGACGACAGCTACGCTCAAACTGGAGGAGAAACGGGTCCTCCAGGAGCTCAACAAGATGCTTCGAGACAGGAAATCCAAGATGGTCAAATCTGGCGCTCCCGCTAACATGGATGATGACGAGGCCGATTCTTCGTCTGCGCCGCCCAACCCAGGTCTGCCCAGTCTAAGCAGTTCAAATACGCAGACACAGCAAGGGCTAAGCAATGATGATCCCATGGACATGGATGAGTCCAAGGAAGATGCAACTCCAGCGCCCGAATCGCCGGGTGATGAGGCTCGACGAGTTACTCGGGACGCAGGCGTAAGCGACGAAGTCTGGGAACAGTTGGAGAAGGACAAGGCAGCAGCCGCGCGTAAAGAAGCGGAATACCGCGACCTCCAGGAAGCTCGAAAGAATGCCGAGGCCGCTCGCAAGAAGATTCTGAAGGAGCTCCTCAAAGAGGAGGAACTCAAGGAAGAGGAGCGTCGCAAGCTGGAGGAGGCGAGGAAGAAGGCTGAGGAGGCACGAGAGAAGATTCTGCGGCAGCTGGTTGAGCAGGAGAAGCGACGGAAAGAGGAGGCGGAAAAACAAGCAAAATTAGGGGCACTTGGGGTTTGTCCTGCTGGGTATCATTGGATTAAGCAGGCCACTGGGTATAGGTGTGCTGGCGGATCACATTTTCTGTCTAACGATCAGCTTGGATAAGTTGTAAGTCCGGTTGAGATGGGGTTTGGAGTTAACGTAGTAAGCATACAATGTTTGTTTGCGGATCACACCGAGTTGTTTGATGATGTGCCGTTGTAGGGTAAAATATGTATCTCCAACGATTGATATGCTGTCCCAATTGGGATGTATGGCCACACACCCGGATATAATGTATGATGGGGTCTACAGCGAGGCAGAAGGTGAGACTGTAAAAGTCAAAGTATACTTCATCTACTCCGTATATCGCGTCTTGTACCAAGTACTCCAGCTTTCCAATTACGTTGAAACAGGGTTCGTGATCCCAGCAACCGTGCACCTACACATCAACCGTGATGTGCATGTCCGAGGCATTTGATCAAGCAAGTCGTCGTCTGCATACAGAGCATACAGAGTCTATCTCCAGAGTCATGCTGTGGGGCTTATCAATGCCCCAAATCCTGCATCCGCCGGTCCCGTCTGATGTCGTAAACGGCGTTTCATTCTCACACGGACATTGTCGTCAACGTCGTATTGCTGCGTATTGCTGCAACTCCCCGCTCCCTCGGCTTAGGGTTGCCGTGTGCCATCAATGGTGCCATGAAACTCATACTATATCAATGGAGGAACACTCGTGATTTTCCGTTTTAAACAACTTCATCTCTCTGTAACTAAATCGGAATTCGAAGAGCCAATTGCACAGCCAAAAGCCAGAAGAATGGCCCAAGACATAGTACCGTTCGCCATCGCCGTCCCAGACGCGGAGCTGGAGTCGCTCAAGAACAAGCTCTCCAACGTCACCTTTCCATCCGAATCCGAATTCGCCAACGACTGGAGCTACGGCACGCCATTGAGTGATTTGAAGCGATTGACCGAGTACTGGAGAGACGGCTTCGACTGGCGCGCTCACGAAGCGAAACTGAACCAGATCCCGCAGTTTACCACCAAGATTGCCGCGGACGGGTTCGACGAGCTCAACATTCACTTTATACACCAACGGAGCAGCAGGCCTGGAAGCATCCCGCTGCTGTTTGTTCACGGGTGTAAGTTGGCCAGTCTCAGACGGGAACTGCAGCTTGTTAGGTGAGAGAGAAATACATACTGATTGCTTATTACTGGAGACAGGGCCTGGGAGCTTTCTGGAAGCGACAAAGATTGTCAAGCTGCTTGCTGAGCCAAAGGATGAGAATGCGCCCTCGTTCCATGTCGTGGCGCCTTCGCTGCCCAACTTTGGCTTCTCTGACAAGGTCACGCAAAAGGGCTTCAGCGTACACCAATATGCGGAAACGATGCACAAGCTCATGCTGAAGCTCGGCTACGACAAATACGGTGCGTAAAGATTTCACACCAGTCCCACGCTTTTACATCAAACTTCATGCTCATCATCATCTTCCCCGTCAAACATGCAGTAACGCAAGGCGGCGACTGGGGCTTCCTCATCACCCGCTACATCACCAGCACCTACCCCCAGCACTGCCTCGCAGCACACACCAACTGCGTCGTCGTCAAGACGCCCCTCCTCTCGGGCCTCTGGGCCGCCGTCCGCTACTACCTGGGCCTGCTCTCCGAGGAGGAGAAGCAGGGCTTCGCCCGCACGGCGTGGTACATGAAGGACAACGCGGGCTACATGGTCATGCAGGCCACGAAGCCCAACACGCTGGGCTTTGCGCTGGCGGACTCGCCGGTCGCGGTGCTGGCGTGGATATACGACAAGCTGCACGACTGGACGGATGCGTATCCTTGGACTGACGATGAGATTCTCGAGTGGATTTCAATCTATCAGTTTTCCAAGGCGGGAGCAGCGTCGAGCGTGGTGATTTATTATGAGATTATCAAGATGCAGACCAGCACGGCGTCTAAGATGATGGAGTATATCCCGAATGTGCCGCTGGGGCTGTCGTGGTTTCCTAAGGAGTTGACGATTCCTCCGAGGGCGTGGGGGAAGTTGCTTGGGCCGGTGGTGTTTGAGGGTTCGCATCAAAAGGGGGGGCATTTTGCTGCGTATGAGTGTCCTGAGGAGTTGGTGGGAGATTTGAGAGAGATGTTTGGTAGAGCAGGCGGTGCGTTCAAGGTCGCTGAGGCTTTCAAGTCTACTTGATGAAATCTGGCGTCGACAGATTGTAGATATAACTGACAGGTCATGGATCTTCAACTGCATGGGTCACATGTAAGTCCCGAGAAGATATCACGAGAGATGTATGTGATTTGCGCCAATATATGCATTATATACAAGAGGAAGACCTTGAAGGGCACCAAATACGCAGGACTCCAACATGACTTCTTTCTACCCTTTCTATTGGGATTCTCGTGAGCCAGGCTTTTCAGATTGCACTCTGGCCTTTTCTCCGTTCTTTGCTTCATGCTTCAACACGACAAAGTACGTGCCCAGCAGCTCAGCCGCATACCGTTCCCGGTACTGAAAGTGTACTGGCCCGACTTTCCGTACCGTGTCCTGAGCAACCTGGATAATCGCTGGATGCTGGTCCTTGGGCAGGTCCAAGAGAGACGAGATGTCAATCTTGATCTCGTCAGGCTTCCCCGAACAGCCGAGCACTCTCCGTAAATCCTTGCTCTTGACAAGTCGCTCGCAAAACGGCTCCAGCAGCTCATACTCCTGTATAAACGTCAAGACGTCCTGCAGCGACGTCGGATCCGAGACAAAGGCATTGATCGGCGTCTTCTTGTACTCCTTGATCTTTCTCGGCGCCCTAGAAGCAAAGTCCAACGCCGTCGAAAGCTCATCGGGCTTCATAACGCACATCCCATACGGCACCAGATCTCGACGCGTGTAGCCCGCTCTCGTCCGCCACCAGTGGTTGCAGAATACCGCAGACATGATGACCGGGATCAGAATGACATATCCCCACCATCTCGTCGCTGTAATCATCGATCCGACGCCTCCCACGAACGTGGCCGTGCCGTTGATGGCAGTGTACACTTGCAGGTTCCTGCTGCGCCGTCTGATCAAGGCCATGGCGCGCGTTCCCGGAATCGCCTTGGAGGCGGCGTTGACGTGGCCCTGGGCCTTGCAGAAGATGTAGTACGCCCAGCACGTATTGACGGCGCCAAAGGCCGCGATGGGGGAGTTGCCGACGTAGCCAGAGAGGAGGTTGCTGGCCAGGAAGATGGCATCGTTCTGTCCGCCGAGGGCGAGGTATGTGCCGAGGGCGATGAGGACGGCACCGACGCCCATGAACAGGTTGAGACCCCAGCGATTGATGCCCTCCGTGCCCAGCTCGCGATACACGACGGACAAGAGCACGTCCAGGTCTGTCGTCGGCTGCGCCTTTGCGGCCCGTCTCTCCCGCGCTTCTTTCAGCTCCCGGTACTGCTGGCGGAGGAATGTGACGTTCCGCCAGGCACGCCTCGCGTCGAGAATCGCAAAGACAGACATGATTCCCGCAAATGTCGCTCCCACCACCATAAAGACAATCGCATATACCGGCACCGGGTACTTGTTCCACACATTGGCAGCAAAGTCGCCCGCGTTGGCCAGTTCCAAGAGACCAACGGCTCGATAGAGGTCGTTCTTCAGTCTCGTTCCTTTGCAGACGTAGCCGCCGCCCTTTTCCGCCTTGACGAGGGTCGCGCGATCGGGCGGTATCGATTCGGGGACATCGCAGGAATGAGAGACCGGGAGCAGGCCGAGTGAGTAGGACGTGTTGGAGAGGGTGGTGCCGGTGGAGGAGAGCGTGCAGGCGCGTGGTAAGACGACTGTCTTGGGGGCGGTTATTGAGGCGTCGGTTTTCTCATCTAATGCTGGAATGTGGTCTCCCTGGGGGGAGGCTGGGTGTGGTTGCTGGGTTTCGTGTTGCTGTTCTTCGTGATGCTGCTTTTTCTCGTCCAGCTCGTCGTGAGGCAACCGTTGTCGCTCGTTTGTCTGACCAGCGTCACCTTGAGAGACGGCAACGGGAGTAGTAGTATCCTTTGTAGCGGCATCATCAGCGTTGAATGTGGTGTTCAAAGTCGTAGCTTGTGCGTTTCGCTCCGTGACAACGTTGGAATCTGGCGGGTCATGCCGTAGCTCCTCCATTGAGGCTGTGTCGTTACCGCCTGGGGCCATCGGATACGGTGTGCCAAGGAAGAGTGTGGCAGTGTTGAAAGTCTGAAAGAGTCGAGGATATGGAATGAACAAGTATACTCTCGTGGACTTCAAAGGACAACAACGAAGTAGGGGTGGAAATGAGGTTAATGGTCAACAGCTGCAGAGACCAGCCTGGCAAAGATCACCATCCCATCATCCAAATGGTTCCTCCTTGGCCAACTAGACCCTCTCTTACCTTTCCTCTAGGCCTTTTGATACCCGAAGGCAGGCATGTATCCAAGAGAAAAGGGGGCAGAATAGGAGCAAAAGATCACAAAAACGGGACAAACCTGGCTCTCTCGACAGGTACGCGGATCCATCTCTGCCGTCCAGCCGTCGTCCAATTCCACAATTTTCCATCCAGCAACTTGCTCGTAATTCCACCAGCAACTACTAAGCCAACTAGGCCGCTCGCTCGGTCGAAGACGTGCCGCCATCCTTCCGACTATCCAGGCGAACCGGAGATGCCGCTGCCTTGCGAGCCCCATTCAGCCAGCCACGGCGTCCGGCGCCCCCATTCCTGGATGTCGGTCGTTCGGCATGTGGCATCTTGCTGTCTTTTTTAGTGCGTCGGGTCTTTTTGTGTGTTCCCTGATGGGGATCTGACAGGGCTGCTTCATGTACAATGACAGAATGCCTGTTCCTGTCACGTCACTTATAACACTTCGTGCGAGTAAGTGGTCTTTGTTGGTATTGCCTTCAACAATTGCACTAAATCAAGCGTTAGAAGTAATAGTTCCTCCAAAACCCTTTCTTCAATTGGACATGCTGCTTCATTCACATGGTTATGTCTTATGCCAAGACTCACCTACCCTGAACGCGCGTTCGTCCAGTCCATCGGAGGCCGAGGCCATCGCCGGGCGCAAGCTGATCAGCCATCCAATTCTAGAGCTGTGAGTTAATGTACAGCTAAATGCCACAAGGTCAACGCCATCCAGATAGACTTGCGCTGCTCTTCCCAATCCATGTCCTAGAGATATTAGTTTCGGGGAAACAAGGCTCGAGCATCCTGGCAATTCCATGTCTCTGTAGAATGAAGCTTTGTACCTCTGCTATTGTTGCTATATCCTCATAGTCTTGCTGTATGCTTCTATTTCTATCTATCCGATAGAGTGCATAGACTATTCTTACTGTATTTATTAACTCAAGACCCTGGAGGACCACTTGTTGAAAGAACATACATGAGGAGTAATCTCGCACCGGCCAGCCGTCTTATTCCAAAAGAATCGCGTTCCTAGTCCTAATTGTGATTCTTTATCTGCTCATGTTTCTCTGCATTCTCGCAATCCTCTCTTCTGCTTCCCATTCTCATCAAAGTTGCTCTCATCCAGCCAGAGCTCGAATCCCCTTCGTGCAGCCTCCCATTCATCGTCGATGATGCTCAGCCAAGCAGTGTCCCTGCGTCTGCCCTTTACAATCATGTGTTTCCTATAATTGTTTCAAGTACGACGATTAGCACGTCCACCGTTTCATATCAGACGAGCTTTGGCTCGGTGGTTTAGGTTAAGTCATCCTCTCACCTAAAGATGCCCTCAAAAGTAAAGCCCAAGCGCTTGGCCGCTGCCACACTTGGCTCATTGAGCTGGTTCGCCTTCCACTCAACCCGCAAATATCCCAAATCCTCAAAGGAATGCTTCATAAACAAGTAAAATGCCTCCGTCGCCGCCCTAGAATGCTTCAATACCTCCCCGAGAATCACCCCTCCAATCTCAATCCTGCGATGGCCAGGCACAATACCCAGATACGCCAACATGCCGGCCGGCTCCGAAGCGGCATCGGAAGCAGGGCCCGAAAGAACGGCGTAGTAAACGGGATCCTGCGATGCGGACCAGGCCTTGATCGTCGTCTCGCACGCTTCCTCGCTGGAGAAGCCATCAATGAGCATGTATTTCCATCGCCAGGCGTTTTCCTCTCCCCCGAGATGCCTGTAAATGGCTCGCCAGTGCTCCGGCTGCAGGGGAACTACTGCGCTGTAGCGGCCGTGAAGAGGCGTCCGTGGCGGCAGAAGGGCCGGCTCGGCCGACACAACCAGCGGCCCGAGCGATTCGTCCATTTTTCGAGGGATGAGCGCCAGGAACAGGATGTGTTTGTTTATACGATGAGAGAAGGCTGTAGCATTCAATTCTTTAATGTTCCTATCCTAGCTCTCCTCGTCCAAGTGTTTACAAGAAGATGACTCATGAGATGCCATCCAAAGGGCGCCGCTTCTCCAAGTGTAACTTGCAAGAAGAAAGCCCGTCGTACAAGTTTATTAGCGCTGCGATCTAATTACTCCGTTGAGTTAGATCAATGCGTCTGTTGACCGTTGACTATTTAGATACAATGCTTGGCACCTACACACAGCTACTCTTCCAAGCTCTGAAGTTGTGTCGCTCAACCTTCAAGATGCGGATGAGAACACATTCTGAAGTTTTTTGAGTGGCAGTATAGGGAGACTATAGCCAAGCCATTTACCTGACGTCGACTTCCATCGGAGTCCAGATCTCGATCCCGAGACCGCAACGCTCGCCCGCTCTGGTGGGCCAATCCACTTGAGAGATGGAGTCTCAGGGGCGAGTCCTTCATCCAGCTTACAGAAAAGCCCCGTTCCTGGGGGAAAATCATGTGAAAGGAGACTAGTCTTCAAACGGCCTTGGCCATCGTATCACGAAGCCTTGTCGCTCGGTCAAACAACGACAGCCGATCATTTCCTCTCAATCTCTGGAGCTGCAAGATTGTGTGCCGCATACTGAACTGGAATGATCCATTCATGTCCCTCTAGCTAGTACAGTACTACTTCCGAGCGAAAGACAAGGCCCTGTCGATCCGAATGTTTATTTGTAGCTTCGGGTTTGTGAAGAAGACGTCTTATCCATCACATCAGCATCATGTCCATAAAGCCTCGATAAACCGACATCAGACCGGACCACTCCGCTGATCACGCACATACCTTTCTTGCATTGGCAAATGATGTGTTTCACAGAGTTATCCAATCATAAATGCCTCTATGCAGTAATGAAAAAAGACCTGTCAAGATTGGCGGACTCCCTTTCTGGAAGCTGTACCTCCCAACCTCTCACAGGTCTCTGCCATAGGGAAAAAACCGTCATAGAGTCTCAGTTCACTCGTATGCTAAGACTTGAACTTTGCCAGTTATGCTTTTCTGACTTAGACATCTGCCCTATTCAGCCCTTAAGTAGACGGCGTGATCAGTCCCTTGCTCCATGTCTCAGCCTCAACGTCCAAGCTTCTTTCGACGCTCGGATCTCGATCTTGTTATCTGCCATTGATAAAGTAGAAACATCAGTCAGCAGATGTTAATTACACTTTTAACATGGAATTGAAGCTTCTTGTCAGGAATTCTACCAGGCTCAAACTTAGACAGAATGTGTAATGCATCACCTCACGACTTTGCTTGGCAACAAAAGGCTGTATGGACGCTGGGTATAAATTCAATCACATCCTCCCCGAATACAGAGACTCATCACCAGGCTCATCAGTCTTACAATTCAACAATACCACAAGCAACCAAGTACCTTCAAGCTCAACAACATCCAAAATGCGTTTCGCTGTGATCTTCACTGTCCTCGGGTAAGCATCCCCCTCCAGTACTTGATATGACTCAAATGCTAACATTACTAGCCTCTCCCTCGGTTCGTGCTGATAGAATATCGTCCCCCTTTACACTTCTTTATACTAAACCTTAAAATAGGGAGCTTGGCTGCCGAAGCTACTGATGCCGCTGGAGCCTCTGGTGCCGTCGAGACCCACGACTGGCGTGACTGGGATGACTTCCTTGACCACCTTCATGACATCCGCAACATTCAAGATCTTCAAGACCTTCTCGAGCTCGGCATCGGCCGCTGGGGAAACAACCCCTGTGAGCGAGTTGGCGGTTCTTGCGATCCGCTTGGTGCCACCTTTTGCCGTGGCACATACGATGTGGCCATCACCGGCTTGCCTTGCAGGGCCAACCTTGGAGCAACTCCCGTCACTGGCTGCTGCTGGCACGCACCTCGCCCTCTGATCTAAATCTCTCTCGAGACAATGGCTGGGCGCCATAATGCTGCCGTTTGGGCACTATAGTTGATGGTATGGTTGTGGATCGATTTAGGGGGTAGCCATACCGACTTTGAATAGGAGAAGACACTTTTAAAACTTCTGAAAACCATGATGTCTGCTTATTATACCTGATGAACGTGAGCTGGTTCTTGTTGACGTTGTAAACACTGTCGAGCTCGTGGATGCCATGCTGCTACGGAGGACCTGCTTCTCTGGTTCCATTGAATCTTGCACTTCGTTGTCAACAGCAGGTGTCGACAATAGCTAGGCGTTATTTGTAACATGTTCCCATCTTGCGATAAGCTAATGAGTTCTAGCACGTATTCATCCACTTTTCTGTTCAGTCCCATCTAATCTCATTAAACTTTCATGAACGAACCAATTCCCCATGCTCTATGCATCACTCGTTTTGCTAAGCAACATCTAGCAATGACTACCCGATAGACGCCCGGACCGTCTATGGCATTTATAGAAAAGTCAAAGGACGCCTTGCCATGTACATTATACCCCCTAGTGACCATTGGAAGCCTCGCTCAGGGATGCCTTCAAAGAAGGGTTCTGCATCCGAGCCTTGAGGAACCGCAAATCACTCCGAAGAACCGTGACGCGCCCGGCATTATGTGCATATCGATTGAGAACTTCAAAGTTAGTATCTTAGTTTCACATTGTCGAATCTCAAAAAGGTACCTTCGAAATAGACAACAAGATGTTCTTCAAATAACTCTTGAATATAATCCGATGCCTCAGGCGAAACGCGAAGCTTTTCGAACCCGAGGTCGAACAAGACAGCGTTGCAGAGACGCCAAAACAACTTTCTGCGGATGACGAGTACCTTCTTGAGTCTCTTTATCCAGCGTCGCCGAACTTGAGATCAGGTCAGAACATGCCAAACCATCTGGATCACACCTCCATTCACTTACGGCCAGATGTTAAGAACCGATGCTTGAGAGGAGGGGGGTTCGCAGGCTTGGCAATTTCTTTGCCATATACGGACAGACATTCCGCTCTCCGTTCCTCCATGTTTCTGGCTACTCGCCTCATGACCACCATCTTGTATTATCTGGAGGAATTACAATAAGCATGCTCCACCCTTGGGCCCGCCTATGTGAGCAAACTTAGTAGCGGCCGCAGCAATCGAAAAAACAAGCCGCTGTCGTCTAGGGGTGAGGACATCAGTTTGTGGATCGGATGAGACACTGGAAACCGAGGTTCGAGTCCTCGCAGCGGCATTCGATGGTTTCTTTTTTTTTTTATCTGCTTCTTCTTTTGACTTTCTTGCTCTTTGTTCCATTGTCGGATGTCGCATGGGCATCGTGATCTTCACCATTGACAGCGCTCAAATTGCTGATGGACGATAACCTGTCACATCAGATCCCGAATTGTAGGCCAACTCCACACATCCCAAGCCTCTAGAAGCATGACTTCCAACTCCCCACTCCCAGCCATCACAACCGCTTCCATCACCCGGCACGATCGGTGAGTGGGAGCACGTCCGGGCCGCCGCAGGCTCGGGTGAAGAAGTAGTCCTGACGACTGAGCCAGCATCGTCCATTATGAGGCTATTTGAAGCTACTATCATGTGAAGCAGAGAGATTTGGGGTTTGGTCGCCTGAACGGTTCTGGGTTTGCTATACTGGGGTCGTCCGTTCTACAAAGACTAGACATAGTGTATACAGGCTGAGTACAATGATGTTACAGCATCACCCTGATCAGCTTCCTCAGGGCGTCTGGTTAAAATCATAACTGTTCCCGAACCCACGGTCCAGGTACGTCCTCATCGCCTCCTCCGAGCTGACCCAATCCACCGGGACGTCCAGCCCCAGCTGCCCCCTTCGATCAAGCTCTTCCAAGACGGGCTTCAAGTCCTCGCCAAACTGCAGCCTCATTGGATTCCGATACCAGGGCGCAAAGTGAATCATGGCGAGCATGATCCGGACCTGGTCCGAGGGGTTCGGCATCCCAGCGTGCCAAAGCCTCAGATCGCGCAGCACGACTGAGCCTTTCTTCACAGTGGGTTGGATAGGAGGGCGGACGGCTTCGCGATCGCGGAGGTGGTTCTCCTTGATGCGGCCGCTGGCTCGTTCGCCGTGGGTGCCTTCTTGGTAGGAGATGTCGGTGTTGTGCGTGCCTAGCCAGAGCTCCGTCGAGCCGTTCTCGGGCGTCATTGTTACCAGAGGCACGTTGACGACGAGGGCGAAGGGATGTGTCGGGTGTGCGAAATCGGCATCGGAGTGCACTGGCTGTCGCTGTGGAGCGGCGCCGGGGAGGGGAGGCATGGCCGAGTTGGCAGAGCAAAAGGTCCATTTTGGTCGAGGGCCGAGGACGGCGGACGTGATCTGGGTGGCAATGGTGTCTACATGATACGAAGCATTGTTAGTGGTTGAAGTCGTTTCTGTGAATAGCTACAATGTCAAGAAAGGGGGGGGCTGTCATTACTTGTGAATATTGATGGGAAGAAAAACTCGGCAACGGGAGGCGCGTCTTGCTGCAGATTGCCCTGGTTGTAGTTGAACGGCCCGCTTTCGCCCCTGGCCTGGAGCACGCGAGCGTCTTGCACCATTTTGGTGTTGAGAATGTCGATGTCGCTGTGTGGCACGACATTTTCAATCACCACGAGACCATCCTGGTGGATGTGTCGCACGGCCCTTTCGAGGTTGCGCTCGTCGAGCCGGCCGCTCTTCACCTCATTGGCGCTTGGGCGGACGACTGCCGGCCAGTGCAGGCCCGGGGGTGGTGAAGGTTTGGATGCGGACGCAGTGGTTGCGAGGCCGCGACTTATAAGCCGAGGAGCTCGGAGGCGGACTGCCAACATTGTGGGATTGTGCCGTTCAATATGAGGAAAACAGTTTATACAGTATATTGGGATGAACAAATTCAAGGAAGGCAGTGGACAGAAGCAAGTCTCTTTTTTATCGATGCCGATGCTTGACAGCTTTTTATATCACTTCCCATACGAAGCTCGACGGGGCCACCACACAAAAAGTGATGCTATACGGAAACCCGAGCTCGGGATATCTTGCCCAGTGCGAGTTACTACGAAGCGGGGGGCACATCGCTAAGCAGCCCCCGGACTCGGCCCCGCTTCCCCAGAAGAAGGTGGTGATCCCCTCAGCTGGGAATGGCCTGCTGCTGCCCAGGACTGCTGGAGGCCGGAGATGAGGCGCTCGACCGGCCAGCCGACGGGGCGTTTGCACGCGGCCAGGCGGCGGATGACCTCTTGTCTGGCTGGTTCGGACCGTACGAACTTGCCACCTGGGCAAGAGTTTCGCGTCGTTAGGACGGCGGACGAAAAAGAAAAAGGGGGGGAGGGGGCGGCAAGGGAAAGAAGCTCACTTACAGTAGGCAATAGGACCGAACGAGTTTACAATCACTGCGGCGATGTTTGTTGTGAACGCGATTCCGCAGATTTCGAGGGCGTATGCATCCAGAAGGTCCTCTTTGTTTGCCGCGTGGCTGGCAATGCTGGTGCCGGCGTCCACTGGTGGAAGCATTGAGAGCTGGTCAGGTCGTGCAAAGACGGCGAGTATGGAGAGTGAAACAAGGAGATATTGCCTCGCAGATGCTTTTCAAACCCCTAGTATCAGCAACCATCGACTGACACTTGGTGTAACAGATGTTGGTAGTATTGCCTTGAGGGAAAACTGTGAGCACTTACCGTGGAAATCTTGGAGGAACCAGAAGCTTGGTAATTCGCCTACCGTCGACAAAGTCACCGACCGGCCTCTGGAATATGGCTTGACGTGCGGCGGGAGCTCATCAAGCCAGGCGTGCGCCATGCCGACAAGCTGCTGCCAGTCAGTCGCAGAGATGCCATTTCGAAATGCCTTGTTGATGATTTGACCGAGTATGAGCGAGATGGAGTGGAGTTGCTGGTCATGTCCATTCGCCAAGCTCGGAGCAGCAGACTCAGTCACATCCATCTTCAACGGACAGCCTTCAAATAAACTGAACGTAATGTCCTCACGCAGATAGTTCCAGAACCCAGCAGCGAGGAGGCTGTCCGGGGAACTCCCTGCGATAGAGTCTTCACATGATGCCAGTGAGTATGCGCCCCTGAGATGTCTGTTGGGGTCGATATCCTCTGTCTCACATTAGTTCACATCGATAAACACCCGTGACATCTGTTTCGACATGTTCCCCAGGAACTCACCATCGAGGATCTCGTACGACCGCAACAGACACGCCGCAGCTAGCGCGACGCCATTCGTCAACAACTCGCTCTCCCCATCCAGTTGGATCAGACGACGGACGCAGTGGCCGTGGTAGAATGCGGCCGTTTCCCTGGCGATCTTGGGCCCTGTCGTCCGACACAGGTGTTCGGCGGACAAGGCAATGACTGCGCTGAAGAGGAGCGGCTGATCTAGGGCCACCTCGGGCACCTTTGTTGCAAACTGGCGCAGGGCATCGCCGAGGTCATACCATTTTGCCAGCTCGGTTATGTAATTGTGGAAATACCATGCAAGATCCGGCACCTCGAGGGCAGCTCGGGGATCTTCGGGGGATGGGAGTCTGGATCTCCCGGCGGTGCCTGGAGAAGTGAGTGGAAGGCCTGCTGGTCAAGGCATAAGGCGGGGAGGTGAGGAGATGTGGAGAGATAGCACCACGTCGAGACACAAAGGGACTCGGTTGATTGCTGAAGACATACCATTCCCAGCAGCTGCCGGCTCGGATGGATGGTGGTATGCCAGCCATCGAGACGACTTCTGTGGGCGCGCGCAGTATCTTCGAGACCTTTTGCACTGGCCACAGATCGGGCTGGCTTCATCACCTGTCAAGAAGGGAAATATATGTCAGTCCAGTGGCGGGTACTATAACAAAGATGATTGCATGAGTGACTATTCCAGAAACTAGTGAAGAATCTGGTAGCTGCAAGGGCTCGGCGAGACAACATTAGGCCCTGTGCTACTCACATTTGACCTTTCGCTGTCTGCACGTATCGCTGGTAGACGCCAACGGCGGATACAATAAGCTTCTTGCGTCCTAGTCTGAAGACGTGAATTCGTTGCGTACCAGGCTGTGATATCACAAGGTCAGTGAGAGTAACAGTGGCAGGGTTGAGGCAGGGAAGTCGGTGTCATTGAATGCAAGCATATCCATACCCTGCTGCGTCCAAGTAACGCATACTGGGGTTCATGTACGAAGTACGTATACATTCAGACGCAAGGCAACGAAACAATGGCACTAGATGTAGCATCTTAGTTTGATGACCATGTGCTTACCTGCTACGTTCAATGTTCGTGGCATTGGCTGCCAACGATAGCAGACGGAGCGGTAGACGGGTCCGTTGATCCGGCTTCCCGCGTGTTTCTTCAAAGATTCGTCAGGTGGAAAGATATTCCAGGATAAGGCGTCCGCACTTCTACAACAACCCGCCAAACGCGCTCAAAGGATGGAGTAGACTTCTGCGGGGAAGCGGGATGCCCTGGATCAGAGTTGGAAGAAGCTGTGCATCTTGCAGGATGCGAAAGCCTCGCATCTATCCAGCTGGTTTCCGCTAAAAGCCACAGTCTGGGGGCTTACACATAGGGCCGTTTAGCCGCATGGATCTGGTGTTTCTTTCTACTAACAGCATGACCGAGGCTCAACGTGCTTGATGATACTCTGTATCTGACTGAAGGCAACATGTTGCGAGTATGGAGGCCTCAGATATTGCAGATAGCGTCGAATGCAAGTGTGCATAATCTCATCGCAGATTCTCATCTCTTGTCATTTCCTGTCATACCACCAACGCCTAAGGTGTAGCCATATTGCTACATGTACGCCATGGGAAGTGTCTGCTACCCTGGACGCAACAAAAAGACCAATGTCGTGATGCTGTCTCGGGCATGTAGTGAAACATTGGACAAGCAACGTTATTGCACCGCATGACGCACCAATCTTTGCTGGCGATGCTGCTTCAGATTGCATTACGGGTTCTGCAGAGCACATGCATACACGTGCACTTGTCTTATCACTTGTCAGCGGCTCCTCTTCATTACTTGGACTTACCAAAGAGTGGATTTCATGCGCCTGTAATGCCGCGATGAAAAGAAGTCCTTTGTGACCAAATAGGCCAATAATGTAAGCAGGGTTGATCCTCCTCGGCCTCGCTTCCTTTCCATTTCGACCTGCCCTTTTCAGTAGCATTACATCGCTGGGTAAAAGTTGAACTTGTACAAGTAGCTTGGAAGGAGAGTGCTCGCGTATCAGTCATGCAGATGGATTGAGGGGAATTTCTTTGGTTACATCGTCTGGACAGAGTGCATCGCTTTCTCATGCACTAGGAACCACTGCGAATAGAATCACTCGTCTATCCTTTTGGTGACGTTATTACACTTTGTGTAAGGTGACTGATGATTCCGAAGTGAGCCGACCCATCTCCTTTTTCGACTCAATTCGTTGTTTGCAACCGTTGCTCCATCTCTCTTCAGGTCACAGTCAACAACTCTTGGCAGCTTGGCCATTGCCTACACTGTTGGGCCCTGAGACTCGGAGCGTTGCAAGCCGATTCAGCTTGCATCTGGCTATCTTTAAATGTGACGACGGATAGATGTTTGCTCCTTCATTTCAGTGCAATCTATCGCTTTATGCTCTCCTATACCGTTCGATGCGATATCAAGCTTGCTGCATAGATCACACACACTTTCCTCCTCCTGGCTTGTTTCCTTAGACATAAGGTTAACCGCATTACGCTTGGAAACAAGCATCAACAGCAAGGTTAATAGAACGCCCTAGAAACCCCACAGGCAGAGACGGGGTACACGAATACCGACAGTAGTCATATCAGCGGGAATTTCCTTCTGGGTACATGGCCTGGTTCTCAGAGGGAACTGAAGCAGGTTGAACCGCACGGTTGCATTCATGAGGTTGCAACACAGCTGTACTGGGGGAAGCATCCACCAATCAAGCACCCTCGTCTTCTTCATAGTACTGGTGTGCATCGCAAAAGATCCCTTTCGAGCACATTTTCGGTTCTTATGTGGGCGAGAGGAACTGGATGGCATACTGCAGCGTTAAGCACCTCGATTAACACCCTTGGGCAGCAACAGGATGCGTGATGTGGCGGTACACCGATGTATGTAGCTCGTCTACCGCAGGAATGCACTTCAACTCCTTCGCCACAGTATCACATGTACATAGCTCCCTCTGAGAAATGGATGAGCATTCCGGTTGATGTCCGTAGAGGAACTTGCCGGCAACAAGAGACAAACAGCTCCTATACATTCTACCACATACGAGAGCGACCTTCTCGGCTTCGCCCTTCCGGCTCGGCATCCCGATTCTGGACCAACAATAAATTTCCGAGTAAATAGCGCGTGCCTGGGGAACCGGCTGTCGGAGCGCATGTAAAACAGGAAGGCCGTCGACTGATGATCTACCGGCCCTCGTCTCCATCGGGAAACTCATCTCTTATCTGGCCCCCCCTACTGCCTCTCCGGCTAACCTCAAACTTATTGTATAACGTTCTTTGCCCGGAGACTTTCCTGCCGCTATTTGATGGCTTGGTATGAACTTCTTTAGTCTCTTCACATGCTGAATTGTGTCGATTTCCTTCGTTGGAGATACCAAGGAACGACTAACGTGGGGATCTGAGGAGACATCACTTACATGGAGATATTAGCCTTCTGACTCTTGTATAATGTCAAGGCAGGTATCTGGTAGATTAGTTATCACTTTCCAAATTGTAAGTAAGTACGTATACTCAGAGACACATGGGACGTGATGGAGCCGCACATGCAACTGTGAGTGAATGGGTGGCGACGTGAAGATGGGGGCAACCCACCACAACGAAGGCGGGCTTCGGCATCACTGCCTAATGGTCTCTCTCGGACATACATCGACTGTCCGACCATTAGTCCGATCATACCAACTTCATAGGCGGCCGCTCTATCCGCAGAACCCTCTCAGCGGGCGAAGAGTTGGTGGGATAGATGGAGGTTGGTGAGAGTACGATCTAGCGATGTGGTTGGTTCGGTTTCTCGCGGCAATCCTGGGGATCTTCATCGTACTCCCGGCATTCGGTGATGGGGGAGCTCATTAGGCTACGGGGATGTGTCTCTTCTTCGTGTTTCTCCCAGGCCTACCGAGATATTACCTATCGCGAGGGGAGGAAGGACATCGTCGCTGGGTTCCTGCATGCTGCTCGTTGGTCCGCCGGCATGCAAGATTTTGCGATATTCGCCATAGAGACAAGAAATGGACACATCGCTCTCTTGTTAGCTGCGATGTCCTAGCGTTTGCCGCATGGAACCGAGTCCACAGCACCCGGGGACGCTCTATGAATCGAGGGAGCTATTCAAGTGGCGCTGCGTGCAGCATCGAAGAATCTCGGGCCTATTGGTCGATTCTGATAGACCGACGTTGCATTCAGACGCCAGATACAAATTTTGAGAGCGTGACTCGGGACCGGGCATATCATGAACTCCTTGAGCGTTCCCATTGTTGACGTTAGAACTGGATCGGTGAAACACGAGAGTCTTGCATCAAGCTTAGACACAAGACTGATATGTCAACGTGACTATCCTGGGGTAGCATCGACTCCATCCGCCTACCAAAGTAGAACAAGCTAACTCGTCTTTAGGCTTCTTGCCTCCATCGTCCATTACCAATAGACAAGATATAGCAGTTCCAAACAAAGATACCCGCCCAGAACTGGCACAGCTGCTGCGGAGAGGGCTGCTTTCCGCTCGATTCAGCCCTCGTCCATGCGTACTTTTGTGCAATGCAGTCTCGCAATCCAGCTTGGCGCCAATCGATAGCCATGTTGCCCCGGTGGCCTTCCCAAAACCACCATAGTCTGGTGGTTATTGGCGCCTCGGGGAGCAACTATCCTGTGTTACAACACAGCTTGCACTCGTACAGAGTTTCCGGACCAGGAAGGTGATTGAGATAAGGCGATGGCTCAAAGATGGACTGATGAAGAGGTGGTTGCTTGGAGGACGAGGATTGTTTGTCTTGTCAAGCAACGAGAGTTATCAGGCTGGTGGAAAGGAAAAGCATAAATAGAGGTGAAAGTCTTCTCTCGAGATGGGGTTTTCTCTTCTCCTCATCCTTGGATCAGCAAGTTTCCGGACAAGAAGACCGAGCCTCAGAACGCTCCAGCCACCTTAGACACAACAAGACAATAATCCAACCCCAATCCTTCAAAATGCGGTTGTCCGTCCTCCTTTCCGTCCTTCCGCTGGTGCTGGCCGCTCCCGCCACCGAGAAGCGCGCCGAGCCTGCTCCCCTCCTTGTTCCCACGAGCAAGCACGGCCTCGTTGCCGACAAGTACATTGTCAAGTTCAAGGACGGCAGCTCCCTCCAGGCCGTTGACGAGGCCATTTCCGGCCTTGTCTCCAACGCCGACCACGTCTACCAGCATGTCTTCCGTGGCTTCGCCGCCACTCTCGACCAGGAGACTCTCGAGGCTCTTCGAAACCACCCTGAAGTGAGTTTAAAACGCCGCCTTGACTTTGAAGAGACGAGAGAAAGGGCGTATACTTACGAAAACGCTTGTATAGGTCGACTACATCGAGCAGGATGCCGTTGTGAAGATCAACGCCTTTGTCTCGCAGTCCGGTGCCCCCTGGGGGCTTGGCCGCATCTCCCACAGGGCCCGTGGAAGCACCACCTACGTCTACGACGACAGTGCCGGCGAGGGGACGTGCGCCTACGTTATTGACACGGGCGTCGATGCGACTCACCCCGTAAGTACAAGTCCCAGTCGACGAATGTGAAGAGGGCCAAGGACCATCAGCAGCGGCTAACACAGACGCCACTTATATAGGATTTCGAGGGCCGCGCTACCTTGCTCCGAAGCTTTGTCAGTGGCCAGAACACGGACGGCAACGGCCACGGCACGCACGTCTCGGGAACCATTGGCAGCCGCACCTATGGCGTCGCGAAGAAGACGTCGATCTACGGGGTCAAGGTGCTCGACAACTCGGGGTCCGGCTCTTTCTCCACCGTCATCGCCGGCATGGACTATGTCGCCAGCGACGCCCAGACCAGGAACTGCCCCAACGGCGCCGTCGCCAACATGTCGCTGGGAGGCGGCTTCACGGCCTCGGTCAACCAGGCCGCCGCCCGCCTCATCCAGGCCGGCGTCTTCCTAGCCGTGGCTGCTGGCAACGACGGCACCGACGCCCGAAACACCTCGCCTGCCTCTGAGCCCACCGTCTGCACCGTCGGTGCCACGACCTCTTCGGATGCCCGCGCCTCCTTCTCCAACTACGGCTCCGTCGTCGACATCTTTGCGCCCGGCCAGGACATCCTATCCACCTGGCCCAACCGCCAGACCAACACCATCTCTGGCACCTCCATGGCGACTCCCCACATCGTCGGCCTCGGCGCCTATCTTGCTTCTGTCGAGGGCTTCAGCGACCCCCAGGCTCTGTGCGCTCGTATCCAGGCTCTTGCTGGCCGCAACGCGCTTTCGGGCATCCCCTCTGGAACCATCAACGCTATTGCCTTCAACGGCAACCCTTCCGGTTAAAGGATGTAACTCAGGGATAAAAAAGTGAAAGAAGTAAGCACGCAATGCTAGTGACTTGTGCATCTCGGTCGGATGGCGGTTGTGATCCAAGTTTGCTCACTCTTTAAGATGTATATAAAGCTTAGCTTAGTTTAGCTTGAATGATTGCTCTGCTTCCTATAATTGTTTCCTGTCTATCATTGAGTTACTGTGAATGATGTACTTGAGTCGTCTGAGCGAGTCTGTTACGATGACTCAAGCAGCCGAGTGGTTTCATTCACTTCGAGGCTTAGGGAGTAGAAAGAGTCTGCCGTGCTTCATTATACCATACATGTAGGGAGTTTCCATCGCACTGGACATATGCTTAATGGATGGGGTCTGTGGATGGCGATTCTCAAGAACGAAGATGCTGGCCTTTTACTGTAGCATTGACTAAGGCTTTGTACGTGAGGACAGGTACTCACGCACCCCCCATGGATCCCTCAACAATGCCATCGTTATTAAGCTCGCTTAGATAGTAGTCACATGTACTGCAAAGGGAGAGCAAAACTGGGAGAATATAGCGACAGTTTCTGGAAGTCAGGATACTCTGTCGTACTCCAGCGAGAAGCAGTAATAGAGATATTAGTCCACTAGACCAAGGTGCTGAACCCTCTTATTAGGGACCAGGCTGGTAATCCACAGTATAAGGTACGCGTATTTCTGTTAGAGTCCCACCAAAGCTCCGTCAACCGTTTTGACGCTTGCCTTGATCCAGTCACGGTGACCCGGCAGGTGAACAACGACAGAACAACGCCTAACACTCGCCAGTCGACACTCTGAATTCATTCGATAGTTCTATCAACCGCTTCGACTTTATTCTAGATTAGGCTCGGGCACGGGTCGGTTCATGTACCGAAATCTGGAAAAATCCTCAACCATTTACACCCAGGCTCTCCCGCTCCGGGCAGGCATTGTAAAAAGCGCCATCTCTCTGACACCATCTGAGCTCTCCTTCCTTTTCTCATCTTTATCCTTCGCCTCTCTGCAGCCAATCTTACACATCTCGTCGCACATACGCCCAAATGAGCCGTGAATCCAAGCTCTCTCCCAAGATGGCTTCTCCCAAGGGGCCACGGCCCCCGAAGAGACGCAACAAAGACCTCTGACTAGGTCTGGGCAACACAGCCGGCGTCCGAGACGACGATGCCTTGATAGTCAGTCTTCATGGGCTCGGCGCATGAGATAGTTTCTTCTAGTGCCGTCGTCCTTTTCTTAGCAGTAGGCGATCGTCAGGCGACGACAGGGGAACTTCGTCTGGGATCCAGCAACACGACGGCATCCCACCAAAATAGATGATCCAGCCTCGAGAGTTGTCCTTCCGTCCGAGAATCTAGGTGATATGCTCCCAGCATTCTTGCTGGCCCTTTTCCGTGTACGATTCCCCAAATGGCCCCATTCAGCAGATGGGCATATAGATGGCCATAGAGGACCTAGGGCACTACTGAGCTATGCGTATGCACTCGCTCATCTTTTAAGACTTGTAAAGTCTCCCCTGCTAATCTGTCAGTATCTGTCAGTGCGGCTTGCTTCTACGTCGATACTCACAAGGTGTCGGCTCTCTGTCAGTTGCAGGGGGGTGGAGGGGGGAGTCTGGCGATAGCGATGGCGGTTGTGGCTTGTCTAGCAGATCCGACCATACATTTACAGTGCTATCGAAAGCCATATGGAGTTCCACCTGCCGCTGCATAGTCAGGCTACTTGCACGTAACCGTTTCTGAGACGCGCCTAGGCAGGTAGGGCATACCTCTTTGCTGAGAGTCCGAAGCTCCATTGCAAATGTGGTGGCGGCGGCCGCAGTGGTGGCGCTAGTTGTTGTCGTCCTCGTCGTCCTCATTATCGTCCCTATTATTGTAAAGAAGGTAAGTGTCGACGCTGGGTGTGGATGCCAGCATCCTTGTTTGTTTAAGCCGTCGCGGCCGCTTGTGATGGGATTCACCAACACAACGATGTCGGCATGGATTGTCGATATACGTTTGCTGTGGGATTGACAGGACACTAGCTGTTCCTTTGGAAATCGGCGACACACATGGTCGTTTCTTCCCTTGTAACTGTCTGCTGCTTCTAATAACACTCGTCACTAGGATAAGCCCTTGAATTACCTAGGTATATTGATAAGAAACTTAATTAAAAGCAATGCTTGATAATACTATAATGTACCTATACAGCCATCCTGGTCGATAAAACAAACTCTTCATCCTGCATGTCCCGTCTTAGGCAATCCAGAACCAGATTCTCTCCAGAATATTGCGCGGCACTGGCTTGACCCAAGTAGACTCCAGCCTGTCAATCTCAGCCTTTCCTGACCAGAGATCAACCTCTGAAAGGCGCACAAACTTGGTCTTCTTCACGATCTTGTAGCCAAAGAACAGGCACAAGAAGATGGGAATGTCAATGTACGGGGGGATAAACGACTTTGCGCTGAACCGCCCAGGGAAGAAGCAGTCGAACCCGTTAAAGAAGGCGACAACAAGACAGAAGACGAGAGAAAAGTAGCCCAAGAACGGCTGAAAGGGGGACTTGAAGGGCAGCGTGTCGCGGTCGATGCCGTTGTACCTGAGGGCGTAGAAGAAGCGGAGGTACATGAAGGAAACGCTGGCCCAGACGATGAGCGTGCTGACGGCACTGAGGTTGCTGATCCAGAAGAAGACCTCGGCGGACCCATTGTTGACGTTGAGGTAGACGAGACAGCTCAGGGCGGTGGTCAAGGCCACGCACGCATACGGCACACCAAACTTCTCATACTTGAGCAACGCCGGTGCTTTGCCGTCCAGGGCAGCGGAGTAGAGCACTCGCGTAGAGGCATAGAAGAAGGAGTTTCCAGCAGACCAGGCAGATGAAAGGACAACCGCGTTGATGATGTGCGGAAGGACCTTGATGCCTGCGTTTTTGATGGCAATGACAAAGGGGCTGGCGCCGGCACCCGGAGCAGAGCTGTTGATGGCGTTGAGCAGCGCCGGATCCTGTGACGATACGCAGAGCCCGACGAGGAAGATGGCGAGGACGTAGAAGATGATAATGCGCCAAAACACCCTTCGAACGGACCGCTTGATGTTGCGTCGCGGGTCCTCGGTCTCTCCCGACGCAACCACCACGATTTCGCTGCCGCCGTAGGCAAAAGTCGCCGAGATGAAGACCTTGAAGAAGGCAAGGAAGCGTCCCAGGGCGCCCTCTTCCAGGTACTCGTTCATAGGCCCTGGATGATTCCAATAGCGGAATCCTATCGCATCCCCGGAAGGAGACCCGCCAACCGTGATGATGAACATGAGGAGGATCAGGCCGACGATGGTGGTCAGCTTGATGGCGCCGAAAGCGAACTCGGCTTCTCCGTATATGCGCACCGGGAGGCAATTTATCATCACCATGGCCGCGAAGAAGACTGTGATGAGTGCAGCTTTAGGCACGTCGTTGGGCCAAAAGTCAATAATCAGCGAGCAAGCCGAGACCTCGATCGGCACTCCAATGGCAAACTGATACCAGTAGTTCCATCCCAGCGTGAATCCCAGAGCAGCTGCAATTCCGTTAGTGGCCGTACTAATTCGACACAAGTAGGCGACGTCTGCTTACGGTCGACGAATCTCGATGCGAAAACCGGCACCGCACCAGGAATCGGCAACCATGCCGCCATTTCCCCCAGACTGTTGATCACACAGTAGAGGTTGAAGCCGGTGATGAGGTAGCATATGAACGCAGACAGCGGGCCCGCCAGAGAGAGGACCTGTCCGCTACCGACGAAGAGGCCTGTGCCTATGGCGCCGGACAGGGCCAGGAACTGTACATGCCGAGCCTTCAGGCGACGATCAAGCGTGCCGATGTGCTGCTGCTCGTTTTCCGCCTTTTGGTCAATGTTGTCCAAGGTGGTGACCGGGGCAGCGGTGACGGAGATGGCGTCCTGCGCCTCGACATCACCTGGCTCCGCCGTGTTACCCATGGTGTTTGCCTTTAGGTAGAAGAATCTCTCAGGATGGAGTGCGGTGTTGTACGCAGAAGGGAGAGGGACGACGGGATCGTCAGGGCTGGGAATACGGCATATATAGGTAAGGTAGCTATACCTACTCGCACTTATACAACCGGGGAGATATGCGCAGATACACCGCATGGAAACCGAACTGCAACCGGAGGCACTTATCAGCCCTCAAGCTCGCCTTCCCGCCTATCATTGTCCTAGATCTCTTCATCGGCCAACTCATGTAACCTAAAAACGCGGCTTATCGTCTCTCACAGCGTAGTATGTGCATGCTGTATCTCCCTGCTTCCCCGCAAGTTGACGTCGAAATCCATGCATGTGCTCCATACATGTACCCAAGGTAGATTAGAGACGACAGAGGAGCAACCACTGCGCTTAAACGCTTCGTATAAAAAACAGGCATACTCGAAGAGTTAGCTTAGCACGCTAGCCCTGGCCTTTTCAACCCCTCCCGCGGGAAGTCTTTCCCTCCTTGATATTTCAGGCTGCCTTATTATGAGTTTGTACTTACCATACTAAGTCCCTCGGAAGCAGCGTTCATGCATAAGTCTTTGCGCGGTTTGAGGGACTAGGCATGTTTGCATGGAACGTGACAGACGATCTGGTTAATCTTGGCCATCCGGGGTAAGAAACGGGGCATTAATAGAGACTGGCTCTGCGTGGGGGAATACATGGCTATTTGCGGAGAGAGAGTCGGCGACTTGGCCGACGAGCTGGAGCTGTCACTTTTATATGTGCTGCAGAGTGAAGATGGCCTGACACTCTTGGGCTTTGGCGTAGTGTGGCTGCGCTGCGGTTGTTTGTTTGAGGGAGGCCTGATATTGTAGCATTACCCTTAGACGCTGGGTAGCTCGCTAAGCTATCTGATGCTCCTTGACTTTGAGAAGCGAGCTTGAGATGTTGGGACTTGCAACATGACGTTCAGCTTTGGTCAAAATATCTTAAACCTTTGGTTAAGGTTGAATCATGACATGGTCTAGAACGCCGCCATAACGAAATGCTATTGCGTTCTGAACTCCTTATGTCTGCTGGAAGTAATGAAGATGATGGCGTATTTCCGGTTGCGAGGATATTGAGCAGTGTGATCACAGGCGCATTACTAATATGGAGTTGTGGCGGTTTGGGCGCTTTACTAATCTTTTGATACTAATAACCACGGTCTGAACCGGAGTCCTTCGCTATTTAATTGCAATTGATATCATGAAGTTGTTCTACCACTTATTCCCTGAATACGTCGCAGGGTCTTAAAAGCAACTGGACGTCTTTAAAGCAGATTATACCTCCGCGAGTCTGTTGAACATCTTCGCAGGCCATTAAGCAAATTAGCTGCCGTTTTATAGCAAGAGACTGCAATGCGGTCGCTTGACCTTGTGCAGCATGTGAGATGATTTATATGATTTAATGGGGCTCTTACAACCTCGTCAAACCTCTGGAGATGCTGACTTGCCCTCCCCTTATATGTCCTCTTGAGCAATATGATCTTCTCACCATAATACATAGAGTATTCCAGTAATCTCACAAAAGAAAAGAGGAGGATAGCGACCCGTTGCAGCCTGAATTGGCTTATATAGCCTAGAAAGCGATGCCATCCCTCTTCTTTACGCGATTAGCCTCTAAATGGCTATTCGTTGTTAGTCGTAGTTGTGTGGTCGCAATGAGAGACTGTCGCCATGGCACCGGAATGTTCCCGCCCATGGGGGGACGTGTGTGCGACTCTAGTGACGATGACCTTATTGATGTATTTTCAATATGGCCTCGACGTTGATAACTATATGATTCAAATGGTGCAGAAGAACTTGGATCAACTTTTCTGGTGGATGAAGTTTCTTCATTACCTCATCGCCATGCAAGTCCTCACACTCTCAACCTGGACTCATACTGAGTGCTGCAGCGTCGCATTCTGATGCGGCAGTGCCAGGTAGAGAGAGAGCAACCGGCAGATTGATTTAAGCTTATATTATTAAGGGGTAAATAGCCGTAACGGAACATTTCGTTGAGTATACCCATGTGTAGATCACGCAATACCCATGATACGTTTGCAGACACAATCGACCAGGAGTGTCCCCAACTACTAGGCAGACTGTCTCCTGCCGAAAAGCATGTGGTGTATCCCAATCGTAGAGAGCACTGTCGCATACGTATCTCTTCACACACTGCTTCTTGCTTTATATGAAGGGCGCTGTGTGGCATTTGACTGGATTCGTCTGAGCTACTCCTCACCATTTCCTTCAGAGGGACTGCCAAGAGATTCCCGCCAGGTTTTCTAAAGAAACCCGCATAGGATCGATAAGAGGATATTTAACAACAATATGTCCCGAATCACATTGCTGTTACGTACCTTTTAGCCTAATTTCCATACTTGAGCAAGTGGCCATAGACTGCCTGTTTAGACTTACCCCTGAAGGCTTTTCGGAATAATCCAACACTCCCGACGAAGATGTTAATCCTTGGCATATTGCATTAGGCTGTCAGGATAGTCTGAATTGAACGTCTTGAACACACACAAAGACTTTGTATACAGATAGTTGCTCACAGATATAAGATGGCACAAATCGACCTTGAATCACAGACGCATGTCAAAACTCCAAGCTGATCATCGATCCAGACTCGCGTATCCAACCACGGTTGCCGCAATGAAGCTCATCCAAGTCCTCCCCGCCCTCCTACCAGCCGCCCTGGCCCAAACCAGCTGCGACCAGTGGGCAACCTTCTCGGGCAACGGCTACACGGTCAGCAACAATCTCTGGGGAGCATCCGCGGGCTCTGGCTTCGGCTGCGTGACGGCGGACTCGCTCAACGGCGCCGCCTCCTGGCACGCGGACTGGCAGTGGTCCGGCGGCCAGAACAACGTCAAGTCGTACCAGAACGTCCAGATCGACATTCCCCAGAAGAGGACCGTCAACAGCATCGGCAGCATGCCCACCACCGCCAGCTGGAGCTACAGCGGGAGCGACATCCGTGCTAACGTCGCGTATGACTTGTTCACCGCAGCGAACCCCAATCATGTCACGTACTCGGGAGACTATGAACTCATGATCTGGTAAGTCATGGGAGTTACCCATTCTTGGCAACATCTCAACTAATACCCCCGTCGGCTTGGAAAATTTGGCGACATTGGCCCAATTGGCTCCTCTCAGGGGACCGTCAATGTCGGCGGCCAGAGCTGGACGCTCTACTATGGCTACAACGGAGCCATGCAAGTCTATTCCTTTGTGGCACAAACCAACACCACCAGCTACAGCGGAGATGTCAAGAACTTCTTCAACTACCTGCGAGACAATAAAGGATACAACGCTGGAGGCCAATATGTCCTCAGTAAGTTTCCTCACTTGCGGCCGTGCCTGGTGCGGCGCGACAGTACCCGACCCCTGGAATGGGCGCGTATCCAAAACTACCTGTATGAAGTTACTTTGTATACAGCTGACAAAGTGCCTGATAGGCTACCAATTTGGTACTGAGCCCTTTACTGGCAGCGGAACTTTGAATGTTGCATCTTGGACGGCCTCTATAAACTAGATTTGGGTTAAGTGTCTGAATATCATATGCCTCTAAGGTCGACTGTCAAAACTGAGCTTATACAAATCTAAGACGCCAAGTTTGAGATTGACTGTAATATTGGTCACATATACATACGAGTGATGCAGTAGTCTGACAATGAGTCACATTGTGAACGTATGTGTAACCAGGCGTTTGTATTGTTTATTTGACATTATATAACTGTAACTCTTTACTTGGAACCACCCTTGCGGCCCGCCTCCCGAGCCTTCTCACTTCCGGGCTCAAAGGAACCACTGGAGGCCTGTCCACCCTTGGATGCAATTTCCTGCACCTGCTCCTTGGGACTGTCGTTGTGATTTGGGTTAGCTACCATTCTTCAAATAAATTCGGGTCTGAATCATACAGGCTGGCGAAGCCACCGCTATGACTGGCCTGTCCACCCTTGGAAGCAATGTTCTGAACCTCCTCCCTGGGGCTGTTGTCGAGTTAGCTACTGGGTCGGATATACGGTAGATCTGAATGTCTCATACCGGTTGGCGAAGTTTCCGGGGTTATCGTTGCCAGACATTGTAAAATTGGTAGTGAATTTGATGTGTTTTGTTAAAGGTAATGATGTTGTAAGCTGTGAGAATGGTCGATGCGAGTAGTATGGATCAAAGGAGGGCTTCTTGGGAAGAAGACACGATATTTATACCTGAGATCCCGGCCATTTCTTTGGAACATTCGCTGTCCTCCACAGAATCATTTAGTGTTGGCGTCATTGAACGTTGATCAGTAGCCTCTGAGGTCATCTCCATCGTCGTCTCGGCCAACGCTGCACTCTTTCAAAGCAACAATCAGCCGCCACAAACATCCATAATACGATCGTTGAATATCATGTAGCTGTCAAATACTCGACATCATGACGTAAATCCTGCAAGTGTAAGTATGATGTTGATCATACCCGCTGTTACAGTATTCCTTACTGTCAACACTGCGGTCAGATTCTCGGGTTCACTCACCTTGAGGTTGGCCGCCGTTGCTCCACAATCGTGGGGATGGGCTTCGAGCTCAATCGCCCAGTCGCAAGCTTCAAAAGCTATTACTAAGGGAGAAGTAACGCTGGAGCTCTCAATGCACATGTGATGATTGGCAAGCCATTCTTAACGCAGAGCGTGAATGTGATGTAAACACTGAAGCGTGCCGTGTCAATGACGTTAGACATAACCAAATTTACGTAGAGCGAATGCCAGCCAATGGAGTCTTGCATAAAGACCGTTTAGATCCAGCTCGTGGCGATACCCGATCGCAAAGGCACAGCCGGTCCAACGCGATCGCGGTAGAGAATGAGATGGGAGACGATACTTGATGAATTACATCATGGAAGCCATTCACATGGAATGATGAAGGGTAATAATGAATAATGAAAGGATTGAAGACGACATTGACTTGAAGGCCACTCGCAGTCGAGAGTGGGGAAATGCCGGGTAGCAAGGTAGGGAGGTCTGGCTGCTGATTCTCGCAGGACGAACTGCGTCTCAGTGCAATCGGTTTCCCTCTGGTCTGATCAATGTATCATCTTGTCTTTAAGAAGAAACCGGAGTCAAAGTATTGCATGTTGGAAAGAGATGAAAATGTGGCCGGCGTTATACAGGCTTGAAGTCTGCGCCCATGCCTTCGCTGCAGTCAGGATCGATCGTGATGACTAATCAGCCGCCATAGCTCTGCGGGAGAAGCTTTGTTGGGATGGGGAGAAAATGAGCCAAGATCAACCCGATCGGAGCGTCCACGAACATCGAAAGTGTCGTCGAAGGTGGCTCTTCCCAGCCAATTCTTTCGCAGTTTTTCCTGGATAGGATTCGTCAGGCGATGAACAGGCCACGCAACCGCCAGCCGCGCCACTCAGGGCAAACTCAGCGCCCGGGAGGCAGATCGTCAAACTTGGGCCGACGAGCTCCTGGGACGCCGCAACAGGCCGCCGGCACCGTCCCCACGTCAAGGCAGGTCGTCGCCGGTGCCGCTGTTTACATCGTCCTCAAAGAAGACCAGCCGACAGGCCGAGAAACGCAGGGCATCGTGCAGGACGTCCTCACATCGGGAGACCATCCCCGGGGCATCAAAGTCAGGTTACGTGGCGGCTTAGTCGGCAGAGTGCAGAGACTCGATGACGGCTCTTCTCAGCCATTGAGTGGGACGGCGTTGGCTTCAAGTGCTTCCTCCAACTCAAAGTTCAACAGCCGGTACACGGATATCAGGAATGACGCAGACTTTGACTATCTGCAGGGGCCGCCGCCGAGGAGTTTAGCAGACTTTATGCCATCGTTGGAGCCACCCGCGACGACTGATTCTTCTGATGATGCTGGAGGAGCTCTCTTGGATGAAGGCACGGCTGTCTGTCCAATTTGTAAAACATTTACTGGAGACGAAGTTGCCGTTACGCATCATTTGGAACGAGAGCATTTCAGCTGATGTACGATTCTCGGAATCCCATTTCAAGACGACGGAAGTGCAATCTGGCGACACTCTGCGACACCCTGGCTTATCTGCTTGAACTACGTCCTTGCCATCTCATAGAGCAATTAAGACAGCGGTTTCATCACGTAGACCCATGTCCTTTGAAAAATACGGGATCCTATCAAGACCTTCTTCGGGATCCTACTGCCTCCGGATATGGAAGAGTTTGCATGTTCAAGTTGCCAATTTCTTGTTTCATTACATTGGCAGGCACAACAAACGCTGAAAGGAGATACACAACGGGACGTCCGGCCGCCTCTACGGCTTCAAAGTATCATTCCATGACTGCCAATACTGGTTCTCCCACACAGGCATGCACTTGACACTGTCTGGAGGATCAAGCTGCCAATCTATTCCATCGCCCGCAGGATCTTGCTTTGACACCGTGTCAGACGTGAACCCCTTGAGTTCCTTGATCTTCCTTGCCTTTTCCACAGAGTACTCGAGGTTTATGGACGGAACTACGGCAATTTTGCGGTAGCCCTTGAACCAGAGGTCTTTGCAGAATAACTGCGGCTCGCCTTGTCTGCATTCACCGGCGGTTTCATTCGCTGCCCTGAATGCCACAGTCTTTTCCAGAAAGGGCTGGGCCGTGAATGCTGTCGCGCCGTTCCAACATGAAAAGACTTGGAAGGGACGCTGCGCGTAGAATCGATTTCGAGACTCGTCAGCGTTCCAGAACAGATTCCATGCCGAGTCCCAATTTCCGTCGGGGGGGATGTCAAAGAAGGAATCGCCATTGATTGTGCGGGCGATCCATACATCGTAAAAGGTAGGGTGTTCGCCAACATATGTCCAGTCCATGGCGCATGTCATATCCGCACCAAGGGCCCTTTTTTGATGGACGAGCTCGAGGATGTCCTCGGCACAGGCGGCTACATCGTTGAGGAAAATGACGGTTGTGTCGCTTGTCGCCATGTCATGCAAGTCTAGGAGCGGCGCTAATGCCTTGTTCCGAAGCTGTGCAAGGCGCGCCACACGGTCATCCTTGCTCGGATCAATCGCAGATGACTCGGGGTAATATCTGACTCCCATACTCTCGAGTGCTGGCCGGAGAGCACCAAGTACATCGGCGGTACCGTCGGGAGAGTTGCCCTCGACAACGGACAGCACACATTGTGACGGACCGAGAAAACGAATAGCCTCGACAATGCTGCCTATCAGCCGAGGTAGCAATGGCAAGTTTTGCCGCAGGTCGAGGGCGAAGAAGTATTGAATGGCTGGACCTGAGGAGCGTGTGCTCTTGAGCTCGCCATATCGCGTAGTGTTGATGGCTGGGCATTCTAGGTTTGGTAACCTTGAAAGCTCTGGTGTCAGGATCGCCTCGAGGTATTGTGTGATGTTGGCGGCCGGTAAGATGGCACCTGGGAGAGTGAATAGGGTCAGCAAAGGCTTGTTGCGTTTGCGAAAAGAGACAGCGAGGTCCGACAGCGGAATACCAACCATCAAGCACAGGCTTCAACTCCGCTGTCTTTGGCGTTCCAACATCAGCGTCATGTCGGATCGAAGGTCGCACAAATCGATCCCTTCCCATAAACAGAGTTGTCGCGACGATGAAGGCCGCGATCAAAGGAGCTGCCAGCGTCAACAATCTCCCACGCATCTTGAAAATCGACCAACACACAGCATGTTGAGGCTCAAAAAAGAGAGCGCAACCTTGGCCACATTACGAAGAAGATGCGAGTGGCATATTAAGGAGGGTTTTATATATAGGTCCCTCTGTCGGGTTTCTGCAGCCGCTGGTTGTTGGTTGCATTGGCTCAGACTTCATGTTTCCCATTGGTCAATTTGGGCAGGATTCGGCCGCCACTAGGACAATGGTGCCACCAGTGACGAACGATAACCGCCAGCATCATACCTGGAACCAACAGCTTTTGAAGCCCCTGTCAATGTCGTGATAGCTGGGAAATATGCGGTGTATGGGTGCCCGACAAGATGCTATCTATAAGTACGGAAGAGCGAGGGAACAACCCGAGCATGGAGTGATGCTTTTTCTCAACATCGCTTCCACTTCTGGTGCAGATCGGCTACGACCTTGGTGCTACGCGACCTCTTATGCCTTTACGTGTATAAGATATGAGAGTTATGGCGGCATATACGACAATACTCGCCGTTCTCCTTTTCGTCTCCCAAATTAGCATCAGTAAAGCGCGGCATCTCAGTATTCCACTACCCACTCTGGCAGCAAAGCTGCCTCTACGCAATGGAACGGAATTCGACAAACGCGCTGATGTACAGACAGAAATGTCTACCTGCGGGTATCAAAACGGCGACCCCAATAAGTTCCGCACCGCCAACCCTGGTTTCGACTGTCGAGTCGATACTGCGAATGGCCTCTGGGGTTTCTGTCCAGTCACTGTTGTAGCAGCTACCGACTGCGGCTTGGCTGGAAGCTGTGTCGACCAAGGCTCATGCTCAGATGGATGCGGCAAAACCGACAACCCCAGGTTGACTACATTTACTTGGTACGTCTCATCTTCCCGTACCTGGGTACGGATTCTCTCTTTGAGCTGCAGCGGTTGTTGATGACTTGACTCTGCAGTAAATCGAAGCAATTCTGCTCTACCGCCCTCTTGACATTTGGGGTCGACCAGACGTACTCTTATATTGGCTGTGGCGGGAGCCCCAAGACGGATCACTATCTCATTACACCCACCGCGATTTCTACTCCAGCCAGCCCAGCCTCGGAGACTACGTCAACACCGACTGTGGCGCAGACGACGACGAGTGCATCTTCAATGTCAACAAATGCAGGGCCTACAAATGGAACCAATGGCGGCAGTGGCAACAACACCAGCAACGGTGCCTCTTCTACAAACAATACAGGAGCAATCGTCGGTGGCGTCATTGGTGGCCTTGCTCTGCTGTGCATCTCCGGCATTGTTGCTATCCTGCTTTTGAGGAGGAATCGACCACATGGCAGCCAGACGCCAACCAAGGGGCCGCACAGAGATACCAATCAGTCTTGGTACGATCCGAGACCCGAAACCAAGCATCGCTTCACGGGCGGCTGGGGACCTAGAGAACTGGAAGGCTCGCAGAATGAAAGAAGCCCCGATCATGCGATAGAACTACCCGGCTGATATTCCCAATCGCCAACTCTTTCAATATCCTACCTTAATCACCATACCTACATGTGGATAGCTTTAGACGCACATAAAAGTAATACCCTTCGGACCAAAGGATTTCATCTATACGAACCAATACTCTGAAGTACATCGAGTGCATCAAAGTGATGGCTCTTCGTCAGCTTCTTTGCATTATTGACCCCCTTGCAGGCGATTACATGCAGTCAAGAGTGCTCAGGTATCCGCAGCCCTGCATGATCTCAATCTCAAAGTCCATGTCGCCTTGTTCCGCAAAAGCCGAACCATTGACCGGGGTATCCGTATTTTTAGCTGGCAGTATAAAGCAAGGGTGAACAGCTGAAACCAATTGCGGCCACTTTTGCAGCACTTCATACTGGACATGAAATTGAGACCATCTCAGCCATGGGTGTGAGGAGTGCCACTTCTTCAAAGTCCCCATCAGAGGTAGAGAATCGCAGCTGGAAGTTGGCAAATTGACGGAATATCGCTGCCTATCATAGGCAGATAGGGTAGGCAATAGGTAGGAATTCGAGTCCCAAAGACGACTGTCCGCGAGTGGCTGATGTTCTAACGGCTTTTGGGTTGCGTCAAACCGGGGGGAGCTCAATAACGCGTGCAGCCGTGCGCGAGTTCTGGAGAAGCTGAGGACATCATCACCATCGGCTCAACCACCAGAGACTATGGACGGATATAAAACTGAAAGGTGCAGAGTAGACTGTAATGTGAACTCGTACAGGTCATTATTTTGCATCTCCTGCTTCTCACAATCGCTCAATTGCTTGCCTCTCCAATCCAGAGCTCAGCCTCGACCTCGATTCACGGCCCGCCAGATGACATTCACGTGTGGTTTAGCGTGATCGGAACGGATCTTCTGACATCCATGTGCAGTGATTGGTTCAAGCTGGCCCCACCTCCTCCACGTAATCACTCCTGCCACCTTGCTCTTCCAATTCACCTCGCGCCTGCCGTTCTGTTCTAGTGGGCTGTTGCTGCGACGGCTCCAGGCTACTACCAAGGTACCAAAGTAGCAGCAGGCTAATGCTCTCATTCGCTGGCCAAACACCGAAAGAACACAGAGGTGACCTGCCACCTTGACCTCCAACTTCTCCTTAACCCTCACCAACCAAACACGCCTCCTCCTTCGCCAATCATCCACCATCTCATCGGCAGGGCAGCTCATCGCGATCGCTCGCCTGCTGCCGCTTTTCATTTTCTTCCCCTCGTTCGTTTTTCTCGCCTGCGTCTCCCCGCTCGTGCCGCCTGGCGCATGGAAGCTGTCGACGGCCTCCCACTGCCCCCCGCGAGCCTGACCCAAGCTCTTCCTCTCAGCATCGACTCCGTAAGCCGCGGCGTTTTCGACAAGCGGCTTCCCTAGGAGTACCGAGTCGACGACGGCCCATACTATCTGATTGTTGGCTTCTCTGGCGCAATGGCGCCGCTACCCATCAAGTTCCAGGAGCTGGTGCAGCTCAGCAGCCTGGGCGTGGACACGCAGTCTATCGGCTTCAACTCTTGCGTAAGTCATTGATTGCTAAGATCCTTCCTATGTGGCCCGGCTGGCGCCCCCAAGCTATCTACAAGACACGATGGCATCAAGCTTGCTGACCCTCGCGTGTGCTTCACCACAAACAGACACTAGAGTCGGACTCGTTCGTTTGCATCCGCGAAAAGAAAAACGAAGCTGCTCAGCCCGAGGTTGTCATTGTCGAGCTCAAGAATGGCAACCACGTAACGCGCAGGCCTATCAAGGCCGACAGTGCCATCATGCACTGGAACAAGCAAATCATTGCCCTCAAGGCTCAGTCACGGACTCTGCAGATCTTCGACCTCGAGCAGAAGAAGAAGCTCAAGTCGTGCACAATGAACGAGGATGTCCAGTTCTGGAAATGGATCAGCGAGTCTACTCTGGGCCTCATCACAACCAGCAGTGTGTACCACTGGGACGTCTACGACGCCTCCCAGGATGCGCCCGTCAAGGTCTTTGAGCGCAACGCTAACCTCAATGTGCGTCAATTTCTCTCAGCGTCTGTTGTTTTGTCACCCCCGCCTTCCGACTAACTTGCAGTGACAGGGCTGCCAAATCATCAACTACCGAGTTAACAGCGATGGAAAGTGGATGGTTGTGGTGGGAATCTCCTCCCAGCAGGGCCGAGTGGTTGGCGCCATGCAGCTCTACTCCAAGGACCGAGGCATCAGCCAGGCCATCGAAGGCCACGCTGCTGGTTTCGGCACCCTCAGGCTCGACGGCGCGCCTCAGGACACCAAGATCTTCAGTTTCGCCGTGCGGTCAGCCACCGGCGCCAAGCTGCACATTGTCGAGGTCGATCACCCAGATTCGAACCCAGTCTTCCAGAAGAAGGCTGTCGACATCTTCTTCCCCCCCGAAGCCACAAACGACTTCCCTGTCGCCCTGCAGGTGTCGCAAAAGTACGGTGTCATCTTCATGGTTACCAAGTACGGCTTCATTCACCTCTACGACCTCGAGACGGGCTCGTCCATCTTCATCAACCGCATCTCCAGCGAGACCATCTTCACAAGCTGCGCCGATGATGCGTCTTCGGGTCTCGTCGGTATCAACCGCAAGGGCCAGGTGCTCTTCGTCACCATCGACGATGCCACCATCATTCCCTACTTGCTGGAGAATCCCGCTAACACAGAGATCGCCATCAAGCTGGCTTCAAGAGCTGGCCTGCCAGGTGCTGATAACCTGTATGCCAAACAGTTCGATCAACTCTTTAACAGCGGGAACTACCTCGAGGCTGCCAAGATTGCCGCCGGCTCGCCCCGTGGCTTCCTGCGCACCCCCGAGACGATCGAGAAGTTTAAGCGCCTCCCTACCCAGCCAGGCCAGATGGCTGTCACACTGCAATACTTTGGAATGCTGCTTGACAAGGGGTCGCTGAACATGCATGAAACTCTTGAGCTGGCCCAGCCTGTGCTGCAGCAAAACCGAAAGCACCTTCTCGAAAAGTGGTTCAAGGAGGGCAAGCTGGACTGCTCTGAGCAGCTCGGTGACATGATTCGCCCGTATGATGTCAATCTGGCCCTGAGCGTCTATCTCCAGGCCGGCGTTCACCACAAGGTCGTTGCTGGATTTGCCGAGACTGGCCAGTTTGAGAAGATTCTGCCATATGCTGCTCAGTCCGGATACCAGCCCGATTATCTCCAGCTTCTCCAGCACATCATCCGGACGAACCCCGACAAGGGAACCGAGTTTGCTACTGCCCTCGCCAACCATGAAGGCGGCTCTCTGATTGACCTGGAACGTGTTTGCGACATCTTCCAGTCTCAGGGCATGGTCCAGCAGGCTACCGCTTTCTTGCTGGATGCCCTCAAGGAGAACAAGCCCGAGCACGCTCGTCTCCAGACTCGCCTTTTGGAGATGAACCTGATGCACGCTCCTCAGGTAGCAGAGGCTATCCTTGGCAACGACATGTTCACGCACTTTGACAAGGGCCGAATCGCCCAGCTGTGCGAACAGGCCGGCTTGGCCCAGAAGGCGCTCGAGCTGTATGAAGATCCCGAGGCCATCAAGCGCGTCATTGTCAACATTCCCGGCACTCCCAACTTCAACCCCGAGTGGCTGTCCAACTTCTTTGGCAAGCTTTCCGTCGAGCAGTCTCTGAATTGCCTTGATGCCATGATGAAGCACAACATCCGCCAGAACCTCCAGTCTGTTGTCAACATTGCCACCAAGTACTCGGAGCTGCTCGGAGCCGTGCGTCTGATTGACCTCTTTGAGAAGTACAAGACTGCCGAAGGTCTCTTCTACTACCTTGGCAGCATTGTCAACCTCTCCGAGGACCCCGACGTCCACTTCAAGTACATCGAGGCTGCTACCAAGATGGGCCAGTTCAACGAGGTGGAGCGCATCTGCCGTGACAGCACTCACTACAACCCCGAGAAGGTGAAGAACTTCTTGAAAGAGGCTAAGCTGCCCGAGCAGCTGCCTCTCATCATTGTATGCGACCGCTTCAACTTTGTGCATGACTTGATTCTGTTCCTCTATCAGAACCAGCAGTTCCAGGCCATCGAAGCCTATGTTCAGCGCGTCAACCCGTCCCGAACCCCGGCCGTGATTGGAGGCCTGCTCGACGTGGACTGCGACGAAAAGATTATCAGGGACCTTCTCTCAACTGTCGATGCCCACCAAATCAACATCGACCAGCTCGTCTCCGAGGTCGAGTCACGCAACCGCCTGAAGCTTCTGCTGCCATTCCTCGAGGCCACCCTCCAGGCCGGAAACCAACAGCAGGCTGTCTACAACGCTCTGGCTAAGATCTACATCGACTCCAACAACAACCCGGAGAAGTTCCTCAAGGAGAACGACCAGTATGACACCCTCGTCGTTGGTAAGTACTGTGAGAAGCGTGATCCCAACTTGGCCTACATTGCCTACTCCAAGGGCCAGAACGATCTGGAGCTGGTCAACATCACCAATGAAAACTCCATGTACAGAGCCCAGGCTCGATACCTACTGGAGCGTGAGGATCCTGAGCTCTGGCGCTTTGTCCTCAGCGAGAACAACATCCACAGGCGCTCAGTTGTCGACCAGGTTACCGCTACTGCCGTTCCCGAGTCCACCGATCCCGCCAAGGTCTCTGTTGCCGTTTCCTGCTTCTTGGAGAACGACCTGCCCCTAGAGCTTATTGAGCTCTTGGAGAAGATTGTTCTCGAGCCCTCTCCGTTCAGCGACAACCAGAACCTGCAAAACTTGCTCATGTTCACCGCCGCCAAGGCTGACAAGGCCCGTGTGATGGACTATATTCACAAGTTGGATAACTACAATGCCGAGGAAATCGCTACAGCCTGTATCGATGTCGGTCTCTTCGAGGAAGCCTTTGAGATCTACAAGAAGGCTGACAACAAGTCTGCCGCCGTCAACGTCCTCATCGAGCATGTCGTCAGCATTGACCGCGCTCAAGCCTATGCTGAAGATGTCGACCTGCCCGAGGTTTGGAGCAAGGTTGCCAAGGCTCAGCTGGACGGTCTTCGTGTCTCCGATGCTATCGAGTCCTACATCAAGGCCGATGATCCTTCCAACTACGCCGAGGTAATTGAGATTGCCACGCATGCTGGTAAGAACGAAGAGCTCGTGAGGTATCTCCGCATGGCACGCAAGACCCTGCGCGAGCCTGTCATTGACACGGCTCTGGCCTTCTGCTACGCACGACTCGAGCAGCTGTCTGAGCTGGAGGACTTCTTGCGCGGTACCAATGTCGCAAACATTGAGGAGTCTGGTGACAAGGCTTACGAGGAGGGCCTGTACGAGGCGTCAAAGATCTTCTACACTAGCATCTCCAACTGGGCCAAGCTGGCCACTACCCTGGTTCACCTCGGCGACTACCAGGCCGCTGTCGAGTGCGCCCGCAAGGCGAACAACATCAAGGTCTGGAAGCAGGTCCACGAGGCTTGCGTCAGCAAGAAGGAGTTCCGACTTGCCCAGATTTGCGGTCTGAACTTGATTGTCGATGCGGAGCAGCTCCAGGAGCTTGTCAAGGACTACGAGAGAAATGGTTACTTTGACGAGCTCATTAGCCTTCTCGAGCAAGGCCTGGGTCTCGAGCGCGCTCACATGGGCATGTTCACCGAGCTGGGTATTGCCCTCTCCAAGTACCACCCCGAGCGCCTTATGGAGCACCTCAAGATCTTCTGGTCCAGAGTCAACATGCCCAAGATGATCCGAGCGTGCGAGGAGGCCAACCTCTGGCCCGAGTTGGTCTTCTGTTACTACCACTACGACGAGTTCGACAACGCTGCGCTCACCGTTATCGAGCGACCCGAGAACTCGTGGGATCACCAACAGTTCAAGGAGATCGTGGTCAAGGTTGCCAACTTGGAAATCTACTACCGTGCGATCCGCTTCTATGTCGAGCAGCACCCGTCGCTGCTCACTGACCTCCTGGCCGCCCTCACTCCCCGTGTCGATGTTAACCGCGTTGTCAAGATGTTCCAGAAGAACGACAGTCTGCCGCTCATCAAGCCGTTCCTTTTGAACGTGCAGAGCCAGAACAAGCGCATCGTCAACGAGGCCGTCAACGACCTGCTGATCGAAGAGGAGGACTACAAGACCCTGCGCGACTCTGTGCAAAACTACGACAACTACGATGCTATGGAGCTGGCTTCTCGTCTGGAGAAGCACGACCTGATCTTCTTCCGTCAGATCGCCGCCAGCATCTACCGCAAGAACAAGCGCTGGGAGAAGTCCATTGCCCTGTCTAAGCAGGATAAGCTCTACAAGGATGCCATTGAGACCGCTGCCATCTCCGCCAAGACCGAGATTGTGGAGGAGCTTCTCAGATACGTATGTTCACTCTTTACAATACCTCACCCGCTCTGCTTGTGGAGGACGCTAACACATGGATTTAGTTTGTCGACATTGGCCACCGCGAATGCTACACCGGCATGCTGTATGCATGCTACGACCTCATTCGACCCGACCTCATTCTGGAGCTCTCCTGGCGCAACGGCCTCAATGACTTTACCATGCCATACATGATCAACCTGTTGGCGCAGCAGACCAAGGAGATTTCGTTGCTCAAGGCTGACAATGAGGCACGCAAGTTGAAGGAGAAGGACCATGAGAAGACCGAGGACAACACCCCCATCCTGGGCGGTGCTCGACTTATGATTACCGCCGGTCCCGGTGGAAGCGTTTCTCCAGCCCCATATGGCCAAGCTAATGGTTTTGTGCCACAGCCTACTGGCTACAACTATTAGATGCAAGTGCCAGTTCGGCAACGGGTCGAAACGCAGCCGAAGTACCCCTTACACGTAATGTGTAATCCTGTTTATTTTGTGTCGCCGCATGGCTAGCTCTTACGAAGTCCAGGCATATTCGAGCGAAGTATGGAGAGTTGGAAGGGGCAATATGGATGGGCTGCTTTGTGAGCCTTTTTTTTATACTATTTCATTAAGAATAATGATTTTAGAGATAAAAAAGGGCTTTTCGTCCTGGATGAGGCATGGGCTCGGGGTTCTGTTAGTCGCGGACCTCTTTTGTCTACTTTAGCTTTATTTCCTTGCAGTTAGATTGGAGGAGGAAAAGAAAATTATTCTTTTTGACTCACTGGTGGAGCGGGAAAGAGACCTGCGAGGGGGGCAAAATGTGTATGATACAGCAGTCTATTTCCTGTTATTTGCCTATGACTTTTGTGTCTCTTGATTTGTGACTGGCTACTCTTTGTGATGGGGCGTTGATTGTTGGAGTGATTCTTCAGGTCATTTTTCGATGCGAGCGATGATATAGAACAGCATGTATATCTAAGGAGGCCAAATACGAGGCTATTGCACCAGATATCACACTTCACGTGCCGCAGCAACTTGTCAATGGCTGCCATCATGAAACACTTCTATTGAATCATATCCAAAGGCTCTAGTAATAACAAACGCCGTACCCAACACTAAACCCTCAAAAACAAAGCATACAATCTGTTTATACAATCATGCCTTCTTAGCGATGGGCTTAGGATGAGAAACCTTGAGCCATTCGCCGTTGAAAGCATTGATGAGCCAGTTATTCAACTCTGCAAAGGATCGTCAGCCAGCCACGTCTAGGATATCTCCTATATTTGAAGATGACAAAATGGGGAGAAGGGAACGGAGGAGGGAAGGGGAGGGAGGCAACATACTATCATACACAATGCGATTCGCCCCATGGAAGTAAATCCCATGGTCACTGTCCGGGAAAACATGCACATCGTAATTCTCGACGCCCGCCAAATCGAGATTATCCAACAGGGTCAGCGAGTTCTGAAAGTGCACGTTGTCGTCCGCCACGCCGTGCATAAGCAAGAACCGCTTATTCTCTCCAAGCGCAGTGGCATTGGAAATCTTGGACAGGTTGTACCCCTCGTCGTTTTCCTGCGGAGTGCGCATGTACCGCTCCGTGTAGATGCTGTCGTAGAAGCGCCAGTCCGTGACGGGGGCCACGGCCATGCCGTAGGAGAATGTCCGGCCGGCGTCCTGCTCGAGCGTCTTGAGGGTGGTGAAGCCGCCGTAGGACCAGCCCCAGATGGCGAGGCGGGACTCGTCGACGTAGTCGAGGGAGGCGAAGTGGCGGGCGGCGGCGATGTGGTCCTGCGCCTCGAGGAGGCCGAGCTGCGAGCGGACGGGCACGCGGTGCTTGCGGCCGAGGAAGCCCGTGCCGCGGGGGTCGACGGTGATGACGATGTAGCCGAGGTTGGAGGCGACGTAGGATTGGAAGTCAACGGTGAAGGCCTTAGTGACTTGCTGCGAGCCGGGGCCGGAGTACTGCTGGAAGAGGACGGGGTACTTCTTCTTGGGGTCGAAGTGAGGCGGACGACGTTCGAGGTAGTTGACCTCGACTCCGTTGCCGAGGTCAAGAGTTCCGTATTTCAGAACAGGGAGCTCGTGTCTTTTGGCACGATCGGCGAGCTCAGCGTTGTCCTCAACCACAACGTCATATGCAATGGTTGTGGAGGGCGTGGAAATGACTTTCTGGTACGGAGTCTTGGGTCCGCGATAGGACAGCAGCGCGAAACCTGCTCCTGACGAAAAGGAGGCGCGGTAAAAGGCCTCGGCGGACGTGTTTGTGAGAGGCTGCAGGTCAGAACCGTCGAGCTTCACAGAGTATACATGACGCTGGATGGAAGACTCTTTGGTGGCTACAAAGTAGACAAGGTTGTTGGCGAGATCCACAGCGGACGGGGCATCATCTACTTCCCATGCACCGGAGGTGAGCATAATGGGCTCGGAGTTGTTGAGAGGCGTAAAGTAGCCAATGTGTTCATAGCCATCGTGAATGACGGTATCCACATAGCCATCCTCTGGCCGCCCATTCTCAGGGTCGGCTGGTACGTAGGTCATGGAGTGAGAAATCTCGAACCAGCCACCGTCAATCTTGTTGACATCAATGGTGTTGATGGTGCTTCCCTGACGTTTTTCAACGTCGATGAGGATCACTTTCAGAATGTCGCTGACGCGATTGGTTTGCTTGACAATAACCTTGTCACCGGCCCAGACGAGGTTGTTGATGATGCGGTCGTCATCGGGAAACTCGTCACCGGTGCTGACCGAAAACACATCACCCTTGGAGACATCGTAGAATTGCAGGTCCACCACCGGATTGTGCGCGCCCGCCTTGGGGTACTTGATCTCCTGCACCTCGGGGTACGCCTCCTCGCCACTGGGCGGAGGGTGGCCGCTGGGGCGTGAGATGAAGAATTGCACAGGGTACTCGGGGACGCCGGTTTCGTTGGTTCGGAGGAAGGCCAGATACTTGCCGTCCTCAGACCACCATGTTGCACTGTTTCCACTGAACACCTCTTCCTCATACACCCAGTCAGGGATGCCGTAGAAGTATTCCGGTCCGCCATCCTTGGTGATCTGGACAATGTCGCCGTCGCCGGTAAGGCGGCGGATGTAGAGGTTGTTGTCTCGGGTGAAGGACACTGAGTCACTCCTAGGACTCCAACCGGCAAGTTGAACTCGAGCTTTTGCGTCTGAGGCAATGAGGGGCTCAGCGGTTTGCGTCTCCACGTCGAAGATGAAGTAGATGGCTGTGAAGGAATGTCTCCAAACGTGCTCCTGGGCAACGCCAATGAGGACCTTCTTCTGATCTGGACTGGGCTGAAGCCATTGGGGCTGGTAGCTCTGGCCATTGAATTCGAAGTCGGCATGCTTCATTAGGGTCCGAGACTTTGCCACCTGGGCATTCTCGTCTGCAGTAGCAGCGGTGGCAGTTGCATTTCCCACAGCTGACCGAACATCCTCGACGACGAGGTAATCCTTGCCCGAGGCTCCGCGCTCAAGCAGGAGGCCGTCCTCGCCATCAGGGCCTGCAATCCAGCTGATGGACTTTTGCTTGGGCGACCAGAAGCGGTTGTACAGTTGCTCCAAGGTAACCTGCTTGCCTGAGCCTCGAAAGTCGGCGTCTGGATCATGCTCCACATCGCTCGCGTGCTTGTACGATCCGGTAGAGACGAAGACGGCGAGAGATGCGAGCCAGGCAGCAGCAAAAAGGACTGCGCCTATGCAGAGAATGCGCCGCAGTTTTCGATCCATTGGCCGGCGCTGGAGCGCAGCTCCAGTCGAGCCCAGGAAAGCCTCGGTCTCGGCATCGTCAGAGGCCTCATCCTTGAGGGGATCCTCAGCGTACACGTCAGAGTACCCAAGCCTGGCGCGAGCCTTGGGCGGTACCTCGCCCTTTTCCATCTCCTCTTGTATGCGGTCGAAGACGATACTAGTAGTCGAGACGGATGAGAGCGAGTCTGTCGACGGGGACCGCTGGGGTCGGTCTGAGGCTCGCGGCGCCATGGCTGCGGACGTGTGACTCTCGCAGGGGGCTGGCAATCGAAGGGGGATTGCGTGTATCAGGCGGATTGGACAAGGGCGTGCACCATCGTAAGGTATCGAGTCGGATAGTGACTTCGTCTGCCGATGACCAGCAAAGGCGGTGAAGGTCGCGAGGCTGGAGGTGCGATGACAGTTGCAGCAAGCAGTGAGAAACGGACGGTCAAGCACCGGCCGTGATGTCGCTATTGAGAGACGGTTAGTTGTATTGTCGCCGTTGGCATCAGACGGAAGCACGCGATGGAGCTCGCTGATTGGATCAGCTGCCAGCCGGGCGATAGTCGGTTATCAGCCCGCCCGATAGGCATCACCGCCTGCCCAATTCTGCCAGCTCACGCCGGCATAGCCATCTGCAGCGATGAGTTATCCAAGCTTCACAATCTCAACAGTCTGACTGCATTGCCAAATCAGCGCACAACGAGGCGTCCGTCGTGCAGCTGCATCTGCATCTTGCGCCACAGCCCATGCCAAGCTGCCATTCGCCTGTCCCCAGCTTCTTAGCGGCTCCGCATGAGATCGTCACCAAGTGGAGTTGCCGTATCCCGCATCCATCTTGGTTGAGCCGCCTTGGAGGCTCTCTCGGCTCTCTCTCAGCTGCTTGCTCTCCGTGTTGGTCTTTGAACTTGAGTTGATAGATACGGGACAACAAGGTGAAGCTGAATACTCGCCACTGATCAATAATCCCTAGCATATACGAGAGACAACGACGACAAGAAATAACACAGAGTGAAGAGCTGAAGACACCAAAATAGAAACATTTCTGTTGCCTCGTGCTTTGGATACCACCTCTATCTTCGTCTGCCGCAGCCTTGTCAAGTCTCACAAGTCACAAATCACAGTTTCGCCCCAGGTGAACGTGGCATTTAAGATTCAGCTCATCTAGGGCCATATCTCACCCACCTCCGGCGAGTTACGCGAGGCTTCTACCGTCTATTACTGGGCCGCTCCCTGTAGCTGGGGTGGTACGGTGACATGCTCGTCAATCTTGACTACTCGGCACGCTGTCCCATACGCCGCCGTCTGCGCAAAACCACCCATATCGCCGGCATCAAACCTCAGGCAAATGATGGCATTGCCCCCCCTCTTCTTGCACTCGTCCACCACTCTGCTGATGGAGTCGTTGCGACATGAATACAGCATGGACGTGAACCAGCGAAGCTCGCCGCCAGCCATGCTCTTGAGAGCCATACCGAAACTGGCGCCGATGTTGCGCGATCGCACAGTGATGCCATAGACGGTTCCGAGAACCTGCTCAATGCGGTAACCAGGGAGATCCATCATGGCTGAGGGTTGTTCCATTATTAGCATGTTGTCTTGATGGATGTCCATTGTTGACTTACTGGTGGTGACCACGCCTTCAGTCTCTGTGAAGCAGTGCAAGTCAGTGAGATGGCTGGGTATCTCTGCTGGCTCCTGCGACTTGGGCTCTCTGTCCTTTCCAAAGACCATGATGGATATGTTGTATTATGAACTCTATAGAGTATGCGGTTGGCTCAACTCATCGTTCTGCTAATAGTCCGTTTACTAGATGTGTAGCTCCTCTTATACTTCAACCTCTCGTTCCAGAAACTATACACTAGGCCGACTTCATGATCGGTTCATCAACACTAACATCCTTCATCACTGCCCGTCCCCGAATCCCCTCACTGATGATGGCATGGCTTGGGGGAAAGGGCCTCTAGCACGGCTCCGCGAGAGCCGGGGCGCGCTATACAGCCTATTCCGTTCAACCCAGTGGTAGCGCCACGGCCTAGAGCAGCCCTGCTGCAGGGGTGACAGCCAACCGCCGTATTGCTCGCACTCTGGTGTGTTGAACAAGCCAGCCGAGCCTGCAGAAGCTGTAAAGACTGAGAGCGATTTCCCGAATTTCACGCATGAAGACATGGAGAGAAAGCTTTTTCTCATGCGAGATGTCGTAGAGCTCGACATTAGCGTCTTCATCGCCTGAGTACAGGCACATCTACGGTACATGTTGCTGCTAAGTGCTGCCATGTCCAGGTCATCATGATATCAAACCAAGAGTCATGCTGCATGTGACAGCCTGATGGGCAACAAAGTTCGTCCGACCTAGATCCGTACCTGACAGATTACGGGGCATTACTCCCGGGACATTAATTAGTACTTGAGCGGGTACATTAAATTCTCCTAGGAGTCGATGCACCCAAGACAGGTTGGTGGTTTGCGGATGTGTCCTGGTAGCGGCGGTACGTATGGGTTGATCAATAGGTAGCAGGTACCAAATTCAAGACCTGAGGTACCAATTTGAACCAGCACCTCACTTCCTTCTTTCTTCAACTCGGACCACATTCAAAACCTGCAACAAACATCAGTCGAGACCACCCACTGTTCAATCAGCTGAAGCCTTGTCCGGCACAGTCCAAGCCGCATCGCAGAGAGGCGCATTGTCTTTGTTGTCTTCCTTCCATCTCTCGTCTCTCCTCTGAGCACATCAGAATGCGGCGCAGCAGCCTGCATGCAGCTCATCCCTGCGACTTTGATACGTGGCCGGCCTCTCGACGCCACAAGCTGCAGCCCTCGGAGCAGCCCGACAAATCGCGCCACAACAAGAGACTGGCTTAGAGACGTTCTGGCTGGTCCAATGGGATTGAGCGAATGGAAACTCGACGATGATTGAACAGGGCATCCCAAAGGATAGTCACCTGGCCGCCAAACATGCAGCTCGCCGAGGCAAGGTGAGAATGGCTGCCGTGTAAGTTCCACGAGGCCTTTATAGAGTTGCTGTGTGAAGACTGCCATGGTATGAGCAGCTATGCTGGTAAGAGATGGGATGCCTGAAGGCCCGAGAGGCCTCGAAGCAAAAGGGCAGATTGGACCGAGTCAGTTGCAAAGTCCTAGCCCAAGCACCTTTGTATAATAGAGATGGGTTTTCTCCGCAGGTCGTGCCTCGGCAGAACATTCTCGTGTGTCCGCACTCCGTTCTCCGTACTAATGGCGGAACTGCCTCTATAGTCTGGCCCCCAACTCTCGTCGTCTCATCTCTCCTCTACCGATTGCTATTCTGGAGACACCGACAACCTGTCGCAACGCGGCAATGACGCTATTTCTGGGCCGGACAACACAATCCTCTCCGGTAACAATGGCAGATGGATGGCTTAGGCATCGATATACCGCTGCCAAGCGTTGCATCCCACTTCAAGCCGGTGTCCAGAGCTTGTCTCCTTACTCAGTTGGGGGATTCCGCCAGCTACGGAACAAAAGATCTCGCCCGGCGACAACCCTTGCCCAGCTGAGTAGGGCATCTTTGATCCACCTCCCCCATCATGGGGCTCTTGACGAAACGAGGTTGCTTTCGTTCCATGCTCGCCTCCCGGCTTGCTGGTTCGGCTCGTCGCCATCGACTTCCACCTCGGCTCGAACCATGGGTCCCGCCCCCGGCCCCGAGCTCCCCCACTTCTACCGCTTCGATCGGTCGTCTTTGACGGAGTTCCAGCTGCAAAACTGACAGCAACTCCATCATACTATGACATATCATGGGGAAGTCTCCATGAAAGATGGGCCGGAACACACCTCGTCTGGAGTAGATTCGGTTGCTTTCCGACGACATATCACTCTTGGCGCCCGAAACCGAGTCATGGTTCACTATCATTCAGTCCATACAACGGCGCGGCATTTACAAGTCTCGGGTAGGCCGATGCCAATTCCTTCTGATTATGCACAAAAGTATTCTGTTTTGGATCACCTGAAGCCTTCACTTCTATCTGGATATGCGGGCACCGGGCCACACTTCCTTGTTCTCGCACGCGGGAGAAAGCTTGTTTCCATGAGACCAAGGGTTTGGGGGTTGCCCTCATCTCTTTTTTTGGATCACATCGCCAACGCCGCCCAGCCGTGGTATGTGCTGCCCGGTGCGTAATGGGAGTTCAATGTGTCAGCTAACAGATCTATCCCTCGGTAGCGTGTAGGATACTCCCTCGTCGTCCTTCTCTTTGGGTGGCGACCGAAGCTGCTGCAGCTCACAGCCTTGCTCCGACCTCCGTACCAGCGCCAATAACCGTTGGCCGTATGCGAATTCGGCCCTCCAACGAAAACGGATCGCGCAGCATCTCGCCGGTGGCACTCTCAGCTCATCCAGCAATGCGCAGCAAGTACGTTTTTTCTACCTGTACGGAATACTTGTGTGCGTTCTGCATGCCAGCGCACTTACACTGGTTGAGGGCAAGCACTGAACATCACCGCGTGTGAACCACCTACTCAAGGCTCGATTTGCTGTCGTCTGTTCAACCCATCGCTCTTTTTCTGGCTGTGCACCAGTATCTATCTGACTTACAGGTGGCTCAGCTACCTATACAGCAATATATCAGTGACAGCAACTCCATCGCGAAGACGTGGCACGTCACTGAGAGATCGGAGAAAAACGGTGCGCCTCATACCGGTCAACCAAAATTTTTCCCCTGCAGGTTGTACCTACGGAATCCCGGTCCACACCCTCCCAAACACCCCTAGGTGGGAAAGGCAACGGCTACTAGCCCACGCTTCTCGCCAAGGCAACCCATCAACCCCAAAGCTACTTGGAGGGGCGGTCTGGATGGATCCTTCAGCAAAAAGCTGCACCCCCAGGGGCTGGCGCTCCAAGGAGAAGAAAGCGATTAGAAAGCGTGGGAGCTGTTGCGCGCACGATGATCTCGACGCCTGGTTGCGCCTGGCGCGCAGGTCGCGGCTGCTGGTCACTGGCTGGAGGGGCGCCGTCTAGTTGAGTTGGGCAGAATTCTCGACCACTCACAAGACAAAGGACATGCAGCTGCAGAACCCGCGCAGAGCCGCATCATGGCGACAGCAGTACGGGCAGCGCGAGTTGATCTCTGTTGTCATAGAGATGTGTCTATGTCAACTGGCCAGCTCAAGCATTGTCGATGAGCATGGCTGGAATTACGGACCTGCATTTGCCCTGGCACACACTCGTCCAACACACCTCACAGAGCCTCCTGTGGATATGCCCTTGGAGGATATGTTCCTGGTGGGCGGGTGTACATGGACGAAGACCACCCCAAAAAGCGCTGCAGCAGGGGTTGGAACAGATGCAAAAGGAAAACACACGCGGCACTCTACCGAAAGGCGAGTGTGCTTGAGTGCTGCCCAGCGTTTGCCTAACAAGATGAGGCGAGGCTCTGGTGGCATGGGTTGTATGGACTGAGCTCCACGCCTTTTTGACACAGCCTGGACAAAATAAAAAGCTGTGTCGAATCTGCCTCTCGTTCGTTCTTGTTCCTTTCAACTTCTGATCAACAGATATTCATCCAAGCCTTTATCAGCCATGGACTCTCAGAAAGCTCTTCAACTTTACGCGGCTTCACACTCGCGGCATCTTACATCCTTCACGGGTGGGAGTGACATGCTTGAGGCAACCCCAAACGACACCTCGTACGAGTAAGTACTGACTAGTTGATGGCGACTCATTAGTACGGTCTGCCTGCGCCCTGATATCGCCACGGCTAATTTGTGCTCAAACATAGGGGCTTCGTGGCCGCGGCCGATGGGACTTTCGGATCCAAGAGGCTCTCCAGGAGCAGAAACCCATCCCAGGCTATAAGGTCTCACTTCTCTCTTTCCTATGAGACTCCCCATCATCTGGCCAGCAGTCTGCGCAGCCCACAACTTGCATTCGACTCCTCTTTCCCCAGCTCAGCTGGTTCTTCTCCTGATTGGACTCGAGGACAGTCCGGTGCAGCCAATGACGATGGGTCTCTTTTCGGCTCCTTGCATCGATGGGACAACCTCGGCCACAGCCATCAGCCACAGCATGAATTTCAGGCCCAGATACTGGCGCTTTGTGCAGCTCCGCAAGCTCAGGAACACGTGGGCCAAGATATTGAGCTCGAATCTCTGTATTCGGACAATTATTCCCCGTTGCATCATGGTGTTTCGTTTCAGGAATCACTCAGCACGTCGAGGTCGCCGCAGTTACGTCCACCTGACAGCCCATCAAGCGACTCAGTCACCCAGGCCTGCCTGTCTTCAAGCCTGCCACGGGCATTTGAGCTCTACCACGCCAGCCCAAGAGATCCTTCCGGACATCTCGTTCAAGATGGCGGCCCCGCGGTCGTCATCTCCAGCCCAGGAGCTGTGGACAATACTCTGGTTGATATGTCCGTGTGGAACAGTCCAAACCTCGCTCAAAGCGGCTCTTCTGCAGACCCTTACCTGGCCGCATATAATGCCATGGGCCAGCCAGGACGAGGAAACATTGTAGCCACTGGAAGTGCTACGTTCACCCTCCCAGCGGATCTGCAATCCCCGTCAAGTGTTGAGGCAAGGAGAGACTATTATACCTCGTCGGAGACAGCTTCTACTGTTGCTACATTCCCCCTTCCCACAGGTAGAGGCAGAGGCAAAGGGAAAGACAAGGGAAAGGGCAAGGGCAAGGGCAAAGGCAAGGGCTTGCAAGTTGCGGGCGCTTCACACCGCCGTCGTGTCTCGGAGTCGCATTCTACTCTCCTTGGTAGCCCTGGCTCCCAGGCACCGGATCGGTCTCCAAGCCGGGGTTCCTTCGGAAGACGCAATTCTAGCGGGCTTGTCTCGGTTTCAAGGTCTCGTCAGTACACATCAGACGCGGCTGATGGCAATACTGGGAGCACCGAAGGGACAAAAGGTGCGAAGTCGTCGTCACGCGGGAAGCGCGTTGGGCCTCTAGATGAAAAGAATCGGGAGCTCGCGACGAAAAGACGCAACGACCGGACGGTGTGTATCGGCTGCAAGATGGCCAAGGTTATGGTAAGCCTCCGAACGAACTGAAGCACTGGATCATTTTCCAACTTTGGAATCACTTATGAGCACTTTATACAACAAAGAGCCTATATATCCATGCCACAGAGGTCATTGCTAACACGCCGCTTGTTAGTGTGCCGGCCGAGAAGATGGAGGAGACTGTAAGCGGTGCGCCAGCAGCCACAGCAGTGCTCCCAAGCCGTTTGTGTGCGCTCCGGCCAGCTTCTTTGAGCTTGTTCAGCAAGGTAGCACGGCTTTGCTTGGTAAGGGACATCATTTGCAACCGTGTATCCTGATATGCTGCCAAGTTTTACTGACGTGCTCGAATATAGCTCTCCACGCCGTCTACCCTATCAACCACTTGACCGGCCTTCGAGAGCCGATGAAGCTTCCTGCGGAGATTCACATTGGAGATATGCTCAGCTTCGTCGACAACCTGAAACGAACCCACGACATGATCCGTGTCTACGCTGGGGGTACCATGCTTTATGAGCTCGATCTCCATGCCTGTTGGGTATCCATCAACTCGACAGCCAACCCCGTGTCGCATCCTTTCCGACGGTTCATTGACGGGCTCAAGGTCCAGAGGCATGACCAATGGAAGGCTTGTATCAGAGACGGCCGCGGCCAGCCCTTGGACGACAACTCGTGCGGTGCGCTTCTCGCGCTGGACGACATGGCTCCCTGGTTTAGGTACTCCTTGGTGCCCAAGGGTTCTGGCGCTCTCTTTGGTAACCCCAATGGCGGGGCCGAGACGTTGCTCAGCCCAGGCAACGAGTACCATCGGCAGGTAATCATTGTCGCAGCCCAGCTGTCTCGGATCATCGGACGCAAGCTGGAGCTTCACTTTTACGACCATCTCAAGAGGATCCTTGGCAACCCGAGCATCTGCACCGAGCTTGTTCTCGATGTTGGGCGCACACTGCTGTCGCTCCGTCGGCGTCTAGTCCAATGGAAGCAGACGCGTGCAGCTGCGTCTCTCTCTGCCACACCAGAGCATGAGATGGATGCTCAGGAAGACGGCGACACGGGCGGTAGTGTGCCTGGCAACCGTCTGAGCCGAATCAAAAGCTTGTGCCAGGTTCTTTATGTGTACTTTTGTTACATGAGACGACGACTGCCCCCCAATGAACAAGAACACATGCGAACCATGCGAGTGTGGTACCCCGACCGTGTGCAAGCGGTGGAAGAGAGCTTTCCGCAGTATGAGAGCATCGAGGGGTTTGAGGACTGGCTCCAGTTCAAGGAGCGGCCCATGGCTGACGCGGAGATGGAGCTCGAGTAAGGTAAGTATTGACGTTGCTTGACCGTGTTTGATTGGGTTCTTATGTTTCTCTTTTCAGTTTTGGTATACTTTACTTTTCGTCATATTTTCCTTTTTCTTGTCGTTTTTATATCTTTTATGACGATTCTATCTTATGACTTTTGAAAGTTTAGTAGACGATTTATATGATATGAAGAGGAGTCGAGTTTTGTTGGATGATGATGAGAGCTGAACTGTCAGAAGACGGATATTTTGCAGGATGACGGATATGGACGATGAGAACACGCACGATATGGCATTTCATTTTGTGTTTTATGCAACATTTGTTTCTTTTTGTTTTACAACAAACTTTGTCGTCTACAGTTAGCTGCGTTGGTATGTTTTTATGCTTTTTGTCTACGTCAAACCGCAGAATGGAAATGATTACAGTCACAGGATTACACAATATAAACCCTTGTGTCTTCTACAACGCATCCAACCTCCCCATTCTCCCCTCCGCCCTCCTCCCGAACTTCTTGACCCTGCTCGCATCCCACGTATCCAGCTGCACCGCGCTCCTCTTGGACGGCGCCGGATGCCCCGCCGTGATGTTCCCGCACTGCGGCCTCTTGAGCTGGCTGCCAAACGTATCCGCCGTCCACAGCAGCACGCCGTTGGTCCAGCCGAAGCCCTCGACGACCTCGTACTCGCCTCCTCCGCCGGCGGCGTTGGTCGAGTTGTCGTTGTACTTTTCAAACATGATGCCCACGTCCTGGTCCGTCAGGCCCTGCAGCTTGGGCGTCTCCGAGGTCGATCCGCCCGTGGCGCGCCACGTGCAAAACGTAAAGTCGAGGTACCGCTGCGCGAGCCTGAGTGACAGGTTTCGCACGTCCTGGTACGCGGGGTCGGCCTCGGAAAAGGTCGCGGGGACGTTGTTGAGGCTCTCCATGAGGATGTGCATGTGCGGCGGCCAGACGTTTGGCTGATCCCACTGCTGCCCCGTGTTGACGTTGCTGGCGGGGATGCCGCCCGGTCGAGTATCCAGATAGCTCTTGACGCGGTCGAAGATGCGCGTCACGGCGAAGGGGTTGTTCCTGAGGTACTCGGGCGCGGCGCCGGTCCACAGGGGGTAGAACTGGCCGACGTGGAAGAGGACCTGCTGCCCGGGAGGAGCGCCCTGCCTGTCCAGGGCGACGGCGTCCTTGTCGAGCGGGACGTAGATGTTTTGCGATCCCGAGGTGAGGTTGTAGTCAAAGTAGCTGAACAAGGTCTCGTTCCAGAAGACGGCCTGGATGGAGGCGCTCCTGTTGGCGGCGAGGGCGCTCCACTCGCGGGCGGCGGTGGTGTTGCCCGTCTGGTTGAAGAGCTGCGCGATGATGAGCTCGTTGCCGTAGAGGATGGCGTTGAGGTCCACGGGGACAATGTCCTTGTTGTTGAGGCTGCGCAGGGGGAAGTACACGTCCCGCATGGCGTCGGAGGGGTCGGCCAGCCAGCGCGCCGTGTAGTCGTTGCCGCTCTCGGCGCCGGTGGCCAGGTTTGCGTACAAGTCCTCCATCTGGGAACCGTTGAGGTGCTTCGTTTCCGGGTAGATGATGCCTGACGCAGCGAAGTAGGAGCGGTTGTTTGCCGTCTGGAAGTCCTCCCTGAAGGATTCGGGCCGGGGCTGCGTGTTTTGCACGGCGTATTGCTGGAGGACATATGTCTTGTTGTTGCTGGCCAGGCGGACGTCGGCGGTCCTGTTCCTGGTCCAGAAGTCGTGTTCCTGGACGAGCAGGGGGAGGGCGCGGCGGAGGATGCTCGTGTCGTTTGTGTGCTCGACGTAGACCTTGACCATCCGCGACAACAAGGGCGGCTGCGAGCGATTCAGGTAGTACAGCCGCGCGCCATTGGGCACGAAGCCAAACCTGCCGATGAAGTCGCAAAAGTTCTCAATCGTGTTCTTGGCGATGCCCACAAAGGCGCCCCCCGTCCGGAGCAGGCCCTCGACGATCCAGTACGAGTCCCAGTAGTACGGCTCGCGGAAGCGCCCCCCCGCGACGACGAAGGTGCGGTTCACGGGGATGAAGCTGTTGGGGCAGGAGGAGCAGTTTGCGGTGACGGCGGCGTCGCCGGCGTAGCGCCGGGTGAGGTCGGGCCAGATGTCGATGACCTGGGTGACGAACTGGGAGAGGACGGTGTCGTTGATCTTGGACAGGAAGGACGGGTTCGTGGAGAGGTTGGCGCGGGGCACCTGGACGAGCTCGCCGCCGGCGTCGGCGAAGTAGGTCGCCAGGAAGGATTGGAGGGAGGAGGAGTTTGTGAGGGGCTTGGGGAGCTTGGCGAATGCTGCTTGGATTTCGGAGAGGGGTCTCTTTGCGGGCCTTTTTGAACATTGGGAGTTTGTGTGAGCTTGATGACACTTGATGAGGGTTATGGCGAGGCTGGGGGGAGGGCTTGACTTTGGGGCTGAACTTACATGTCGACAAAGGTCTTGGAGTCGGAAAAGGGGTGGGCGAGCTCGATCTCGCGGAGGATGTCGCCGTGGCAGTAGATGGGCGAGTCGCAGGGGGCGATGACGGAGCCATTGATGTACAGGGCGTGGGCTACATCCATGTGTATGAATGCAGCGGCCGCCATGAGGGCTGCGAGGGGCCTTAGGAAAGAAGGCATTGTGACAACCTTTTGTTTGTCTGCAGCGAGTTGCAGATTTCACGATGACGACAGATGGGAGGATGAGAGGTAGAGGGGGGGGGGTTGTTGAGAAGGGGGGATCTTATATATATATCGTGCGGTGTTGTTGTCCAGGCTATGACTATCACATTCGTGATCGACCCGAGAGAGAACCTGCTAGTAACACGGAAACAGAAAGGCTCAGCATATGGGCAATGTGAGTTCTTGGCCGAAAAGCCAAGTTTCCCGCAAAGTCCACACACCCTCCCATTCGCACGGGATTTGCTTGGCATTCTGTAAGGGAAAGGGGAGAACGGGTTGATGGTGATATGCTGGAGGGTGTGTGGCTTGGAGGCGATGTCGTATGAGGCTTTGGTGGTGTTGGGCGCCGTTTGGGGATGATGGCGAGGATGATCTGTCGACGGATTGGTCAAGTGTTGTACAAGTAATGAAGGTAAGAATGGATCTCCAATTTCATAACAATGGCCCCTTGACAGATACTGGGCTCAGCTCCGGTTATACCAGTTTTTCATTTCTGGTCAGGGGCCGCGATATGTCCATGTAAGTGGCTTGTAAGTGAACACCAGATGAGGTTGTAAGTCGACATCACCACTATGTAGTTGTTCATTCGAGACTACTACCTTATTTCTCATCCCCTCCACGGCATCTCCAAGACATTTAGCGCTGGGTCCAGACTCCAGTCACCCCCGCACTGCGCTAATAAGCATTTCTTGCATCTGACGAACTCTTACATGCACGCTCCAACAACCAACATATAATGATGCAAGTGATACGACCCGCGATGTTTGATTCAGTCAACCTGTATCGCCCATGGGAGATCCAATTAGACCGGACAGGAATATGTATGTAATACACCTGTATTATCTTGCACTTCAGCAAGACATATATTTGATATATACATATATAAGGGAGATTTAGCAAAGAATATTCCCACATCTTGCATCTGTTCTACTTGGCATCTCCGACCATGACGTCAAAAGGCGTTCACCCAAAGTACAAGCTTAACCGTCTGACCTACCTCTATCTAGTAGCACACAGCCTCGGACTATCCGCTCCCGTGTCTCCTCGTGATGTGATTCAACTTAGTAGATTGAACTGTCAGTTTAGCAGAAGAAACCGTCAGCAACAAGCCCGACTTCCAGAAAAGCTTCCCCCAGTGGTGGCTGATGGTTGTCTGACGATCAGTGGCAACGGTGACATGCCTCGTCTCAATTGACCGAAGCTATCGATGGATGGCTGACGACGGGATGTCAGACCGAGCAAAACACCATCACAACTCACACTCCACAAATCTCACGATACTTTCCTTCTTCTTTCTTTCTTTCTTTCTTCTTCTCATCACAGTCACAGTATATACAAGTTCCTTCACAAGCCCAAGTCTAAGCCAAAACCTTCTTAAACAGCCTCTCCAGCCGCTTCAGCACCTCGGCCCCGTTCTGCGCAACCTGGTAGTGCGTCACCAGCCGTCCTCCCCCCAGCGCCAGCCCTTCCTCCCTGCCCAGCTCGATGAACCTCTCGGCGCTGCACCCGGCGGCCTCGAGGTCCACCCAGGCCATGTTGGTGTGGACCGGGTGCACCAGCTTGCCGCCCAGCCCCGTCCACAGCGCCTCGACCCGCTTGGCCATCTCGTGGGACTGCTTCAGCAGCCCGTCGCTGCCGTCGGGCTGGGTCCCAAACGTCTCGTCGACGGCCACCCGCGCGACGGCCGTGATGAAGCCCGGCTGCCGCATCCCGCCGCCAATCGACTTGCGCGTCCACCGCGCGTGGGCCAGCGTCCTCTTGTCGCCGACGATGATGCTGCCCACGGGCGCGCCCAGCCCCTTGGAGAAGCACAGGCTGACCGTGTCGAAGAGGGCGCAGAAGTCGGGCAGCGAGCCCGTGCTGGCGCGCAAAGGCCGAGATGCGGCGCACCTCGCTCAGGGGCATGACCATGCCGTTGAGCGTGTTCTCGAGGCTGATGACGCGCGTGGGGCAGTCGTGGACGTTGTCGCTGATGACGGCGTTGGCCTCGACGTCCTCGAGGGTGAGGTGATTGCCGTTTCGGGGGACGACCGGCTTGACGGTTGCGCCAGTCAGGGAGGATACTCTGCTTCCCTATCAATATGATACGAGAGAGGAGGAGGTTGATAGGGAACACACCCGCCGGCTTCATAGAGAATAATGTGCGAGCGATGGTCGGCCAGCACGCCGTGGGGGGGCTGGACGAGGAGGCTTCGCAGGGCCACCTGGTTGCCCATTGTGCCCGAGAGGACAAACAGGCCGGCCTCCTTGCCGGCCAGCCGGGCGACGTGGGCCTCGAGGTCCTGGGTGGTGGGATCCTCGTTGAAGACGTCGTCGCGGAGGCTGCACCGGGAGATGGCGGCCAGCATGGACGGGGTCGGGACCGTCATGACGTCGCCTGCGGAATGTCAGCTGCTCGATGCTCGTCGTGCTCTCTCGTCCAATGCTCACTTCGCAGGTCCAGCGATCCGGGGCCCTTGACGCCCACCCAGGCATTCGTCTCTGCGCTTCCCATGGCTGCGGAAGAAGCGATGCTCATCACTTGTCGCCCCAAGAGTTGCTGCTGCCAGTTGACGTTGACAGTTGGTCTACTGAAGAAAGAGAAGAGCCGTGAGCGAGAGGCCGAGGCGAGATGCAGAGAGGAGAGCGAGCCCCTCATTTGATATCAGCCTGGAGGGGGGGATGCGAATATGTATGTACAAAATAGATTAAACCTGGTGGAGGGGTCAGTCAGTCAGGCCAGGACGCGGTTCTGCAGAGGCTAAACCATCTGCCGCTCCGCTCCGCTTCGGATCCGGGCCGGATGGTTGTCGATTGCGCCCTCCGAGAAGTCGACGCCCTTTCTACGGGTCCGTTGAGATGATCGTGAGATTGCCAGCTTATGAGTGCTGGTAGACTAAGATCTGATGCTGACACACGAGGTTGATTGAATTGCATGCAGTGATCCTCGGCTCCTCTATCTGGCGAACGGGAACATTCACTACTCCGTAAGGCCATCATATACACACTGCTCTTCATCTTCCACTTAGATCAGAAACTAACACCATTCCTCACCAATTCACCATTGACTCATTCATCAGTCAAAAGAAGCAGGGCCATTCTGCATTGTTCCACAGCTTCTTGACCCCTGCAGCCCCGCCAGGCATCTTCAGCGCCGTGTCGCACCGCAGCAGGGCGACTGAGCACAGCAGCCTGCTTGGCGTTCAACAGCCCCTATCCAGCCCTGTTGATGTCCCATATAAAGGTCTCGTCTCCCAGATAACTTGACCTCATTCATCTTTTTTTTCTCCATCTCTCCCTCTCATCAGTTGCTTCAATTGCATCGATCAATACATCAATCACCACCTAGTGTCTTCCCCCGTGAACGAGCGTCTCCCAGTAGCATCAGGGACATGCCCAGCCACTTCCGCCATCCTCTCCGAAATGCCGCGCGTGCAAATCATGCGCCAGAGCGGCAAGATGTGCGCAAAAAGAGCAGCGTGATGTACATTGCAGACGAGTCAAACACAGGACCCTTGCTTTCCTCTTGGCCAGCCCTCTGACCGAAACAAGAAACAGCTGCCGTCCCGTCCATGAGTGCTGCCATCAGATCAGGCTGACTTGACTGGTCAGCTATGCTGTACTCGTAATGGTTCTGTCCGGATTCGTCTCACCTAAAAAACTCACCTCCAGCCTCAACTCGCAACAGCGCCTCTTCTCTCCCCAGCTTCATTCTCACCCCATCTCCTCCAGCCTTCTTCCCGGAGGTGCAATGAGCAGCCGCCCGCCCGCAAAATGACGTCCCGGGCCGCCTCTCTCGTCTTCGCCGCCGGGCTGCTCAGCCTGTCCCTGTGGCTGCTGCTCGGCCAGCCGCTGCTCGCGCCGCACCCCGACCGCGGCCGCATCTCCAACCTCGACCTCGTCCTGGGCGACTCGCTGCCGCCGCGCCTCAACCTGTCGGCGGGCTTCTACGCCTCGGACCAGGCGCGCGCCTTCTGCG